AATGTCTGAGGGTCTCACTACACTACAGAAATGGATTTAGGGCAGTGTGACTAGTTCCACAACACTGGGTGCCAAGCCTAGGGGGCGCTGTGGAGCATTGCAACTATGACATAGTGAATTGAGCAGAATGGAAGGCAAGGGTGGGGGCTGAATTTTGGCCTTGCACAGGATGCTGCTGAAATGTGAAAGACTAAAGTTCGTCCCTAGTCACTCTACAAAGGAGACTCATCAAATGCATGACCAAAAGAGACACCTTTCAGGAAACCTGAACCCTTTTCTTGAACCATGTTAACGACCAAAATCAAGACTTTGTTGTACCAAGTGCTCAGTCTTCTCAGTGGAAAGATTATATTAGTTAATGTGTTTGACTATTGAATGTGTGAGATTATGTTTAAAGTCAGAGAATAGAACAGACACTATTAGATGTACTGCTGGGTAAATGTTTAACGCTTCTTGTTTTTGTATCTATTTAAAAACCAATACAAACTTGTTTTTTAAAAAAGGTCACCAAGATCACTTCCGAATGACCTGTTTATTGAAAATTTATCCTGGCTTGCTTGCACAAAGTTTGCAGGGGGAGGTACGCAGCAGCTGTTAGTTACTGAGCATTCATTCTGATTTGTTTGGCGGTTATCCACCGTCAAGTCAGACAACTGTTATTGCCACAGTTTCCAGTGCATTTTCCTGACCCTTTCATTTTTGGAAGTGGGTTTGTTGTGCAAGAGGGCAAAATCCACTTTGATTGTGCCATCTGAATTTGCTGGTATGTTCACAGGATTTGGAACTGGAGACTAACTACATCCACCTCAGTTATGCAGTGATGTACTTCTTGGTCAACATAAGAACTTAAGAGCTCTTCTGGATCAAACGAAAGGCCTACCTAAGGACTAGCCAATGTGGTCTCTTCACACGTGAACCACAACTCCTATTATCCCTGAGCATAGTCAGTGTGGGCTGGAGCTGATGGTAGTTGTAATCTACAGCATCTGGATGGCACCATATTGGGTTATCTATTCTAGCAGCCCGTTTTCCACAGTAGTTGTAATTTTTTTCTTGATTTTCTTGTTTTATCTTATTGTAGACTGCTTTGAGGTTTTTAACAATCACACGATGTATTAGTTTTATGAAACAACCAAAATTGGAAAACCCCTTATATCTGATGCAATAGCAAAATTGCAAAATTTGCTGTAATAGCAACATTTGAGTATAAACAGCAAGTTTCAATCTTGGAACAATTCAAGTTTCTTTGCACTAGGACTTACCTGTTGACGAGAACAAGCAATAGTCTGTCTGCCGCTTGCTGTTACCAAGGAATAAAATGCCTGCTGTGTTTGATATTTCTCTTTCTTGTGTTTTCTTCAAGGTTCAGGAGCTTTCACTTTGGCAAAGAATAAAGAAAAACAGAGGGAACACGTCGTATCAAATCAACCAGATGTTTTACCCAGCAAAACATAATGATCCATTAAATTTCAGCTAGGAATTGGAAGAGCTGTAATATTCAGTCGTTATTGGGACTGTCCATAAATTATATTAATTGCACTTTTAGAAACCTTCCAGAGCACCTTTTTCCCTTGCTGCCATTTTTCAGTGTAGTACAGACCCATCAGAAAGTAAGCCACAGGTATCACTACACCCCTACCAGTAAAGTATTTTATGCCTGCCGTGATGGAATATATTATCTTTATTTTTTTGTGTCAAACATAGAAAGTAATGAATAACACTTTTTTATTTTCTAAACTACTCCTTGAAAGAGTAGGCCCAAACTAGCCACCATGGGAGAGGTCTTCCCAGGGATGTCTAATGAAGGAAGATGCGTATTATGACTTCCTCATGCCCAGCACATCACCAGCACACTTCACTGAACACTACTTCTGGGAGCAGGGGAAACACTGAGCAGTGCAACATCAAACCGCATATCACCTTTCCTTAGGTGTTATGAGGGAGGTGTGAGTGGCAGCCATATGCTATCTCACAGTTCGGCTTCAGGCTATGAAAGGTGGTGTGTGTGTGTGTGTGTGTGTGTGCGCACGCGCGCATGTGCAGCAGGAAACTGAGGGAAGCCTGGGAATAGGGAGAAGCAAAAAGGGCCCAAGGGACACTGGAGCATCCGCTTTGAGTGCAGAAGATCTCTGTTTCAGTCCCCAGCATCCTCAGACAGGGCTGGGAATGTCCCCTTTTGAAACCCTTGCTGCCAGTTCGTGCAGACATCACTGAGCTTAATGGACCAATGGTCTGAGTCATCATGAAACAGCTTTTTGTGTTAGGCATTCACACTATTCACTGAGTGTTTCACTACTGAACAAAGTTCCATTATGCTGGAGATGGGTTCCCCTACCCCCGACCTTTTCCTTGCACTTGAATTCTGCTCAAAGAAAACCCAGTATTTGCATTAAAAGCAAGTTGACCACATGGAGTCATGCTTTATGTAAGTGATATTTGGGGTCTTTGAACAGTATTGAAATTGGTGGGTACATAGGGACACAGTCCTTTCTGCTGTGTCTGTTGGTTTGATGTCTCTGCTCTGTGCTTGCTATGCTCTTTTTTATATTATTATGTCATTGTTTGAAGATGTAATCTCAACTGTCATTGTAAGCCACCTTGGAAGCCTTTTTGGCTGGAAGGCTGGGTGTGTTTTCAACCAACCAAAATTCTTCCAGCACTACCAGAATCCAGCAACACTGCTTAATCTGAAAGAGAAAAAAAAAAGAAAATGAACAGTGTTCATCTATGGAACATTTCTAGCATGTATCAGCAGTTCCATTGTGGTTTGTACATTTTGACCTTTCACCTTAAAAACAACCCTAGCAAATTTAGCATCCATAGTAACAGGAAGTTAATTTTTTCATACTCCAGTGAGCTGGCAAAGAACATTTGAGGCAATAAGAAAACTGCTTCAATCCAAGTCAGTAAGTCCATGAAGTGGATGGAAACCAATATGCTGTAACATATATTGAGTCACTTCTTACATAACCATAGCCATAGTCAGTGTTGCCAGGGAACAGAGTTTAGTTTTCTGGGATTGGTGCCATCTAAGCCTTTTATCTCATGACTTGCTGTACCTGGGACAGGTGTAGCCCTTTGCTCCCTGCACTGTTATCTGAAATCCACACTAAAGAGCCATGCTATACTTTTGGAAAATAATGACATCATTCTACAAACCTCTGAATATATATCTATATCTATATCTATATATCTATATCTATATCTATATCTATCTATCGATCTAAACACATTGGAGAAATTCTATGTAACATAAAGATTATCCATTTGACCCAGCCTGCTTCCTCCAATGACAGCAGATCCTGACATTTTAAATCATACTTTGTACTCTTCTGCAGGAAACAAATAATGTGTGAAGCAGCTTCTGGGCCTTAAAGAAGAAGAAGGAGAGCACAGATTCTGGTCCCAGCAGAACATTACAGAGACACGCTAGATTAAAATATTGTACAGTATTTTAAGAAAGAACCTCCACCCCAAAACTAGTCAGACCTCTTGAGCAAACATATATCATAGTTATTACTCCAGGAAGCCCATCCTTCTTCTGTTAGTTGAGCAACAACAAACCTTTTGTTATGTGACAAGGAAAGAGGATTGCATCCAAGATGACATAGATACAGGAGGGTGAGGAATAGTGATTTTGATTATTCTTGTTTTCATTTAGCTCTTATGTGGATGAATTAAAAGGGGGAGGGGGCATTGTTTTAGGCTCAATACAGAAACAGCACAGACTCAAGATCTGAATAGCTTTTTGTGATTTGTGGGTTTGAAATGTAGCTTCTTTGCTTATTCCTTTATGACAAAAGAGGCTCTTTCACAACCTGCAAAGCTGACACACTGGTATGTGGCATCACATGATTATGATGTCACCACGCCAAGAAATTGCCCGTTCTAGGGAGAATCAAAATGAATCCCAACCTGAGCGGATTCTTTTATTGCAGAAGGGAGTGGACTTAAGGATAATAAACAAAACCATCCATTTCCCCTAACCACTGATGTCACATTACGTTCAATTCATTACACTATGAGTCAGCACTTGGGACTTTTTTTCAGCCGTTAACTTTCCAGATGCTAAAGTGAGCGGCAACCTTCCCCCTCCCTGTTTTCCCTAAATTGTTGGTGCGTAGCACTCAAGTGTCCAAAATGAAATGCTTCAGTTTTGCACTGCTGCCGTGCGGTGGCACAGCCGTCGCCTTCAAAGGAGACTTTGTTGCCGCCAACCTCGCGACAAACAATGCCGCAAAGATTAAATACCGAACGGAATGCGGCAGAATTGCGTCGTCTTTGCAGGCCCGGCGGAGATGTTGATACCCTGAACCACATCGAGGAGGGGGAGGGGGAGGGAAGCCAACTCGTGTCTTCTTGCGTTTCCTCCAATGATGCGGTGCATTTTCATACCCACCCCACCTGCCTCCGTTTCCGATTACTTTTATTTAGGTTTAGTTTGAGATGTGAATCCTGAATAAAATCACCCCTGGTCCACGTGCCCGGGGAATGGGAGGAGGCTGGCTGAATGGATCAAGAAAAGAAAATGGAGTCTACAACACAAACAAGGGAGTGGGAATAAAGAAGTGCGGTGTGTGCGAGGGGGAATACACAACTGGCGGCGAGAGAGGGAGCGTGCAGAGAACCGCTGGAAGATGGAAAGCGGAGGAAGAGCTGCAGGCTGGGCTCGCGGGGTGGGGGAGGGAGGGAGTCTGGGCACAGCCGCCACTCCTTTTGTGCTCGCCGAGAGGGGCAGGGGGGAGGAAGCGGGGAGAGCAGCCGCCGCTTGCCACCACCTTGCTCCCTCCTTCCCCTCCCCCACAACCCCAAGGTTCTCTCCTCTGCATTTCAGTCTATGCGTATCACAGGGATACGCGCGAGAGCCTAGGCAGCGCCGGATAACCAGAGCAACGGGGAAGGCAGCCAATGGACTTCCCGCGCCGCGTCTTCCCTCTGGACCAATCAGGGAGAGGCGCGGCCGCAACCTTGCGGTTGGCTCGGGCACGTAGCCAATCAATAGAGACGAAGAGAGAGAGGGACGGGGGGGGGGGCGCTTGGTGGTGCGGATGCGAGCGGGTGGGAGGGGGCAAGGCTGATGAGCGCGAGGTGAACGAGGTCCGCGTGCGAGCGGCTATAAGAACCCTCGCGAGCGCCGCGCGCCGCATACCGTCTGCGGGGCTCGAAGGCTGGAGGTGCGCAGCGAGGCTTTTCCTGTGTGTGCGTGTGGCGCTGCCGTTGTTCCTTCTGCCTCCCGAGCTCGCTCTCCTCTCGCTCGTCGGCCATGAAGACCAAGTTCTGTAACGGCGGCGAGGCCGACCCTTCCCCGCTGGGGCTCCTGCTGGGGTGCGCCCAGGGCCCGGTCTTGCCCGCCCTCACCCAGTCTCCCTCGTCGCCGCCGCTGCCGCCTTCCTCTCACGCCGAGGCCGAAGCCAAGCAGCAGCCCCTCGCCTTGCCGCCGACGCCGCCTACCCCTCCCTCCCCGCCGGCGGAGGAGCAGCCCGACCCCCGCACCCGCCGCAAGGCGTATTTTTGGTGCAGGGAGTTCCTGCGGGGGGCGTGGCGGGGGTTGCGGGAAGATCAGCTGCGCATCACGCCCATCAGGTCAGCCACATACGGGGTGGGGACGGGGACATCAAGGGATCATTCTAGGGTGAATGAGATTAAGAGCTGTGTGTCTCTGAGCGTGTACAGAGTGCGTTCTCGTCGCCACGAAGCAACCACATCTGGCATCAGGTTTCCATGACGGTGCGGCCCCTTCAAACCTGAAATGAGGGGAAGGGGTGGGGCTGTTGGCTCTTGTCGGACCTGGCACCTTTTGTCTCCCACAGTCTTACTGATAACGACGTTATGGAGGGGAGTCCTTAAGGCTTCATATCGGATCTGTACGCACTGAAATGTTACAGGGAAACCATTGTCCATATGGTGGTACTGTCGTTTTCTACCAAGGGCACGCCACTGACCTCCCAAGAGTAATGGAAGGGCAGAAGGAGACCTATGTTTTGGGGAGATGGCAGCTTCACTGCTGCCAAGGACCTGTCGGTGCCTATATGTATCTAGAGATGTTTCTGTATATTGCAAACATAGTGTTGCCTTCTGTGTGACAACATTTGAAGGTATCTCAATAGATAAATTAGTTAGATGAATGATTGACTCATTCCTGATACCTTCCTAGGCCATTGTTTGCACTAACCATGGTTTAGAATCCTAACAATAGTTCTAGCTTAAAAATGTATAGGAATATTGTAGTCTAGAGTTGCTTGACTGCTTTTGTTTCTCTTTTGCACTCCTATGGAGCTAGAGCAGTGGCCCCAACTGTGCATACAGACATCACAATCATATACAGTTGGCAAAGCTTATGGTTAACAAGCCCATTTTAAGATATAGTTTGTTTCCTCTCCCCCTAGTTTACTGGATAATTTCTGAACTGAACTGAACTGAACCCCACAGTTCATCTTCTTTAACCATAGTTAGTGAATTGTGCCATTACCCACTTTTCAGAACCTTTGACACAAATGGGATAAGAATAGAAAGTAATGTGTGGACGTCTATTAACTTTTGGGAGCGCTTCTTTTATCTCTCTGTAGTATAGTATGAGACAGATTTTTGACCACAAGCAAGAGTAGGGTGTGCATACATCTTTCAAGCCATCCCACAGTGATAAGGTTGTTGTCTCTGTTAAGCCTTGAGCTGTTTTGTTGAACTCAGAAGTTACTTTCATCTAGGACAGAGTTTCCCAATCTTTGGTCTCCAGCAGCTGTTGAACTACAACTCCCATCACCCCTAGCTAGCTGGAGCAGTGGTCAGGGATGATGGGAATTGTAGTCCAAAAAAACATCTGGAAGCTCAAGTTTGTGAAACCCTGATCTAGGAAATTAAATGAATTCCACTACGTGTGTGGCTAAATAGATATGTATGTTTGTGCCAAAAATGTCTTGCACTTCACAAGTTTGATTTATTCAGTTTACTATTTTGAATTGATTTCTATACAGGAATTGCTTGTGTTCTACGATTTGAGCTGATGATATTCCTGGAGGTTTTTGTTTGCTTACATTAGCCCATAGTCTGAAAGGAAAATCCATTTTTAAAAAACTCTTTAAATACACTACTAAGTTGACTTCACTGATTGTCTAGTAGCCATTAAATGAGAATGTACCATTCAAAAAAGCTTCAGAGGTGATGAAAAGTTTAAGGCAATATTTTAAAAATGTGAGTCAAACTTAACTTGTAAGATGGTTTCTGAACAATGAAATGGGTATTCTACCCTGTGATTTTTTTTGAATGAGACTGCTCAGCAGTATGAGTCATTTTTTGGCAACAAGTTACTGTAGTATCAGGTGCCTTGCTCTGACTCTCAATGCCAGCAATGAGTAGATAACTGGCTTGAGTATAGTATGGGTAAGTAATCAGGAATGGAAAGTTTTTTAGATTTTGTATAATTGCCTCTGAAGAAAAGAAGCAAAACAAAAACCTTTTCTAATCACTTTAATTTTCCTACAATGCCCAACAGTTAATGCTCATACCAGATATGTCGGAGAGGGATTTATTGCCTTGTAATTTTTTTTTATTTAAAATGCTTTGTTTAAAATATTTGTCCTGTCCTTTATCCCAGATCCATGGACAAGTAACATTAATTTTGAAAAACTAGAACAAATCCATGGGAATACATATACATATAGCATTTCCCCATTTAACATGTTTAGAATTTTAATAGTTAAACTGAACTCTAAAAGCCATAGTTCCAGAATGTTCACAAGTAGCTGGACTACTTGTATATTTTAAGGGCATTTGGCAGAATCACACTGGTGTGTAGAAGAGGTCATAATGTAACCCAAGAGGTCACAATATAATAGTGTTGAACATTATTACAGCCCAATTCTAAATACTGTATGTTGACTTAGAAATATGGAATACTACTGAACTTAGTGGAACTTAAATTTCCTTTTAAGTATGCTTAGGAATGTAGCTTTAATATCTCTATAGTTTATTTAAAATAGACACTTTCTTAAACACACAACTGTTTGCAACTTTTAGCATGCAGTTCCTGCTGTTGAACATTAATAATCTTAGCAGCATTGTATCTATTCTTGGAGCTGCCATTTACAAAACTCATCTGAATCCCTATTTTGTATACACATTACTTTAGTGTACAATTCAATACATGCCTACTCAGAAGTAAGTCCAATTGAATTTAATGTGATTTCCTCCTAGGGAAATGTGTATAGGATTTCAGCCTGAATATGTTTTAGGAATGATCAGGAATTGTGATTAAATTTGTTTCAAATATACTAAAACTATCCAAATAACCTATTTTTAGTTAACTTTGAGAAGTGGTCTTGTTCTATCACAACATGGATGAAAAAGATGGGTGCACACTGCTCCCCTTGTGGTATCAAAACCAGAAACCAGCTTCTAGGATATATTTACTTTTCTATGGGTTATATACTGTATAAATACATAGAATACAATTCTTTTAGATACTGATATAGCTGTATTTAAAATAATCTGGGACTGCTGCCTATCTGTTGAGCCATGATCCTCAACATCGGCAGTGCTTTGTTTCTGAGCAAGTCTACTTAAGCTTCAACTGAGAATAGACCCACACGGTTTTCCCCCTTCAGTATCTCTTCCATCTCACATGCCCTGCAATAAAGACTTTACTCTTGCAAAAAACAACTCCCCCCCCAACACCTGGGAATAGTTCCTTGCTGCTTATCTTTGTGTGGAGCCTCATACCGGAGTGGGGGGGAAACCCTTCACTTCTGGAGCAGCCTTTGCCAATTCTAGCTTGGTCTGATGGGAGTTGAAAACATTGGGAGGGCAACAGGTTGTTGAAGGCTATTCTGGAGTACCCCAGTCTTGGGGGTTGTAAACTTTATGGGGCCTTTAGGCACATTTGAAAACCAGAGAAGCAGTTGTTAGATCTATCTAACAATAGATCCTTCTTTCAACCCTAATTTTAGCAGTTGCGGGGGGAGGACCTTGTGTGTGCCAGGGAAGGCTTCTGTGGGTGCATACACAGGTGCAAGTGCCGCACTGAAGACCTTTCACATCCTCCAAATGTTTAAAATGTGGGCATGACTAAACACAAATTTAGGTTTCTTCTGTAAGGTTTTGTTTAAGAGGTGCTAAAGCATTGCTTTTCTGCTACTGTAAACTTTCACTTGTACCTGAAGAATAAAGTGTGTTGTGGAGGGAGGTGCTTAATTTCACCTACCTGTTTTTCTGGTACTATAGGTTTGTTAGGATAAACACAGAAAACTGTTGAAAGAGTGGGTGCACACACCTGTGTTCTCGTCCGAACCTTCCCCTGCTCAAGCTGCTTTTCTCTCACAGAAAGAGATGTCAGGTTTTTCAATATAGCATGCAGTTCATCCTTAAAGTGCTGGTTGAAAGTTTTTACTTTCTGCTGCTTTGTCATCTTTTTCTGGTATATAGCTTGAGTATTCTCCGTGTAGGTTCTTAGTGATAGCAAATCAAGGGCTTTTCTTTGCAATTGAAGAAAAAGTGCCCCAGCTGCACTTCAGTATTGGGTTTCTTGTAAAAGATTAGGAGTGGGGAATAACTCCAAAGATAGTCATAGGGTAGTAGAAAGATGGGCTAACTTGGCAGAGAGTAGTTTCTGGTAGTGTACTCCTTTCTGTTGTGGTATCTTTGTGCAATTTAATGCTCTGGACACAGATTGAGAGTAGCTTTTTGTGGTTTAATTATTAAATTGGACTATTCTGCCTCTAGGAAAAATAATCCAAACTAGCAAATGCTGCCTATCTCAAATATTTGTTCATTTAGCTTCATAAACCAGATATGATTATGTGCTTTTCCTCCTGGATGGAAGTGCACAACAGGGCTTGCTTTCAGATTTAGAGCTGCTACTACTTCAGCAGCACAAGCAACTGTAAGGTTCCTTGGTGTTCAACTGGTGCTTTATTAAAACGAATAAGGCAGCAGATGCTTTGCATAGGCACATTCTTGCTGAAGGTTCCCCCTCCCCCAACAAATAGATGTGTTGGCAGCCCAATCCATTTATGAAATAAATGAGTAGCAAATTGCATCAATATGAATTGGTTTAAGTTTCTTCTAGTACTTGAGAACTTCAGCCAGGAAATTCCCCCCTTTTAGACTTGCTTAGAAGCAAGGCTACATCATCATCAGCTGGTCTGTTGGAGATTGCAAGCTAGAGTTCTTTCTCTTTCTTCTTCAGGAAAGAGAAAGTTCTGCCAGCCACAGTTCACACAGGGCAGCCCTGTTCAACACACAGGCAGCATTGCTGAAGTTGTGTGTGAGAGGAGCCTTGTTAGCTATACATTGTGCAGAGGAGCACATCACTAATATGCCCCTCAGATGAGGGATGGTCCTGCCTGCCTCTTAAATAAGCGGGTGGTGTCAAAGCTATGTGCAAAACTATCTGCATTCTTCTGTTTAGTAATCTCTCTTAAATTTAGAAAGAATGAATGCTAAGCAGTGGGCATCACAGGAACTGCTTTTTTATCAAGTTGGACCATTGGCTCATCTAATTCCATATTGTCAGCACTGTCTGGCAGTGATGCTCTAGTCTAGGGGCTTTAAAGCAGGTTCTTTTCCCTTCCTGGAAATGCCAGGGATTGAATCTTGAGATCTCATCTTGTAAAGCAGGCGCTGAGCTGCAACCCTTCCTCTTACACAGAGCAGATACCCTAATGGAACATTCCTTTATAATTGCGTATCAAAGGAGATGTGCCTTGAATTGCTTCAGCCTTTGTAGTTCGTCATGACAATTGCACTTCGATGGTTGAAATTAACGTAGTAAAGCATAAGCTTCAAGAGGCATCACTTAAGAATAATATTTTATTTATATGGTGCCACCCAATTTGGGAGAAAGGTGGGCTTATATGTACATGAAATGAACACATGATAGAATCAGTGCATGTTGGAGGCACCCACAATAGTGTCCATGGCAAGGGCCCTAGATTCAAAGCTTTCTTTTAAAAAAGTAAGTCTCTAGCCCTCCTAGAAAGAAAGTAATGAAGCCAAGTGTGCAGCTATCATTCTAAGCAATTTCTGTGAAATGAGCCCACCTACTCCCTGTCATTTTTTAGCCAGTCAGTGAGTTGTCTGGACACAAGGCAGTAGGAGTCCCTGGGGTCCTAAATAATTACTATTTCCCCCTACACTTGGGTGCACCTTTCCTGCTTCTGTCTTCTGTCTTTGCTGCTCTGCTTATTTTGTTTTGCTGCCTATCAGCTACATGGAGCAGGCAGCTCCCTCAGAGACTTTAAAAAAGATGTGAGTTGAGGTAATGACCTAAATTAGTCATGACCATTAATTTCAATTAGTCTACTCTGAGTAAAAGTTTATTACAACCCATAACATTTCCCCTGGTTGTTCCCATGTTTCTGTTGGGGGGGGGGGATGGGGGGGGACCCATGTAAGAAACATTATCTTCATCACCTTTTCCTCTGCCTGGGATTGTTCTCAAATTGCTTGGGAAGTGGAGAGCATTATCATCTTATCGTACAAAATATAAAAATTTTGAGAAGCTTGTAGGTGATATTCAGCCTCAAACATTACACTAGTCTGGGCCAGTATTGCTCAACTACAACTCTGGTGATTTATTTAATTCATTTTCTGTGTTTTTTCCTTTTTTAATTCAATAAAGATAATATGTGTTTTTATTTCTAACTATGCCTCTGTATGGCTGGCTGTAGCAATTGAAAATTATTCCTGGATTCAGTTATATTTTATTTTCTAGCTCTGATGTATAGCAACACACAGCATAACAAGCAAGACTTAAAATTGTGTGGAAAAGGAAGTTTTTCAAACATTTTTTGTTTACCAAAAAAATTTGAATGGATTTTTCCTAATTGGAACAAGTTTTGTTCCTGTGTGTCTCCTTTTTCTGCTCTTTTGGAGATGGTAGTCATTTTGTATTAGGCCACACCTCTGGTAGCAGCCATTTTGTGACTTTGCCCTTGGTATTGCCCTTATGTAGATTGTCAGTTAGGAATAAAGACTAAGGGGTTAAGCTGAACCAATGGCAGAATATCTTAAAGTACCAAATTAACTCCATTACAGCACTCATTGGTCATATACGCACCCCAGCCATCTATAACTATATTCTATCTTCTGAGATTTCAGAAATGTCCATGAAGTTCCACCATAGCACAGCAGTTTTCACTTTTCATACTCCTGCTGTAAATGTCTTTGGTTTTACAATAACTGGATGGATTAGGCTAGCTTTTTGAACTTAAAACATAGAATTAGTTCTCAATAAGGATATGTTTTATTGCTCTCCTAGATGATGATCTGTGAAATTTTAAGAGCACACTAGAGGCTTTTAATGAGGTGGGAGGTAGTTTCTCTTGCATCCTCTGCACCACAGTCAAGCTGCTTGCAACTTCTCCTTCAGCACCTTGTTGCTAGGACCTCAAATGCTGCTGTGCACCACATTTGCACTGCAAGGAAGAATGTGTTCTGCCACTTTGTTCCAAGAGGTAGTCATCCCAGCTTTTCTTCACCTCCACCTGTTCTCAGAGTAGAATACATCCTGGACTGAACAGGGCCCAACACCCAGATGACTTCACCAGTCCAAAAACTCATTTCAGAATGGGTTGGGGTGGGTGGGTGAGGAGAGAGGCAATGCATCACTAATGCATTGAACCCCTTCTCATCTTTCCAAAACCAGTCACTAAGGTAGGAGCCATGCCCAACCCAATAACTGTTTTAAGGAAGCAGATAAAATAGATGTTCCCTCAAAGCTGATGTGAATATCAATCGTCATTATAGGAAAAAATGCAGACTGCTTAACTTGACTGAGAAGGACTAATTGTGGTCAGCCCATTCACTATACCTCAGTATTGTATACCTCATGATGGTGTTGTGATAAAATCGGATAACTCAATGTAGAGTGCCCTGAGTGAATGTCTTAGAAGTGCAGGATATATGAGAATACGCTTTATAAGCTCAGGACTCTTATATATGGTAGCATTTTATCATTGTAGAGAACTGGATCAAACTGATCCTGTATGTTAAGTACTTGTGTTCATTGTTATAAATAATCTAACAAACATGCTTTGCCTCTAGTCACATATTATGGTCCTTCCCATTGTCCAAAATTATTTATTAGCTGTTCTACCTTAAACAGTGACTTCGGAGACATAAATGCAAAGTACTATTAAACATAAATTTCTTCCTAATTCTTCTAACTTATATTTAAATACAGATTTGGGAATGAAATTCAAGCTATGTTTTAATAAAGTTAGTGTTAGGAGTAGAACCTGGAAGACCAGGGTTTAAATCCGTACTCTGCCATGAAGTAACTCTACCTCAGAGGGTTGTTGCAAGGAGGAAATGTGAAATATAAATGTAGACATAATATAGTCAGTGCTGAAAAAATAGAAAGTTAGGCTGTGTAGAATAGCTCTTTCATGTCCAGTTGTCTAATTCAGGGTATTGGAATCTGAACTTCAGTCATGTGAGAAGTGCAAGTGTTCATATGTGTAACTCATAATTCTTTCCTTCTTAGGGGAGGCCTCAGCAACATGTTGTTCCAGTGCTCATTACCTGATACAATGGAGACTGTTGCAGATGAACCACGCACAGTTCTTCTTCGCTTATATGGTGCCATTCTACAAATGGTGAGTATTTGGTGTGGGGGAGTGGGCTGATGTTTAAACATCTTGCATTAGAATAGGCTTGAAAATATTAAAATTAGATTTTATTGCACATGCATACTCTGTGATTTGAGAGCTCTTCAGTTTAGATTTGTTCATTTCTTATTGCCTAGAAATTGCTTTCTATGCAGATCTTGGATGTATAGTTTTTTTTAGTTAGTTTTGCACTGTCTTGTCAGTATGCATGCGGACGTTTCCTGGAGTTTTACTATTCAGAAAAATTGTCACTTATTACCCTCTTTGTGCTTTGCAGACTTAAACTGAGAAACAACATTCATGGTAAATCTGATAACTGTCTAGAATTTCGTTGAATCATTAACTACAAGCATATAGCAGCTTCAAGTCTTTCCCCAAAATTCCTTCCAGGAAACATGTACCAAGCTTTTACTGTCAGTAATCTAACAGCATTTGGTAGAAGCACTTCATTTTCCCTTTTCCCATTTTGTTGCTTCAAAGTGCATTGCTCTGGATGCATGCAGATGGAAATTGAAAATTGAGGCCATGATCAATTCACTGGTGCCGTACCTATGGACAAAGGATTCCCATAGATCCAATAGTGCTCCTGTTTATTTATGTCAGGGTTTTACGTTATGCTTCAGCCACATTTCCGGCATGATTCACAATATATAAATGACAGGATAAAAATACAAAACCCAGAATTGTGATATGCATAGCTTCAACTAAAAGCAATTGAACTTAAAACATGGGAGAATACATGTCTGTGCTTGGTGCTGAAAAAAATATTATTGTGTGCATCAGACAAGCTTCCCTGGAAAGGGAATTCTACATGCAACACCAAGTAGGCAGTTTCTTTAGTTGCCATCCACTTGTTTCTGATGATAAGGATGCCTAGAGGAGTACCTCCAGAGATGACCTCCAATAATGGACACGCTGACATGGAGGTGGGCCTTACTTCTGGTACCCAAGTCTCAAGCTGTGTAAGCCTTTAAAGGTAAGCATCAGCACTTTGAATTGTACTTGGAAATGGACTAGAAACCAGTATTCTTTAATTACCTGTGAGGATAGATCCCAGTTAATAGGAATATTTTGAGCCAGTTGCAGATTCCAAGCAATCTTCAAAGGCAGGCACACATACAGTTCATTACAATATCTCAGGGATGGCAAATTAGATCTAGCCCACTTGTCAGTGGGAATAATTGGGAGTCTAATCAAAGTGTGCCTCTGATTCTTCCTTTCTAGCCCTGGCTGGACTGCAAAGGAACATTAATGCTTCAGTTGCAAAAATGGGAGGCTTGCTCAGCTTTCCCTAATGAAAATAGGTCTTATGTTTGGCACCAAAAACAAGTCCAGCTTGGGGCAGGAGTTGAGTGCAGTTAGGAGCTCCCAAGTGGAATCAATCCCACAGAGCTTTTTTTTGTGTGCCAAATTTAAAAGGCGCTGAATGAAGGCCTTGCTTGAAGAGGAGCAGTTAGGAGTGCACTATAACACTCCTGATTGTTGTTTCGCAGCTGTGGCTGTATCTGCTGTACACCTGACGTCACAGGATGTTGGTGGGTTGGAGTTTTCCAACCCATATTAGTTTTCCAAGCTAATCCTAGAGGTTACCAGGGTATGGTCATGCTATTCCTGTCTAGAATGAGACTGCAGCTGCCATAACAGTCTTAAGTAGATGAAAAACACTTTGTGTCGCAGAAGCTACCTGAGCCATGTGACATAAGTGGATCTAGGAGCACCTCTTGGACTTCTCTGTTGATCCTGTGGGAATCCTTCACACATAGGTACTGCACCAGCAGTGGACTGAATCATGCCACATATTTTTATGTAATGTTTGTTTAGCCACAGAATTTACACACAAAAATGCAAGTCTGTTTATTTCTTTTAGACATAGGATTCACTGTGGCATGTCTGACAAGAGTTGTAATGTGCCTCTGAGTAAGTTTTCCAGTGAGCAGGAAATGGCCTTAGGTCCTAGGTATAGATGTTGGTAGGTCTGTATTAAAACAATTTGTCCATGTAGACATTGACATACTCCTGAATTTCCATTTGTGAAATGAACACACGTATAAGATTGTTGTCACTTCTGTGTTTTATACACAACACATTATCATTTAGAAAACGACCAAGCAATTTAGATTTAACGTATCTTGAATTGCTTTCTGACCAGCTATTTTGAATCTAGATTTATCAACAGAATGACAATCAACAACTGTGCATTAAAGCAGTTAATGATGTAGTAATCTTGCTAGAGAGTGTTGAACTCATTGGCAAAATACAGGTAATCTATGACTAGTAAAAGGAAGATTTTCTCCTTGCACTTGCACTCTCCAAGGGTGGCAAAATGAGTTCTGCTGTAACACTGAACAGCTGATGCATTATGGATAAAGGGATAAAGAAAATGCATTCACATATCCAAATGATTATAGCAATAGTTCCCACTCCTATGGAGCTTCCTCATTGTAAACATATGGTTAGCCCCCAAAGTATCTCCACTTGCTTTGTACTCCATGTTATAAAACTGATATACACGCTATTTCCATATATTGAAATGAAGTGTTCTGCATGCCTTCATATAACTGAGAACAATGAGATTACCGGGGCATCAGTTGGTGCTTGTAAGTATGCAGCTCGGATTGTGTATTGCAGTATACAAAATACTTGGATTGGAAATATGTAAGCAAGTTACTGCTGCAATGTCTTTCTCTGGTCCATCTTAGCAATGTATTGCGAGGAAACAGTGGCTTGAACCATTGGCACTAGAACTATCAATTAAACTAACAGTCCAGCGATAGTTACACTGAATGTTTTATTTTAACAAATTATTTAAGCCACACCCCTGGCTTCATAAAATCTTCAATGTATGAGCTTGATTGCATATTATAAGTAATCTTTATTTGTACAGGCTGCCTGTACAAAGTAGATTGTAGAAATTAGGGCATCAGTGATTTGCTAATGTTTTCATCTGAAAAAAATAAGGCAGCGTTTTCAGGATCTCAGTAGTAATTTCCATCATATCTGTTGTAATCATAGTACTCTGAAGAAATTTTCCTATGAATATCCAAGTTTGGAGAATCCTAAACCAGAACATGGGCACATACTGCTTTCCCTCAATACCCACTTTTTAAACAAAACCTTCTGTGTCCTTATATGAAGAAAATAGCACTGGAGCTCAGAATTTTTCTCCAAGATCTAGTTTGGCCAATTATTTGAGTGTTAATATCCTAACCTTTTTTGTCTTGGTATTTAAGATCTTTTGAGATTTCTAACTTCCTTTATTTCCATAGTGGCAGTGAAATGACTGCTCTTGTTGGTGCAGTTCACTAAGGGTTAAGTAAGCAGAGACAGTCCCAAGGTAAAACTTTCAGATTATATTGAGGGTTTCAGTATAAGCATTTGTCTTTTCCAGATCAATCTTCAATGCATAAGCAAACTGATTGTGCTATAGTTTTAGATCTTCATCTGAGATCTTAAGGAACTTCCTTGTACCAAACAGTAATAAATTAGAAGAAAAAGAATTTCAGTGGTGCTGATATTTTTAAAAGTTCCAGGGATGTTGGTTTTAAATACTGATGCACATACGTATAATTTTCTTGCACTATTACTTACCCTCAATATCCATCTGTATGGCTTAAGACAGAAATATAGCTACCAACAATTCCAGCCAGCATTAGCAGTCGTCGGAGTGATAAGAGTTGTAGTCTAACAACATCTGGAGGGCCCTATGTTCCCCATCGCTAGTTGAAACAGATGACATTTTGATTATAACTTAATTCTTCTTTGTTTATGCCTGCATGCAGAAAATAATAGTATCATTATCAAATACACATGTAATCTGAGGTTCAAAGTTTTGCCCCCCCCATTCGTTCAAAATTTACCATAGAAAACCAGTCCAGTAAATTTCAACTAAAGCCTTCTTTAAAAACAAACACTATTATTTACAAGCTAACAATGACTCCAGTTTGCTTGTCACATAAATTCTGGAAGACACAAATGTCAGTACATACTGTTCAGTATAAATTGTTTCAGGTTGTAGTCTAACAACATCTGGAGGGCCCTATGTTCCCCATCGCTAGTTGAAACAGATGACATTTTGATTATAACTTAATTCTTCTTTGTTTATGCCTGCATGCAGAAAATAATAGTATCATTATCAAATACACATGTAATCTGAGGTTCAAAGTTTTGCCCCCCCATTCGTTCAAAATTTACCATAGAAAACCAGTCCAGTAAATTTCAACTAAAGCCTTCTTTAAAAACAAACACTATTATTTACAAGCTAACAATGACTCCAGTTTGCTTGTCACATAAATTCTGGAAGACACAAATGTCAGTACATACTGTTCAGTATAAATTGTTTCAGGTTGGCTAAAGTTACCATGCAAAAATGGCATGGGGCCTTCCTTAGTTATAGCTGTTATTTTAAGCCACATTTTATGCATGCATGATATGAAGGCAGGAAGTGAGCTTAGTTGGGTTGATCTGTGTAAAACTTTAAAGCCTGGTTGAGATTACTATAGTCTCCAGTCACATAGGTGAGCTATTTTTTAAACAAGCTGAATATTTGTGCTTTTGTGGAATTGCTATTCTAATTAAACATTGGTGTGTTTGAAAGGCAAATGCACATGCTATATCTAGGATTCCCCTCCAAAAATCTGAAAGGATGTCTTAATAGCAGCAGTTCAAACCTGTTACACACACACACACACACACACACACATATATATATATGAATGAAAACTAGAGTAGTTGTTGGCACCAGTGCATAGCTTTAAAAGGATTCATTTTTAGAAATGATTTCCTTGTAACAAAGAAACTAATGTTGGTCCAACAAAGCAATTTGAATTTGGAGTTCAAATACAAGTTCTTGCTTCTGTACACTGACACAAACTACTTTGCAGAATTGTTCATTGTTTCAAAGTAGTACTTAATTCCCATATATCCCAATTAAAGGAAGAGCTGGCGATAAGGGCCCATGCCCTATTTTTGATAGCCAGGCATAAAACTTGGTTTTGATATTACTAACTATAAAATCACAATATTGCATAATAAAGGAAGCATTTAAGACTACTTAATCTTCCTATAGTCTATCATTCACAGTCATTTTGAGAAGAAGGTTGTGAGTACTGACTGCAATTCTGTGGTATCGTATACCTACTTTTTCTGCTTGTAACTAAACAAATATATAGAATTCTGTAATTGTAAAACTCCATTACTGATGTGATTCTTGCTCTTAATGCCTTGTAGCAAGGAATAACCACAAATGCCTCTTAGTGGCAGATAATTTGATAGCTGCACTCCTGTTAAGGGGACACTTGTTTTGTTGGGTGGCATTAAGGGTCTTCTGGGGGTGATGTACCATTTTAGTTGTATGTGCATGTGTTCTCTGCTGCAGGCTTGTCCATGCGATCGTGCCTAGAGCACTCTGGTTTCCAGGTGACAGACACGATTCACGGTATAGTATGAGATCTCTGAAGTTGGAGCATTCTCTACGGGTTTCATTTCTTTATGACTCAGAGTGTGAAGTTATCATGAAAATGCTTGCCTTATTCACATTTTTCTAATGTCCAAACCGTTGAGAACTGACTACCAAAATAGTGCATTAAACACCCCACCTTCCTTTTGCTCCTTTTAAAGAATGGTAACTTGATCAGAAGTAAAAAGGATTAGGGATGTTCTTGGTGTTAGTAGGACTGTTGTAATAACATCTCTTATTCTTTCTGCTGTAGCATATTTTATTAAAAATAGTTGACAGCACCTGTTTTGATGTTTCTCAGTCTTGAGAAATCTCCCTCTGTAGTCTCAACATTGCAACTTTTGTACTTACATTTTACGCCTGGAATACAATTGGGTACAAAACTACCAGAGATAAGTAATTTCATCTTGTAAAGGTTAGGTGCATGGCCTGCAGAACTGGCCAGGATGATAAATAATGCCAAACTCTTGCTAGCTTTTCTGATGGCAGAGGAATTGCCACTCTGTCATTTTATTACTAACGTCTGTATTTGGGTATTGACATAGTAAGACTGAACCTTAGTTTTCCAGTCTGCATTTCAGTTTATACTGGTTGTTTTTCTAGTCCTAACTTCAGAACTACATTGTTATTACATGACAAACCAGTACAAATATGACCAGCTTTATATTTTGGATGTCCAGTCTCCTCAACTGGATTCATATTATCATGGAATTACATTCTCGCCTCTCATCTGTTATATATAAATAGAAACTGTGAAAAGCAAAACAATGTTCAACCTAAAGTGCAGTAATTTGTGATAATCAGTATTACTTGTTAAATTTTACTGTTAAATTAGCCTTGCACCCTATTATCATTTTTTAAAAATCAAATTGTGCTACCAAAGAAAGTTTGGGTCACAACAGTGAAAATGGTATCCCCTTCACTTCAGTTTTATATGGAAGATCTGCACAATAGCAGTTTGTGCATTTTATAGTATTAAATTGGAAAATGACTACATTATTCTCTAGTCTCTTAGTTCATCAGACTACTACAGCCTTGAGAGGCAGAGGTGGTAGCATCTCTTCATGTTTACGAGACCAACTAGCTTACTCTATTAAGCAGGTCTTGCTAACAAGCAGGAAGGAGTCTGACAGCATGATTACACAAAGATGATGTATTAGATGCCTGCTCATCTCAAGCCTCTGCAGGATATCAAACAGCTACAACAGCTTTTTCCTGCAACACAATCCTGTTAGCTTAGTTTTTGGTAGAAGCTGTACAATAGGTTTCCTGTTATCTCCTTGGAAATTGGCCATTGTCCACACAATAAGAGTCCTGTTTTAAGAATGTACTGGGGCCCTATCTAAGCAGGTATCTGGAATGTGGGCAAATTAGTCTGGTGGTTTTTGCTTCAAAGTTCATGAAGCAAATACCTGAATATACTTTTAGCTTTAATGTTTTCCAGGCCCACTCTTTTTTTGGTTGATACAGTCAAGTGTAGTATAGAATTCTTCTATGATGATATTTGGATATCATATCCATAACATTTTCTTTCACTTCAAGCTAACAAACCAATTTGGACAACTGAGTATTTTAGCGAAGTGTTTGAAGAGTACTAATGAAAAAATACTGACCAGTCTTTTCAGTGTGTAATCCAAGTACGTTAGGTGGATACTTTCTATGATCCTGGGGAAAACCTCTCTAATCCAGTTTGCTTCTGATAGATTATACCATCACAGGGGAGCATCAAGCAGTAACTACTTCTGGGTGATATGCAGCTTTGACTGCTATTCAAGAAGTAGTCAAGGAGAAAATGGGGGCACTGAAACATTATTTGTATAATATTGCTATTTTAATATGCAGTTGTAAACTTGCCCTTGTGAATATTCAAGATATGTGTTTTCATTGAAAGGGATGTAGTTTTACTGTAGCATATACTTATTCTTCTTAATTATAGCATTCGAATGGAAAGAATTATTATTTATGGAAAGCCATTTATTTCAAGTTGGAGCAAGGCAGCTGTGAGAAATTCATAAGCCTTTAAACAATTGGTATTGGTTATTTGTCCATTTGGTTCTTGGTAAAGGAATATTAGAGCAGAAAAAGTATCCTCAGTTCCATTGTCCTCATTTAATTTTAATAATTTTAATTGAATGCTTCCTTTAGGGGCCTCTAAAGTAGCGTTGCAGATTTGCATCTTTAGTAGCCATAGTAAACTACTGCTTAAAGGAACTGCAAAGTGGAATAGGCCTTATAGCTTTGAAGTTCTTAATGAACTACAAAGATTTTATTTCTGCAATTATAGTAAAAGCATGTGCCATTGAGTCCAGAAGCTAAAGCACAACTTGGGACCTTAGAAAACGCTTTGCGATAGGTCAGAACAAGCACGCTTCAGTTCACTAGGTCTGGAACTGAAAATTGCTTTGCTTGCTTATATTGCTTTGAGAAATGACGTAAGATTATATCTAAAATGCCTTAAATATTGTTGTTACTTTACAGTAGAAAAGAGATCTGTCAACAAGTTGTAACTGGGATAAGTGAGTGCCTCCTTTATGTGTAAAACTAGATAAAGTATTATGTTTAAATAGTTTGTGAATATTGCTATATTTCCTTTAACTTGTTTCCACTGTTCTACTGGCTTGCATCTTTGTTGCAAAACTGAGTTTATAGTAAAGCTTCACTTGGTCCTTCCATATTTGGATGCTTCTGTGTACAGTACCAGGAATTTTGGGCTCCCAGCTGCTGTAGTCATACAGAAGACCACATCTCGTGCTAGTGGTCTTGTATGTTTTGTCTCTATAGGCAAGCTGATATATTAGGTTTCAATGGCACATCCTTTTTTTAATTATCTAGAGTGATGTCTCTTGTGAAGTTGCATTTCTCAGCCTAATACTCGGTCAGATGAATATCAAGTAAATAGCTGTTAGACTTTCCGAACCCTCCGAATTGTGATGGCTGCAACTTATTGCTTATGTTGATTTTCAACATCTCATTGTAAATGTTGACTTTTCTCATTCATAGAGGTCCTGTAATAAAGGAGGATCTGGACAGGCTCAGAAAGAAAATGATTTACAAGTAAGTATTATCTCTTTTTTTTTGTTACTATATCAGGCTGCTGCTATAAAATGCAATATGTATTTGCTTTTTTATACTCTTAGAGCTGTTTTTTAAAAAAACAAAAACAAAAAAACCCAATTTGCTCATGTCTAGGTCCTGTTTGTTTGCTCCAGTGTTTCAAAAACAGTGCTTTCCCCACCTGTCTTTGGGTTCTTACGTTCTGTACTTCTAGTCTAGAGGGGTCTGCATGGTTCCCCTGCATAAAATAGGTTTCAGTAGCAAATACATGACACGCATGACTGATATTACAGTTTGTAAACAGATTTGAGGTGTAACACTTCATCCTATGCGTTCATACAATTTATTCACTTTAAGGGTTGTTAACAGTAAAGCATGCAAAACTTCTGAGATGACCTAGGCTATTTCTAGGCTATTCTTCTGTCCTGTCACATTGTGTAACCCTGCAGCTGTGTTTGTATATAATTATGTAGTACCGTAATTCACACTGCAAGGTACAGCAGTTCTTCATAAGCAAATCCGTTTAAGAAAAAAGGTTGCAACTTGCTGCCTGATCCAGCACAGACCTGCTGCAGAGAAAGTACTGCAGCCTACCAAAAAGCAAATTACTCATAGGGGGGAGACCTTTGGGGAATAAGAATGCATCTTAAAATAACAACTTAAACATGGATCCTATCTCTGAATCCTGAGTCTACATTTTCGTAAATGCCTAACTAAAACACTGAAGGATTAACCTTGAAAGTCTCCATTTGAATTAGTCCAATAACTTTGAAGTTAAAAATTAACACCATTCATTGCCTAAAGCTTATTCTCAAATTGCTTTCAAGAGTTCTTTGAGTAAATCATTGGTAATTATAAAAGCCTTTATTTCTAAAGGTGCAATGAATCATTCATAAGATAAAGACAAAACTGAATTGAAACTAGTGTATTTTTACTGAAGTACATCTGAACTAAACAATTAGATCTTGGATCCAAAGTATATGGCAGTACTTTCTAGTATGCCTTTTTGAACTAGCAAACTTATGCAGACTACAAACAACATTTCTAGAATCACTCAATGAATCACATCAGCATTCTGCTTAAAAGATGGTCAGTAGAACAGTATATATTGGTATTTAGTGTAGTGGAATGTGTGCTGTAGGTCTACTTTGTATAAAACTGGCTACCATACATTGGATTGGAATTAATGTAATCACTAGTTTTAGAACTGCAAAGGTAATAGCAAAATCAAGGTTAATTTTTAACCAACCTCATAACTTAAATTGTTGTATTTTATTTTTATATTCAGTGCAAAAAATCAGTACGCAACACAAACAGTTAAATATTTAGAATTCCAAGTCTTCATTGACTATATATTGTGAAGGATGAAAACAGCTGTCTTCTGTTAGTAATAAATTACAGTTTAAGAAATTAATACAGATACAGATTTGGATAGTTTTGGTTAATGAGGAAAGTATTCAGTGTAGATGGCCTGACTGAACAGAATAAGATTCTTAATCAGCTGGTGCTATTCAGGTCCTATTAAAAATTGGGGGGGGGGGGCTTCCTCTTGAGCAGTTGTGAGCAGCCTATGGGCAAGATTACCTTGCCAAGGTCCTTATTTAGCTTGCAAGGTTGTTTCCTCCCCATTCCTGCCCACCTGGCATCATATGCAACATCAGGTGTAGGGTAGTAAAAGATGCAGCTGCAAATGAATAATTGGGTATCTTAAAAGTATGCTCCTGGTTTGTTCCTTTTCCAGCTGGATTTGTGCTATGGTCTTATGGCTGGTGAAAGTAGTAGTCCAAACATCTGGAAGACACTAGATTGGTGAATGGTTAGACGAACTTAAAGAGGCGTCTTAACTCTCATAACAGGGAACTTTTGTTTGTAAACTCAAATGGTACTCGTTTATTATTTTTTAGGCCATTTGTTCTCATTCTTAGACTGGAAGCTAGTATTACAACCCACCCAGTTGGTCAACAGGTAGCCAGCAATAAATTCTAATACTGTGATAGCATAATCTAAGTCTTACACACTTTTTATTGCACGTTTTGCAATACTGCAATATTCTGTATCCGATTCTATATCTGAATCTAACTGATAGATGTAAATTTCTTTTTGTTAATTTCCTCAACTGTATCTCCCTTCATTATATATATTATATAAGTACCTGTTTCAGTTACTTTGTTTTCTTTAGGGTGCAGAAGCTGTGGTTCTGGAGAGTGTTATGTTTGCCATTCTTGCAGAGAGAGCTCTTGGACCAAAGCTCTATGGAATCTTTCCACAAGGCCGGCTGGAGGAATTCATTCCTGTGAGTGCCAACTATTAGTATGTGGTAGTTGTAACTGAATAGGACTGTGTCCTTCCTTGTGTGCTAGCAAAGATAAATGTGGGATATCTGCTAGTGTGTAGCTTTCTGCAGTTTGATTTGACATAAGGAGAATGGAAGCTGCTGTCTCAGTTTTTGGATTTAACTCCTTATGGCTCTTAATTAAATGGAGCAGAGTGTACTGTACCCTACTCAGTAGTAGAGGAACCTGTGGTAAACTATAGCAGTGGGAAACCAAAGTGCACCCCACTCACTTCCTAGGTTCCTTATATTTGTTTTTCATCATTATAGGTTGGTTGTTTCAACAATAAAGTTGATATTGAAATTTCCAATGCTTGTATTCCTCCTAATTAATATCCATGCTATATGTTTCAGAGCAGGAAGTTGGATACGGATGAACTGGGCTTGCCTGATATATCAGCAGAAATAGCTGAGAAAATGGCTAGGTTTCATGGTATGAAAATGCCATTTAATAAAGAACCAAAGTGGCTCTTTGGAACCATGGAGAAGTAAGCAATTGTAATTTTATTGTCTATCATGTTAGATAACTTAAGAGATTATTTATTTAATAATAAAATTAAAATAAAAATTGTTATTACGTTATTGCTATATTACGTTATTAAATTTGTATACCGCTGTATACCCGCAGATCTTAGGATGGCTACAACATAAAAACACTGTATATGTATATATATATAACCCCACACATGTTAAAAAGGGTATTAAATGTTGATCAGCCAATGGCCTGGTTAAAAAGGAACGTTTTTGCCTGGTGCCTAAAGGTGTATAATGAAGTTTAATGTCACTTATTTCAGCTCAAAGAATGGGTTTATTGGAAGCTTGCCTCCTTTTTTATGGTGTGGAAGGTATCTTTCCTTGGGCTAATTTGCGGTGCCAGAAAGTCCTTTATAAAGTTTCTGTTTCATTTTTATTATACAATTGCTTTGTGATGGTTATGGGGAGAGGAGGGGGAACTGTAGAAATACTAACTGTTCAACAAAATCTTTGTGCAGGTATTTAAACCAAGTGATGAGAATCAAGTTTACCAGAGAGTCACGTGTTAGAAAACTGAACAAGATCCTCAGTTACAACCTGCCTCAAGAAATGAAAAATCTACGGTAGCGTTCTAACTCTTGACAATTTTCATTTGCTTTACAACTCTCAAGTGACTGCAGACATTTTCAGCCAAACAATAACGTTAATTAAAGAAACGAGCAAACGCTTCCTTGATTTGCATTTTATTATTGTCAGTGGATATTCCTAAACATCTAAGTATATAATTACATTGTAGCCGATTCAGACAACAGTGTTTTGATTGCTTAGCTTGCAAGTTTCCTTTTTAGTGCACCACACAATGAAATTCCAATATAGTCAAATGGTCTAGCGTTCATTGGGTCTGTGCACAATGTTTCAGCAAGTTAGGTCACTTCTGCAGAGTGTTGTCCATTGCAACTTGGATCCATAGAGATAGTCAAGGTAATTTGGGTTCCATACTGTGGTATAGCAGAATTTTTAACCTAGTTCTCCAGTGGGTGAAATAAATGATTAGATGCTTTAGAAATGAAAGCTGCTTCTTCCTTGGAAATATTTTAACAAGAGACTCTTACCATGAATTATAATGTCAGCTTCGCTGTCCACACACAGGCAGTAAAGGAATCTCTAGTAGGTCTCCATGGCGGAATGTAGACTTGTTAAAAATAATAATTCTGGAGGCGCTATGTGGTTCCTCTGCCCCACCATCCACAATAAGCATACTAAAGGGAGAAAAATAATTTGATACATTAGAATCGCTTAAGCCCTCTTAAGCCCAGACAGACCATCACTGTTCCTAGAGTGGGGGAAAGGAAAGCCAGCAAGTGCCTAAATGCACTTATTTGCAGTGCTTTGCCTTTTCCTTGGAGTAGGAGTAGGTACAGGAAAAAGCACCTTTAGCGGACAACAGCTTGAGGAGTTTTGATTGAGAAGAGTTGTAATGTTTGCTCCTGAGGTTCTTCAGTGGAGGTAGGCAGCAGAGAGCTGAAAAATATTCTTATTTGCCGTACACTTTCAACACACTTTTCTTGCTTGTCTTTTACTGCTTAAGTGAGGGTACAGTTGACATTAGAACTACTATTCAGTTTAGCTCTTTTTCCTCTCTCTCTTCCAGGTCCTTGCTTGAAGCTACTTCATCTCCAGTTGTGTTTTGCCATAATGACTGCCAAGAAGGTACCATAACACTGTTGCATTATTTTAAAAATATAATAACTTTGCTCAAATGTTGGTCTGTTACAAATTAGTCATTAGTTTGAGATAAATACCATATCATAATTGAAGGAATATTCTGTTTAGAATCTAGAACTGGTTTTTACTGGGGGAAAGCTCTTAAGGCTGGAGTGAGAAAGGCTAAGTAGTGATGCAAACCATGTTGTATCTTCATTTGTTGCAGGTTACAGTGAAGAATAATCTGGGCTGTATTAAAGCAAATCAACTTTGTACAGTAGCCCCTGCTTATATTGTATACTGTGATAAAATAATACGGCATGGACAGTGCTGTTCTACAGCAAGTTGCCAATATCCCATCACAAGAAATGGAACCTAAGTTGAATAGAAGTAGGGACAGGTTATTTCAGTCTTTCCCACTGCTTATTACTTTATATCTCTCTTCTCCCAGGAAATATTTTGCTTCTTGAAGGTAGAGAGGATTCTGAGAAGCAAAAATTGATGCTTATTGACTTTGAGTACAGCAGCTACAATTATAGGTAAATGTTGAACCTTTGTATTTTTTCAAAAATGAAACTTCCATCTTAGTTTTCCTCAACTATATTTCTGTACTTAGCCTTTTATTGATTTATTGAGATTTCCAGTGTTTCCCAAGTTTAATAAAATAAATTTGTGTTTGCATCTAATGCTTGAAAATCAGACTACTTTGCTAAATACTGGAAGGATTTTGAAAGTTTTTGCTAGATATATTTTGATTGTGTTTATGCTAGGCAGTAGCATTAAAAATTGCCTGTATGTACTCGCTTTCAGTTAGTAAAATGTAGCTGCAGCATTTTGTTTTCTTCTAACATGCTGTCTTGACAGTACCTGGCTAACTTACTGGTGTTGTTACAAATGGAAATAACATCCACTGATAATGTTTATGGTAAAGCGCATGCTTTACATGTATAACATCCCCAGTTCACTTGTTTGTATTTTCAGTTACAGCAGTTGTTTGCTGGTTAAATTTGTTTGGTGCTTTATCTTGCATAAGGTAACCCAAAGCCACTTAAAGCCTCAACAGAGATACATTAAACCAAGAGGAAAAAGTAATATATTAAAAACATCCTCCTCACTTCTAAAAGGTCACAGATGGTTAATGACCAAAGACCTCATTATAGAGGAAAGTTTTTGCCTGGAGCCTAAAGATATATAATGATGGTGCCAGGTGAACGTCCCTGGAGTAAGAGTTGAACAATACTGGCCTAGACTAATGTGATATTTGATGCTAAATGGCATCTCCAAGCTTCTCATGAGATGAGATGGTAGTAATAATTTTTCTGCCATTGTACTGTGATCTCCCTTCCCCAAACACATTGGGAACAATCAAATTGGTGGTAATAATGATGCCACTTGAATGCTACTCCTAAAAAAAACCCTGTACCATTGTACTGTAAATTACCTATACAGTGAATTCTTAGTGAATGTCTGGTCTTTACCTCCTGCACAGCAGAGACATGCCTAAGCCTCATTCCAAAGTTTTCACTTTTGCCTGTGGTTGGAAGGTGGGATTCTTTAACATCTACCTACATTTACTGTGTAATCATATTTGCAAAAAAAAAAAAAAAAAAGCTTCTAGGAGCAACCTGACCTCAGATATTGGATTGAAACTTGTTATTAATATATATGACATGGATTTCTATGTTTGTGGACCACTAATAAGTAGCCATGAAATGTTAATTTGGGAGCAAGCAATAGAATGTGTTTTAGGTTTTTTTGCAAAGCTTAAAAAATTCCTTATATTTTGAATATTCTTCACTCTAGAGGGTTTGACATTGGAAATCATTTCTGTGAATGGATGTATGACTATGTGTATGAAAAATACCCATTCTTTAAAGCGAACTTCCTGAAGTATCCCTCAAGGAAGCAACAGGTGAGCAGTAAAACAATTACCTTGAATTTTGAGGTCTTCTGGCTTCCAATTCCATTTCTAACTATCTGGATGTGAAAGGGATTTCATTTCAGAGCTTAGTCTGTGGGTGATTGTAGCCAGTGTTGAAGCCAATGTTGCACAAGCAGATTTCTAATCATACAACTGGACTTCCCCTTCCACTCCTGCTCCTTGCAGGTCCCTCAAAGTCTGCTCTACAGCGCCACCCAACCCCAAGCAGGTTTTGAGGACCATGCAAGGGTGAAGTCTTATTATGTAGCCAAAGTCCATTTCACTGACAGGCAGACATAATTTGCTGTATCTTCAGCTTTAACTTTACAACTTGTCATACTCAATTTTTTGACAATGTAAAATTTTATAACATGACCTCAGTAGCAGCCGTTCATGTTGCTCCAGAGTAGTCCCAAAATCTCAAGTCCTCTGTAACAAAGTTTCTTAATTTCAGTGTTTGCTTGAAGAGCATCTAGAGTTGGAGGCAATGTTTATTACATACAGGATATCTTTTGTTAACTTCAGTACTGATGTCCCATTTTATACATGGCCAGTTAGTAATTGTTTTGCCACTATAACACTAAATCACATTTAGATGATAATAATAATTTATTATTTATACTGTAATACATCAAACATTAAAAGCTTCCCTAAACAGGGCTGCCTTCAGATGTCTTCTAAAAGTCTGGTAGTTGTTGTTCTCTTTGACATCTGGTGGAACGGTGTTCCACAGGGAGGACTCAGCTACTGAGAAGGCCCTCTGCCTGGTTCCCTGTAACTTGGCTTCTTGCAATGAGGGAACCGCCATTATTATTTTATTTAGCCAAGTTGTTTGCACAATGCCATTATTGATTTTGTAACTGGCTCCTAGGCTCATTATTATTACCATATTTTTCCGTATATGATTACCTTTTTTCTGAAAAAAATTTAGTGATAAATTTCTTACTTTTGGGATCCCAAAAATAGGGGTTGTCTGATACATGGGGTCGGGTTATACACAAAAAAATATGGTAATTAAATTTCCACACCACCGTTCAAGGATCACAGGTTGATTTACAGTATAACACAAAAAGACATAACGTAGTAAGAAACAAAAACAATAACCATTCCAGCATAAAAGCCATAGATTGTTTATTTAGCCAAAGGCCTGGGAGAAAAGGTGTGTTTTTGCCTGGCGCCTTAAAATAATGTAACAAAGGCACCAGGTGAGCCTCTCTGGGACGAGCATTCCACAATCTTAAAGACTGAGCAACTTGTTTGGCCTCATGGAAATTTGTTAAAAGCAAAACTGGAATACAAAACTCTACTAGGACCAATACTTAGCTAAAAACAAATGTGACTGCAGGTATAAAAACTTCTTTGGAACTGTGCCAGTGATTTAATAGCTGAAAATAACTTTGCCCAAATGACTGAGCCACTCTTCTGACTCCTTTCTGTGCTTTTCAGCTCCACTTCATCTCCAATTACCTAGTTGCATCTCAAAGTGGGTTTGAAAATCTGAGCAATGAAGATAAGTCCAAAATAGAAGAAGAAATGTTGGTTGAAGTAAACAGGTAACTTCCGTCTTCATTCTGGATTTACTGTATGTGATCCTGTTTCTGAATCTTGCTTTCAGTGAAAATGTAAATTGTACATGCTGTCTTAAGAAATCTTAGCAGTGTTTAATCTAGCCTGTGCTCTGAAATGGTTAATTTTCAGCATTTAACATCTAGAAGCTATATATCCTTAAAGAAGGACAAGTGGGGACCTATATGGAATATTATCCATAATAATTTGTCCTGACTGGTTGAGCCTGCTTTGAGAACAGCTGCTCTGATTTCCTAGAGCTGAAGCAGCGGGGGCATCCAATGGTTAAAATCACAAAAAGCATTCACTCAGGGACATTTTTAGTTCTAAACAGCAATTCAAAGTATTGTTGTGGATCTTGAAAGCCCTAAATGACGGTTCTAGGATACCTTAGGGGCCATTTTCTCTCATTCCAGCCTTCCTGTGCCCTAAGAGGCCCTTCTATGGAGAGGCTGAGGTAACACTGGTTGGCATGAGAGCTTTCTTAGTACTGCACCCAGATTTTAGAGTACCTTACCCCATGAGATCTATTTGGACATCCTGCTTTTTCAATGACTGGTTAAAAGTTCCCTGTCCTGGTAAGCATTTGTCTTGCTGGGCATGAGAGTTTTAGGGGACATACCCTCACTTTTAGAACGTTTATCTGCTGAACCTGCATGGCAGATTCCTGCATTGCAGGGGGTTGGAATAGATGACCCTCAGGATCCCTTCCAACTCTACCATTCTACGATTCTGTGAACCTTCATGCTTTTACTTTATTTTTATGACAGTGGTTTTAGCTGTTAGAAGCTTCCTTGAGTAGTGCATATGTACTGGAAGGGTAGAGCATAAGTTTTCTATGATAAACAAACCACTCCAGAGGCAGAGTGAGAACACATCCAGAGTTGTCCTCCTTGAGAAGTTGCATTTCTTATGTATCCTGTGTGGTTGAAATGAGCATGCTGTTGATGTAACAAATCCTAGACTACTTCACTTTAGTTAAAAGAGGCAAGGGTGAATTTTACATTATATACTAGAACGTCTAAAAAAATAATACATTGTGTTCTTGACAGGTTTGCCCTTGCATCTCATTTCTTCTGGGGTCTGTGGTCCATTATACAAGCAAAGATATCATCTATTGAGTTTGGATACATGGTAGGTCTTCAAACTTTAAATTCTTAATGATCAGCAGTGCGATATAATCTAGATTACTCTATCTGATAATTATCCCCTACCAAACCTATGTTTGTACATCATTCAGTCTAACTGCCAGCCAGCCAGGACTGATCTTTGTTGGTGCAATACTGGAGTAGGTAGTGTATACAAGACCTTAATGAAGGGGCAAGAACTTCCTCCACAAAAGAGCCACATTCCCTCAGGCGTAATGTGTCGGGGGCCGGAGGCAAAAGTGGGGAGGGCACAGGTGTGCATGCACATAAACACAAATGGATTCGGGCTGGTTGGATAGATAATACTTCCCCCCTGTAATTTGCATTGGTGGAGAGAGCTCCCATTTGTTCTAGTGGTAGTTTTACCCCACTGTAAATTGCAGATTTGGGACGCCTGCTCTAGTTTTAAAGCCAGAGTGGAGAGAGAAAAATGTTAAAGTCTCCTGAATTTGCTGCATTTCTGGGCTGGCAAGGGAGATGGGCGTGTCTCCAGAGACATTCTGGAGGAGGAGGGGAGGGAAGGCCTGGGGAAAGAAGGCCTAACTGTCCAGATAAAAATATTCACTGGACCCAGAGGCGCACCATCCCTGCCTTTATGGATGCTGCTCTTAACACCCCAAAGAGCTGTCCATTGACATTACAGATGCCTTGCTTCAGTTATCTCATCAGTTTGATTTCTCCCATCTTATTATTGCTCTTTGACTTATTTTCAAAAATATGCCTGTAATATTCAGTGACAAGACTTTGAGTGGAAATGTAAATGTAGTTATCCTTTGCGTCCATATTGTATCAGTAAAGATTTAACATATGTGACAGCTGCATTCAAGGCAGGTTTCTGGCATTTCATGCGAAATGTGATAGTTTGGCATTCTTTAATTGCCCTGGCATTAGGACAGAATACAAAATGCCTCTGCCTTCAACAATAATACTTTTACGTCACTTAGGACTATGCACTCTCAAGATTTGATGCCTACTTCGACCAAAAGAGGAAGCTGAAAGTGTGAAGGTTGAAGACTGGACAATCTGTTTCTGTACTGTATAAGGAAGGCAGCTGGGCAGAAATTCCACTGTGCTTAGGCTACTGTAGTTGTAATGAAGGTTTTGCAAATTCCAACTACTCGGATGCAATGCTGAAGACTGCACAAAATGGCTAAGTTTACTTTTTTTTTACAGTTTCATAAGTCCTTGGAACGAGAATTGACAGCTGAAGTATAATATAACAGTGCAATATCAAGCTTTTTAATCTAGAAGGTATTATGAGGGAAACCTTGAGTTTTAATGTGAACCATCCCATACTTCAAGAGTAAACAGTGTTAACTGTGGGTACCTATTTTAAGTAAGATATTTTTATCAAATTATCTTAATGCATTCTACATTTCTAGCATCAATGGGAAAACCACAATTCTGTTTAGGGGAAGTTGATATACTGTGAATTTTGGCTGAAAACCCATTTGAACAGAGGCTGTTCTTATGGGATAGGTCAAGCCATTCATCTCCAGAAAACTACTGGTGAACTAACACTAAAACATAATGGCTAAAAACCAACGAAAGGGTGCATTCTGGCTTCTTTCCATGCAGACTAAGGTAGCTTTCACATTCTGATATCTCGGTAGAACAAGGTACAACAGCTGCATCTCCAACTGGAACACATGAGTTGCTGTCCAATTAGCTCATTCCACATCTCTGACCAAGGATGTGCATTCACTGCCCAGCAACAGTCCTGCAGTATTGCATTGTTGTACAGGATGTTCCCTGCGCAGGCAGCACTGGGATGAGTGCCTTGAATTCCTCTACCTGCCCCTCTCTGGCTTGAGGGAGGAAGAGAGGGGCAAATGAGATGGGGAGCAAGCGAGGAACATTTGACCAATTGTGGCATGCTGGTGCCTTGTGGGGGCACACTGCTCCTTGTTTAAATCCCTGCTGCTTTCCCCATCAGATAAGTGGATGTTTCTTGTGCAGAAAAGACATTAAAATATATACGTGAACTTTACAATAAGTGTATGTTACTTTGAGAGCTTCTAGAAACATATCTTTTACCATCCTTATTTGACTTGTGCTTTCTGCTAACATGTATTGTACAAATAAACTTTTTTAAAGTCTTTAACCTTTTGCTCTCTCCTTACTATGCGGCACATGTCATTTAAATTTTACCAAATTCTCTAAATGAAAGGTATTGTAAATATGGATATTGTAGCATGCCACAAATGAAAGCGAGCTTGAGGATTTTATGGTGTTAAGTGTGAACTTGTAGTAGCACAGGAAATGAAAGATTCCTCATGGTGGGCTATGTTGATCTCAAGTCCTGTGATGAGTTCGAGCCAGATACAACCCAAAAGGTGGGAACTAAAATAATAATGCCTCTTAATAAGAAATGGCCAGGTGACAAAATGCAATGGTAAGAAGGTTCTGGTAGTTAGGGGAAAATGCAGCAATAAAGATGATTAATTGCTGGCCTTGTAGGGTTGCAGGAGGGATTGTGTTTTATACTTTAGCAACATGCTGTATTTTCTGGAAGGATAAAATGATATACAGTATGCAAGTAAACCTGCATGGATCAGTAAGAAAGTTCCATCATCCACTGTATTCATGAATTTGAGAGAACTGTGCTGTATATTCCTTTGTTAACCCAGAGTGGGATTCACTTAACCAGCCCCTTTAGTGGAAGCCCTGAGGTAGGCGTCATATTTTTAATGCTCTCTTTTTTAAAAAAACAAGCTTTGCATGTCGAAAGCTCGCAGGTCATAGAAAGGTTTAATGCAGCCTTTGGGATTTACTATAATAGTTTTGCTACATGTTGGACATTTTTGTAGATGGGAGAGCATTTAGTGATGTGGCCCCTGTTCCTCCACCCCCTGGCAACTGCAATCAAGGGATACGCTCCAGAATGCTACCACCTCAGGTCTACTACCTCTGAAGTGATTAATATTAGCCACATTCTACATTAGCTCCTTGCACACACTAGGCAACTTCCTCTGGCCCAGGTGTTGCAGTGAATGCAGTTTGCTCTCACCAGTAGTTTTGCCTGAACAGCACAGTGAGCCATCTAGCTATATGTCACTCTTCTTAGAGCAGGCACATGTAGATATAAGAACACTGCAGCGAGAATGGAACATGTTTCCAAATGCAAGTGGTTGTACTAATTATCAAGCCCAGCAAGGGAGAGGAAACTCTAATAATAGACTTCTTCCTGAATCAAAAGGAACGGAACACAATTTGTTTTCGAGTCTGATGAACAAGGAAGTTCACAAGGTGATGAGTTTTAAACATAAAAAGGCGCTTGAGGGTGATTGGCCATCTAGGCCTCATCTAGATTTAGCTGCATCAACACTTGCATAAGTGGTGCTACCGCTACTACTTAGTTTGGTGAGATTAACAACACAGACGTTAATAAGCAAAGGTATTCTACAAAAAATAGGCAAAGCAAAGGTAAGTCATCTGATTCCCCCCCCCTTTTTATAAATGATGAGCCTTGGACACAAATTGAAGCAGCAAATGGAAAACATCTCCTTATAGAAGTTGTGGCTTTTCTACCTTCAGCCCTTAAACAAATAAATTGAGCAAGTAACCAACTCTTAAAAACTATCCTCAGTGTTTGGGGGAAATGACACAAAAAATTGAATTCTGTGGTTTTATATGTCAGGACATAATAATTTGTTCCTTAACAGGCCTTAAAATTAGATAAATACAACCTCAGATGAGCAACAACACATGACATATTACACTGTGTTAGGAAGTTCACTGGGTGACCTTAGTCGAGTCACTGCTGCTCAGTCTAAATGACCTCACAGGGTTGTTGTGAGGAGGAAAACTATGCACACCACCTTGAGTTCCTTGGAGGAAAAGTGTGATAAATTGCAAAAATTAGGTGAACAAATAAAATATTTATTCCTAAATTGGCTCTACAAAATGTTTATGATGGGGGAAATTGAACATCTGTTACTGAAAGAATGGGTTTAATTCATGCTGGGTGCAGTCAGATTGGTGGTAGCATGATTTTGGAGAGCAACCAAAAATGTGATGTCAGAGCAAAAGTATGCCAAATTCTGGTTCATGGCTTCTGCAGAAAAACGCTAACTTTTCAAATACATTTGGACAAGGGGCAATCAGGAAGTACGGATTTGCTGTATGGCAATATTTTAGTTTTACAAATCAACAAGAAGCACAACAGCAGCTGCTGAAAATTTACTTTGAACTCAGGGAAAGTAAATGGAACTGTCATCTAAATTAAAGATTATTTCCCAAAATGTGAATACTGTGATCATCTCAATCATTCATGACCAATAACAACAAAAACCTCTTAATTGGTAAAAATGAAGCCTTAATGTACTAGTTACAGCTATGCTGCTTTGAAACAGCAACTATAAAAATGTTTTTTTATGCTATCACAGATGAGGAATATTGAAACCATCTTAAAAATAAATCCCCAGTTGTACTCTTCCCATTATTCTGCATGTTAACAGAGAAAGTAATACCACGTTTGTTGAAGCCAAAATGTTTCAAGGACTTGAGCTATTTTTGGGAGGCAGTAGAAGATTTATCACAAGAAAAGGCCATGGGAAATAATTTCTCAGCTCCCTGAACAAAAATACAGATAAGGAATCAATATAATGGTAGTTGTTGAAACAGGGTGGAGTTCGCCTAACTCCATATTCTAGTGTCAGCGTAAGCCAAGGGTCAGCAACCTTTTTCAGCCGTGGGCCGGTCCACCGTCCCTCAGACCATGTGGTGGGCTGGACTATATGGGGGGGGGGGGAGGAATGAATTCCTATGCCCCACAAATAACCCAGGGATGCATTTTAAATAAAAGCACACATTCTACTCATGTAAAAACACGCTGATTCCTGGACTGTCTGTGGGCCAGATTGAGAAGGCGATTGGGCTACATCTGGCCCACATGCCTTAGGTTGCCTACCCCTGGCGTAAGCCCTGCACAAGGTCTTCGCTTGCTCAACAGACCTTTGTCTGGCTGAAGATGTCAATTCCCTTCCCCCTGCAGTTAGTAGAGAGTAAATTGTACTGTGCTCTCTGCATGAGTGCTTTCCATTTCACATTTACTTTTATTTTGACCCTAAGATCCGTTATACATAGACCCCTAGCAGCACACTTGCTACTGCCTCTGTGCCTGCACTCAGATCTGTAAGGAGCATCTAAAGTCTTCCAGCCTACATGATGCTTTGGCAGGCATACTTCTTCACCTACCTAACACCCAGTTCTGTAGCTAAATATTTCCCCAGAATAATCATGTTCTCAGATAAAATTCAATGATCCCTAGAAAATTGCATTAATCCATGTATCCAGAAATACTTCTTCCCACCACACAGAGCATGTATGTTCATAATGCTTTTATCGCACTTAAATAAGCCCAGGAGGTTCTCAAATTTGTTCACAAAAGATGTTTCATAAAAGAATCACATTGAAATCTGGTACCAAAAACAACGCAGTGTCCCTATGGGACCAGGGTTATTCAGTTGTTTTTTTCCTGCCATCGTCCTTGTCTTCCCTGGTGTTGCCTCTGCCTACGTCCTCTGAAGCAACAAATGCCGATGGACTTCACTGCTTGTGGCAGGAATTCACAGCCTTCCTTCCACGTAAACCACACTGAACACTGAGCTCCCTGAACTCCCTGACTTAAGTGCGTCAGCAGGCAGGAGCTTCCTGGACATGAAATGGATTAAAAGTTTTCCTTGAATCTGTCTCGGAGCACACTGTACCTACTAAGTACAGTGGTACCTCTAGTTACGAACTTAATTCGTTCCGGAGGTCTGTTCTTAACCTGAAACTGTTCTTAACTAGAGGCGTGCTTTCACTAATGGGGCCTCACACAATTTCCGTTCTCATCCTGGGGCAAAGTTCTCAACTCGAGGTAACTCTTCCAGGTTAGCAGAGTTTGTAACCTGAAGCGTTTGTAACCTGAGGCGTTTGTAATTTGAGGTACGACTGTATGAGTTCCCTAATGCTCAGAATGAAGCTTGAGTTTAAAACTTCCCAGGTGGCCTACAATTGTGACTTGTTCAGTGTTAAATACAAATGCCATTATAATCAGCCCCCAGCCAGCATGAAAATGAATGAGTGGAGCATCTTATTGAACATGTCAATCCTCTTATATCAAGGCACCGTCTGTTTGAAGAGCTAGCCAGTCCAAGACCAGCATGATCCACAGTGGTCCCTCTTTCCTCCCCCATGATGGCCTTTGATCCCCACTTCAGCCATCGAATGAGGTTGATTTGATCCCCTACCCCATGTTCCTGATTTAGCTCTTCACTCACCCCTTCTTCCCTGGCCAGGGTGCGTGTGCCATTTTGTGATTCTCCTCAGGTGCCAAAATGTCTTGAGCTGGCCCTGCGAATGAACCACGGAGACTGGGTTAGGAGGAACAAACTTTACTTAGCTTGAGCTGCTACCAAATTAGTATACAAAACTGAAACTAGTCAGCTTTTCCTGCTGGTCTCACCCAGAATTCCCCCATGCAACCATTCCTAAAACTCTTCATTCCCGCTCACGTTACACTTGACAGGAGACTGAAAAGTATTGCATTTCTATAGAAATTATAGAAATTGTTTCTAAATTGGCATCTATATGTTTAATTAGCATGTGCAGATAACTCTCCTCTTTTTTGGTGGTTCATTTCCTCTTATTTGGCAATGTTTCAGGGACCACCCTAGTAGCTCCCCTCAAGTCTGGTAGCCATTTTAAAGCACAGAAAATGGCTGATAGCCAGCAGTTTCTCCACCCAGCTCCCCATCTTTAATGAGTTTGATGTGTCTGGGCTTCTATAAATATCACTTCAGCACTAAAGATGTGGAGGGAATCATTCCCTCCACCCTGACCCTTTCCTTTCCCTTTGGGCAAGTTCTTTTGAGGTGTGTTTGCGAGGAAGCCCATGACACAGAGATGGGAGAGGAGGAGGAAAGATTTCTTCAGCAAGCTTTGCCAGATCGCTGCTCTTCCTTTCTATACAGAATGCCAACTGCTTTGTCACAAGGCCCAGCAGCAGCACAGCCTGGCTCTGAGGCTACAGCACACTAGCCCTGCTATTCAAAATGCAATCCATTCTCACTTGCCCTGCTGCCAAAGTGAAGTCAGTGTTGGGAATAAATAGCACGAGGAGCGTGGGAAGGAGAAGTGGAAAGGGGGGGGTGTCAAATTGGGATGCACGACACATACTCGCTCTTTATATCTTTCGTCTTTTGCTGTTACTTTTGCCTCCTCTAAGCTGGAACTTGCACAGCCATGGCAGATTTCTGTGTGCAAGTAGCAAAGGCTTGTAAGGAATTCTGCCCTGCTTCATCCCATCCTGGGGCACAGCAAGTTGGAAAACAATGCAGACAAAACCTTGGTGGGGTATAAGAATGTCCACAGTGCATGGCAGGGCTGCTACAGCCCAGGGATGAGTTTTACAGATCTGTGTGACTAGAGCAACATTACAGGACCGGAAGAGTTCTTTTGTGTTTTATTCTGTAGAGCTCTAGGAAGCTGGGGCTCTATGCTCCATGCGTTCTGATTTGCCATAGAGAGATAGATAGATAGATAGATAGAGATATAGATAGATAGAGATATAGATAGATAGAGAGAGTCTAGCCGAAGCCATTACCAACGATTGCCTTTCAGATAGAATCAAGTCTACGTTCAAACCCTTTCAAAATCACAGAGCCAGTGGTTGAATTTGGGCTTGGGAAAATACAGACTTCTTCGGCCAATTCAATGGTGTCTCTGGTCTATCTAAATGCAAGTGTGCCAGGATCAGGTATTCCTGAGCCTGCCTCTGTAACAGTACAAAAGATACTCAGTGTGGCACTGTGCAAGAGGGTGAAAAGTGTTAAGTTGTGGGTTGACATAGCAGACGACACAGCGATTTCTCCAAGCAGCTCTTTATTTTGTAAGCTGGAACAGAACTAAGCTGGGGAGCTCAGTCAGCCTGCTTATATAGAGCTCCAGAACAATGTAACTGTTGCCATTTTCTAAAACTATCCAATCACTGAACGTCACTTTTCGATCCTTCATTTGCATAACTATCTACAGTATCCCCCTGCTGGCCCAGGGTGAGAACTTCAGTACATAACACCCCTCCCCACTGAGATAAGGCGTTAGTTACAATCGTAATGGTTTCCTTATATACAGCACTACACGTAATGGTTCAATTAGGCACAAAAGCATATCGGTTACATTTCCCATACTTAGACCAACAGTGATACATGTCCAACAACATAGTCCTTTAAATAAGTTGGGTGCTTGGAAACTCTGCCAGAACGCCGGGGACTGGTAACCAAGTCCGGGGGGCCACACAATTCTTGCTGAGGCTGTGGTGTGACCCTAGGTGGCGTTGAAACCAAATACCCTGGATCCGCTGCTGTGGGTGGAGCCTCTGCAAGTGGAGTGGTCTGAGCCTGTGGTAAGTCTGGCAGACCCTCTGAAGCGGCTTGGTTCGGCTCCACGCTGGCAGTTTGCGAGGGAGGTGTAGGTGGAGCCTCGCCATCTGTAAGGGTCTCTTCTGGAGCCACGAGCGCAGTTGGGGGCACCACGGTAGTGTCCAACTCCCCAACCCTGCACCTAAGCTGGTCTATGTGCCAGCGCCACAAGCGTCCGTCTTCGAGTGCCACCTGGTATGAGCGAGGTCCAGTGACTTCCACTACTGTGGCTGGCACCCAAGGAATGTCCCCCACATAGTTCCGGGCAAAGACCTGGTTTCCTGGAACAAATGACCGTGGCGCGTTGGCACAGCCTGGGGGTTCGGCCACGGCAAAGTCTGGGTGCAGCTGGTCGAGCAGTGACCTGAGGTGGCAGCCCATAAGCAGTTCAGCAGGACTCCACCCTGTGGCCGCATGAGGGGTGATGTGTTGCACAAACAAGTATTCGGCGACCCGCTCGTGCCAGTCTCCCCGGTCCAGGTGCGCCAGTGCCTCTTTTGCCGCGCGCACCATTCTCTCCGCTTGCCCGTTGCTGGATGGATGAAATGGTGCCGTTAGGGCGTGGCGGATGCCCAGTCCCAAAAGATACCGCTCAAAAGTGCCTGACGTGAACTGCGGTCCGTTGTCGGAGACAAGGACATCAGGACACCCATGCGTCGCAAGCAGGCCTCGCAGCACCTTGATGACAGCCTCGGTAGTGGTGGAGGGCATCAGGGCCACCTCCAGCCATTTGGAATAGGCATCCACCACTACCATAAAGGTCCGGCCATGAAAGGGGCCGGCCAGATCGATGTGCACCCTCCACCAGGGTGTCTTGGGCGTCTCCCAGGTGTGTCCCTTAGCGGCCGGTGGTGCGGGCCTCGATTCTTGGCACGCTTGACAGGCGGACACCCAGGCAGTGATGGCATCGTCCATGTTAGGCCACCAGACGTAACACCGAGCCAACACCTTCATTTTGACAATTCCCGGGTGGCCAACGTGCATTGCCTCCAGGACGCGTTGACGGATTCTTTGGGGAATCACGACGCAGTCTCCCCACAGCAGACAGCCGCGATGAGCCAAGAGTTCATGTTGTCTGGTTGCGAAGGGCTGGAACTCCAATGCAAAAGGCCCTTGTGGCCACCCCCTCCACACCCAGTTGAGCACACGGCTGATGGTGCGATCCTGGGCAGATGTGGAGGCCACAGTGGCAGCCGATACAGGCGCTGCCGGAAGATCCTCAATCAGGAGGAGCGATGAAGCTGGAGCCAGGTCTTCCACAAACGCTGGAAGAGGGCAACGGCTGAGGGCGTCGGCATGGCCCATCAATTTCCCCGGGCAATGGACGAGCCGGTAGGGGTAGGCAGCCAGGAAAACAGTCCATCGCAGCGAGAGGACCGGTGGAGTTGGACGATCACCGGCGAGGAGGCCCAGGAGCGGCTTGTGGTCAGTGATGAGGTCAAAAGTCCTGCCATAGAGGTATTCATGGAACCTCTTCACTCCAGCCATAAGTGCCAGTGCCTCCTTGTCGAGCTGGCTGTAATTCCGTTCCGTCAGAGATAGCGTCCTGGAAAAGTAGGCGAGCGGTGCTTCTCTTCCGTCTGGAAAACGGTGACTAAGGACAGCGCCAATGCCAAAAGGTGAGGCGTTGCAGGCAAGGACCAGCGGCCTGGATTCACTGTACTGTACCAGCACACTGTCCGATGAAAGGAGAGCCTTGACCGCGTTGAAGGCTGCCGTCTCCCGATGACCCCAGGACCAAGGCGTCTTTGTGCTGAGGAGTCGGTGAAGAGGCTCAGCCACCGTGGCTTTGTGGGGCAGGAACATGTTATAAAGTTCAGCAGCCCCAGGAACGCCTGCAACTCCGTCTTGTTCTTTGGGATGGGGGCCTGCTGGATAGCGCGGATCTTGGATGTGGTCGGGTGAAGGCCAGAGGCGTCGATAAGATAGCCCAGGAACTCTACCTGTGGAACGGCAATCTGGCACTTCTCCCTCTTTACCTTGAGCCCGGCCTCTTGGAATCTGGTCAGCACGGCACGGAGGCGCTTGAACAGCTGCTGGTGTGAGTCTGCGGACACCAAGACGTCATCAAAATATGGTACCACGCCTGGAAGCCCTTGCAGGAGATGCTCCATAAGGCTTTGGAAGATGCCAGGAGCCACACTCACCCCGAACTGCAACCGGCAGCAACGGAATGCCCCTCGGTGGGTGACGATTGTCTGGGCTTCAGCAGTGGCATCATAAACGGGCAGTTGTTGATAGGCTTGGGCAAGGTCCAGCTTAGCGAAGACCTTACCCTCACCCAGGGAATGCAGCAGGTGTTGGACAACAGGAACCGGATAAGCGTGCTGCTGAAGTGCCTTGTTGATTGTGCACTTGTAATCAGCACAGATTCTCACCGACCCGTCTGGCTTGACAGGCGTGACGATGGGGGTTTCCCACTTGGCGTGGTCAACTGGCTCCAAAACTCCTTGGACGATCAGCTTGTGCAGTTGTTCGTCCACCTTAGCCTTGAGAGCAAAGGGAACCCGGCGTGGCTTTAGCTTGATGGGGGCGACTTGTGGATCAAGGCTAAAGGAGATGGGCATACCTATATATTGCCCCAAAGTGCCGTCAAAAACCTCGGCAAAGTCTTTGACCAGACCCTCAGTCTCTGCGTTAGAGATGCAGTTGATGCAGGTGACTTCCAGGCCGAGGGCATCAAACCAGTCTAGCCCTAGGAGGCTTGGCCGCTGACCTTCGACCACCACCAGCCGGAGCAGGCCCGAAAAATCCTTGAAGGCGATCCGGAACCGGCCAACACCTACCACGGGAATGTCATTTCCCTGGTAGTCTCTCAGGTGTATGTGATGAGAGTCGAGTTGCCTTTTGGACACTCTGGGTACCAGTCTTTTGATGGTGCTCCAAGACACGATGGACAGGGCAGACCCTGTGTCGATCTCCATGTCACATGGAGCTCCTTCAATGAGCACCGTAACGTTCAGCTTGCGTCGCATAGGCGAGTCGGTTTGGCCAATCGTGGTTCCAGACGGGCAGCGGCAGTTGGTGAGAGCGAAACAGCTTTCCTTGGCAGACTGGAGTGAAGACTTGGACTTGCGAGTCGGTGAAGGGGGGTGTCAGACGGAACCGATCGGCAGACCTTAGCGATGTGGCCCCTTCTGGAACACTTCCGACAGATGGCGTCTCTGAATCGACACTTGGCACGGGAATGGTTGCCTCTGCAGCTGGCACATTCCGGTTGGCCCTTGGACTTCTGTTGGAACTTCCTGCGCTCCCGCTTTGTCTGGTGCACGTCATCGTCTTCACTGGAGGATGCCTCATCACTGCTGGCCTCTTCGTGATGCACTAGAACTGGCTTCCTAGCAAGACGCGGGCTGCTGGACTTGCGGATCTCCTGTGGCTTCTGAGGCCACAGCCTCCTCAATGGCTTTCTGTAGCGTGAGGTCTGGCTTGGCGAGGAGACGCCGTTGCAGATGGATGTCCTGGACCCCGCAGACGATTCGATCCATCAGGGCATCGTCTAAGTCTCGGAACTCGCAGTGCATTGCAGCCTGTCTGAGGGCAGTGGTGTAGTTGTTGATTGACTCCCCCTCTGCCTGGTTCCGGTGGTAAAACGCATGGCGGGCAGCAATCTTGGACGGCTTTGGCGCGTAGCGGTTGCGGACCTTCTCTTGGATCGTGTCCCATGGTGTTGCCTGGACTGCTTCAGGCGCAACCAATGCTCGGGCCGTCTCAAACACCCCAGGCCCACAGAGGCTGAGGAATAGGCCCCGCTTCCGTTCCTTTGATACTGCTGTCAGCTCGTTGGCTTGGAGGTAGCAGTCGAACCGAGCGAGGTAGGAGTCCCATGATTCAGAGGCTGGCGCAAACGGCGGTAGAGGCACAAGTGAAGCCATGATTCCGATACCGGCGTGAAGGGCGATGGATGGAACACAGTGCTCTAGCCAGAACAGTCAGCTCTGAATTGGTTCTGTCCAGTGATTTCGCTCAGTGATTTCGCTCAGTGATTTCGCTCTGTGATTCAGCTCAGTGATTCAGCTCAGTTCAGAGGATGGCCGCATCTGGCTGTGCTCTGATGTCCATCGATCCCACCTTCGTCGCCAGTGTTAAGTTGTGGGTTGACATAGCAGACGACACAGCGATTTCTCCAAGCAGCTCTTTATTTTGTAAGCTGGAACAGACCTAAGCTGAGGAGGTCAGTCAGCCTGCTTATATAGAGCTCCAGAACAATGTAACTGTTGCCATTTTCTAAAACTATCCAATCACTGAACGTCACTTTTCGATCCTTCATTTGCATAACTATCTACAGTATCCCCCTGCTGGCCCAGGGTGAGAACTTCAGTACATAACAAAAAGCCTACAATGCAGGGCAGTCCAACATTTCATACCAAGTGGGTTGCAAGAGTACTTCAACACACTGCCTTGTCGTGCAGGGCAGTAATACAGGGATGGCTACCATTTCTTGGCCAAAGAACCATGGGGGGGGGGGGAGAATGTGCCAGTAGTGGGTGTGACCACTTCACATTTGCTCGCTCTCTCACACACTCTTGCAGGAAAATATACACAAAGGAATGGATCCTTCCCTCCTCAGCTTATCTATGCAGATCAGAAGAGGTGGGTTATCACCCCATCTTTCCTTATCAAATGACAAATTGAACGACTAGGAAAGGAGTACTTAGCATTCCCATCAGGGAAATGGGCAGCACCCACCCCAGCTCTGTGTCTATTTCATTTTTGTGTCTGCTGCCAAAATCAGCAGGGAGTGGGACATAGAAATTTGCCGGAGGAGCTCCCTCAAACGGGGACTTAGCAACCCCTACTCTAAACAACTAAAGCAGGCAGTTTCCTGTAGTGAGGGTTGCCATCCTGCAACCTACGCTGCAAGTCCCTGAGCATTGCACCCATCATGGTTTTGCTCTTTGTCAGCCATGTAAGGAGAGGCAATAAGTTTGCGTTGGTTTCCAGCAAAGTGAGAAGCAAAATGGGACGTGCAGTGAACCATCTATTTTGTCCGGTGTCCCAGCTCCAGAACAGCACGCGCCACAGAAGGTAAGAAATAAACAGAGGCTTCAGGCCATACTATTAATGCCTGAGTCGAGAAGGACGTGTGACCAGTGGGTGGGTAGGCCTGGCAGAGTTTACATTCCCCCAGAAGCTGAAGAGATTATATCCAGTCTCACAATTCTGGCCAACGTAGCCCATAAATAGCACACTGAATAAACTTCATTTGCCTTGCCAGGCTTCACAGAGTGATTTAAGGAGCACACTTAGTTGCACTTTAGCACAGTGTCTCTACGCAAGGCCAAATACAGAGAGAAATCTCCCTAATGTCAGTGAGAAGCTAAATAGTTTAAAGTTAATCAACACAAGAGCCTAAAAATTCCTTGAAATCGGTTACCATAGGAAACAAGACTTGGCAGGAACCTTAACGGCTCCGATACAAAAGTGCGCTTGGATTTTATGTTCTTCAGGCTGCTGGGTTTTTTTTAGCTGAAATACATGTCGCACCATGTTCTTGACATCATCCCCAGCATAAACAAGTAAATCAAAAGTGAAGCCCACCAAGAGTGTAGAACCACACCCAGTTCTATGAAATAATTCTCAGAAACGACATGAGGCTAGCAGCAAACAGAACAATCAGCCTCCCCTGCACTGCGATATTAACAGCTTCCATTGGTAACTTGGTTTCTCACTGAATTAAATTCTCCTAAAGAGTGCATGGAACCATTTTTCAGATGCAGCTTGCCAAAAAGTGCAGCCTCCACGCCATCACATTTTTCATGGCTTACCACAGCTCTGTATATGCATGTGTGAATCAACCCTAAGGCTTGTTTCACTGTGAGATAAGAATGCAACAGCAAGAGAAATGCAAGAATGCATGGGGCACCAATAATAATAATAATAATAATAATAATAATAATAATAATATATTTTTATTTATACCCCGCCCTCCCCAGCCAAGACCGGGCTCAGGGCGGCTAACAACCAATAATAAAAACAAGTTGATTAAAACACAATTTTAAAAAGATTAAAATACAACATTAAAACATTAGGATGCAGCCTCTTCACAGGAGGAGAAAGGAAAAAGAAAGAGGGGGAGGGAATCAAACTGATTCTAAGCCAAAGGCCAGATGGAACAACTCTGTCTTACAGGCCCTGCGGAAAGAAATCAGATCCCGCAGGGCCCTGGTCTCATGAGACAGAGCGTTCCACCAGGCCAGAGCCAGAGTTGAAAAGGCCCTGGCTCTGGTTGAGGCTAATCTAACTTCCTTAGGGCCCGGGACCTCTAGGGTGTTGCTATTTATGGACCTTAAGGTCCTCCGTGGGGCATAACAGGAGAGGCAGTCCCGTAGGTATGAGGGTCCTAGGCCATGAAGGGCTTTAAAGTAGAGCCCATTATTTGTATTTCTCCAAGAACAGCACCTGTTTAACCCTAATGCCACTGCCATAATGCCAACCAGGCAAACCCAAATGCAATGTGTATCCTCCCCATGGGAATCCTTTAAAGAAGGAACAATCCCAACAACAAACACTCTGAAAATAGGCTGAAGTTTTTCTTAGGGGGTGCTTTAAGAATTTGACGTTTGTTTCCAGTGCCAGCAATGGTGTTAGCCACACACACACACACACTTGTGTATACACACATACAGACCCTTCTCCTCATCTAATCTGCATGATATATCACCTCATGGTTGAACCAATAGCTCAAGAGGGCAATTTTCATCTCCATCAGGGCACTGGGTCTGCATCAGGTGTGTGGGGAACTCTTGGCCTGCCAAATGTTGCTGAACTAGAACTCCCACAATCCCTGTTCACTGGCCATCCTTGTTATAAGGTGCATAATCTCTGTTGTTTCTTCAGCTTTGTAAACCACCTTGTGTATAATAATACAGCAAGGCAGTTTACAAATTAAAAGCGAAATGAAATGAAACTCTACCAAATTTATATTGGCATAAGCTTTTGTGGACAATGATCAAGACACATTGATCATGAAATAGACCCTAGCCCACAAACACTTATGCCACTATAAGCCCATGGGTGTTTTCTATTGTGATTTGGAGGTGGTATCCAATCACATATCAGCAAATTCAGACTGCATAATTGAAGTTGATTTGGAGCACGGGTGCAACTTCGGTTCCCGGCAAAAAGGATATTTTTTGCTGAAAGGAAACTGAAGGGAAAATGCACTAGAAAGTATGGGACAAGAATTGCTCTGTCATATAACTTCCTTGCAAATAAATCAGGATGAATGCTCAAGAAACAGGCTGTCTGGAAGCAACCAAGCCATCTTTAAGGTGCCAAAAGACTTTCTGTTGATTTCACTAGTGGTCTTCAGGGTGCTGTACTAGAGGACAACAAATATAATAAGGGATCCCACAGCCATTACATGAACAAACAGGGCTGAATATTGAGTTAAAATTTGCCCCTTCAGCACTCCAGTGCAAGTTATAATGAAGGCACAAGGTGAAGCAAAATGAAAGGCACTGCCAGGGTTTATACATGCTCCATGATTCTCAGTCAAGAACATACTGTTCTGGGACAATCAGACCAGCACACCATACTAATGGTCCACTATTTGAAGGCAGTCATCCTACACAGCATCATGGAATTACCATATTTATCTCTAGAAGGATTCGATATCCTCAGAGTTCTTTGTAGATATACCACTGGATACTCAAGTCCACCTTAACAGTTTAGTCACCAGCAGAGCTGTGGCATGAATTAAAGGTTTCATAATGGGAGTGTTAATGGTTTTGATATTCTATTCCTAGTTCCTTTCCCCCAGGAAGCAAACATGAATAGAAAACTACCCATTTACTGTAATAAATGGTGCAGGAAGAGTATATTGATGTAAGAATCCTCACCTACTGACTTCACTCAAGCGGCAGTGATTAACATCCAGTATGAAGATCCCATTTCTCATTTCCACCCCACAATGATTTTATTAAATTGTAGGTTCAGGAGGGCGCCAAAGCCTTCCAAGTCCAGCTCTGCCGGGCCCTAGGGAAGATTGCTTACCACAACACACATACCCCATAATCCTGTCCACAGTGTAGTGCATAATGCAAGGAATCAGAGCAAACAAGGTTAGACACCACACCAGAGGACCTGCAAATTAGCCAGCCCCAGATAGCTCAAGAAAGTGAGCCACCCGACATTCTAGAGGAGAAATAAAAAGGATTAACTAATGCAAAGGTAGAGATATTGCTAGGCTACAACTCATTACAATCAACAGCCTTGCCAGCTGAGGCTGATGGGGGTTATATTCCAAGATGATCTAATGGGCACCACATTGGCTACCCCTAACCTGAGTAGAAGAGTCTGAGAGGATACAAAATCACACGGGTGGAAAGTGCCAGAAAATTTATAGCAGTTTTTATTGTGAAAGGGGGATATATATGTGTGTCAGTTGGCTTTATGTTAAAAGCAATCAGATCAGTAAACCAGGGGTTTGCTGACAATGCTTACACATTTACTATGGAGGGTCAGCGGTCATGCAGCAATTTCTTTTTACTTAGCCATTCAGTTTTCTATCTGCTTCTGGCAAAGCAGCAGCAGGGCAAGGAGTTCACATAACTCAGAGATCAACCTCCTTACCATTCATTCACTTATGCTGTACTTCCACATTTAGCCTGCCCCAGGGTCACAAAAGTCTGAATTCAAATACTGCATGTTTATTTTTAACTTCTTGAATGGCTTAGCAAAAGATCCCTGATAGGCACACTAGGACATTTAGCTTCCACATTCAGCAGGAAGCAGATCTGTTCCTGAGATTCCACACAGCATTTAACGTAGCATAATATCCCCCATTACAATCTAGCAATGCTCACCACCCCCAGGGTAAACGCTAAAGTGCACCAGCCATAGGAACCTCAAGCGAGTTTGCATTTTGTCCTTTAACTTTTATTTGCATGCGTGTTGTTTTTTTAACACAAAATCAAAACAATTAAAAGAGAGAGAGAGAAAAGGCAAATTCCAGTTATTGAAAAGCAATGGGAGAAGGGAACGGACTACAAGGTACATAATGGCAAAGGGACAAGAGGTTCAAATCCTGTGGATCATCACTTTGGTAGTGGAGACAAACTAATCTCCAATTCCTCTTTCTCCCAAATCTGCATGGAAAAATGTAATCTTTTAGATTACTGTACTGTTGTAATCTCCTGCCAACCTAGCAGTTCGAAAGCACCTCAAAGTGCAAGTAGATAAATAGGTACTGCTCCGGCGGGAAGGTAAACGGCGTTTCTGTGTGCTGCTCTGGTTTGCCAGAAGCGGCTTAGTCATGCTGGCCACATGACCCAGAAGCTGTCTGCGGACAAACGCCGGCTCCCTCGGCCAATAAAGCGAGATGAGCGCCGTAACCCCAGAGTCGGTCACAACTGGACCTAATGATCAGGGGCCCCTTTACCTTTACTGTTGTAATGTGCACAAATAGCCACTAGGGGCCTAGGAGCCAACTCCTAGGGGCCAAGGTCTCTTTGCCCCACCCCATAAAATATTTGAGGGGCCCCCACAGTTGAGGGCAATTCCCATTCAAATGGTGTGTGTGCTGTGTCACATGATCGATTATGTGGGGCAGGGTTTCTCTCCCCCCCCCCCCCCCAAATATACCACAAAGCCAAAACAAGCACAAACTAGAATTGAATAGTTTTTGCTTGTTTTTGCTTTGTGGTATATTTTGTGTTCTCATTTTAAGTTTTTATGTTGTAGACCGCCCTGTCATCTTTGGATGAAGGGCAGTATACAATTATTATTATTATTATTATTGTTATTATTATTATTAAGCATACAGGCTTTAGGGCCCAGTTGAAAAGTCAACAATTATATCTGGGATAGGTATTTGCAATAGAAGTCAGCAGCTGTTACATATTCTGCACTCATTCAGAATCCAAATGAGGTTCCCTGACATTCTATCTTAAATGGGTGCTGCTTATTAAGATTGACATGGCTTCTATCTTCATCATAATCATTTATTTATTTATTTATTTATTTATTTATTTATTTATTTAAGACACCCCACCCAGCAACAAAGGCTCTGAGGGCAGGGCACAGAAACAGTAATAACACAATAAAAGCAAAACAAGAATACAAAAACCAACTGAAACTGACACGGGGACAAATAGAAGAAGACACCTTCACCCCGGTATGGCTCCCCTTTATCCCATACACAGCCCAACAAGTCAATGACAAAAATCCACCAACAGCATACAAATCAATATGGCTAACCTGATCCAAAACACCCACCCACCCCACTCAAACATGAAAACAAAGACCACCACAGCCAACTACAAATGAACAACCACACCCTAGGCCAACCCCAACCTCTCTCACCACCAGAGGAACACAAGCAAACAAAAAGAACCTGCACAAGCAACGCTGACACCAAACCCTACATATAGTAAGTAAAATAGAAACATTGCCACCTGACCCCACCCCCACCCATCTCTCCCCCTCCCCCTCTTTTCCCCTTTTCTTCCTAATGTCTCAACAAATGAAACTGACTTGTAAAAATGTTACATGGGGAAAAAAATATGAGAGAGAGAGACATTGCACACACTTTTGTAAATCAAGAAAATCTTTAATAATAATAATAATAAAAAGAATACAAAAACCATTTCCATCCAAACATGAAAAAGCACAATAAAATGGCACATCTTAACAATGAAAACCCAGCAGACAACCACAGATAGATATAGACGTGTGTGTGTGTGTGTGTGTGTGTGTGGGAGAGAGAGAGAGAGAGAGAGAGAGAGAGAGAGAGAATCAAGCGTGGGAACATTTAAAAGCTCTTTGTCTGACACTGAAATGATATAAACACAGGCACTTTGCAAGCATCCCTGAGAACACTGCAGAGGTGGCGTACCAGAAGCAAAGACTCTCTCCGGTCATCACTTACTTTGAATGACTAGGGCACCCCAGTTCATATTAACATCACAGTGACTGAGCAGACCACTAGGGAGGAAGACAGTCAAACAAACATCTGTCCACTAAACTATGTAGGGCTTTAAACCTCAGTACCCACAAGCTGAACGGACTCTGAAACCCATTGGGAGCTGGTCAATCTGCTAGCATGAACTGGAAGTGTAGAGGCAGCGTGGGGTGGGCACACTGGATTTTCATCACTCGTGATGAAAAAAGTGTCTTTAGCTTTGCTTTCATCTGTATTAGATGCTCCCTTATATTATCATTATTTCTTGAATTTATATACCGCCCTATACCCGGAGGTGTCACAGGAACACAGGAACTGTCAGGAACACAGGCAGCTGCTTCCTACCAAGCCCAGCATTGTATACACTAACTGGCAGCAGCTTCAGAGTTTTCAGACAGGAGCCTGACTTGGAGTTGCCAGGGAGTTGGAGCTGTCTGCCCCTGAGCCACAGCTCTCCCTTCACTACTATGCTGGCAGCTATGCAGGCCCTCATGCAGAGGTCTTCCCCAGACATGTTAGCTGCGATCTTTTTAACTGGAAATGTCAGGGATCCTACATGGGATCTTCTGCACACAAAGTGTGTGCTCTGACACTGAGCTATAGCCTCTTCCCAGCTGTAGGCCAACTGGCAGAAAATGTGGCAAAAGAACTTGAGTTCAAAATGGAGAATGAACACAGGTTTCCTATGCAACCCTAGGCATCCCATTCCTCTTCCTCTCCGTGTCCAATTCATCCCTTGACTATTTTAATGGCAAGGGGGTGTCTGTGTTTTCTTAGTGTGTTTAAGCCCCAGTTGCAGCCACACCATGCTGCCATTAGGTTCCCCAATGCAGTGCCCGTGAGCACAAACGGAGCCCTCAGAACACCCACCTTTGGCACCAATAAAAAACATCCAGTTATTTTGGCTTTTTGCTTGTTTGTTTGGCAGGAGAGTTGCCTGCTTTTTTCTTAGTGTCACGGGGCACATGTGGTGTTTGCTCTGTTTTTTTTTTGTGGGGGCTGGGTTCTGAACATTGCCAGTTTTTCTTCTGTGAAATGGGTATTTTTTTGGTGCCCACAACAGTTTCTTTGATTTCCATCTATGCTCCTTGGCCCAGTATCCTTGTTTGCTATAAAGTACAATGGCACAGTGGCCGTGATGGGGGAAATCCTTTTCTTCAATGGAAACACCTGTGAGAATGAAAAGAAATAAGTTTTGCATGAAAGAAGTTTGTGGCCTCTACTACTGCTGCTCTGACCAAACTCTGTCGGTCATTATTCACCTCTGCTTAAGAGGGCTTGCTTGGATGCTACAGTAGCTCCTAGTGTTAAGGAGGAAAGTTTGGGCACATCCACATAACTGCGAAATCCAACTTTTAAATGAGCAAAGGGTGCCACTTAGCTACAGGATGCTGGATGGACTGTGCCATGCGATGCCAGTGGTCATTCATATCGTTGGGTCCTCGTTTCCCCAGCACAGCCTGTCCTACAAGCTGCTTGCTTCTGGGACGCAGCTCATAAATGGAAATGAGGAGAGCACAGTCCCAAACTATAGGCTGAGGCAGGTGGAACAGGAAGGTTTCATTGAAGACAGTAATTGATGTGAGGGTCTTGGGCTTGGATTTCTGATGCTTCTGCTTATGGAGATTGCAGAAGACATCGATCCTTGCATATATACCTGGAACAGAAAGAGCATCAGAAGGAGTGGCAACATGAACAGTTATTGTCCCAAGATCACAACTATTCCTCTGAACTGGGCAGAGATTTAATAATTTATCTTTTCCTTGCATTGAGGCTGAGAGGGAGGAATTTGACGATTATTGGAAGCAGTAATAACTTCTATCTCTGTGAGAGGGAGGACTACAAATGTCTGTGACACAGCCATACAGGAGAGGTAAAAGGAGGAAGAATCTAACACTGCAAATGAGATATAATGTGCTAAGGCTTCAGAAGCACTAAGAACAACATACGGTACTCTGGAGCAAACTGGATGTGCATATTAATCTCTAACTGGATCGCAAGAAAGCAACTACAGAATATAAAACAAGGGTTCTAGTAGGGTTGCCATATTTCAAAAAGCAAAAACCAGGATACATCGAAAGTTTTTTTTTGTTTGTTTGTTTGTTTTAGGAAGACCCCAAAATTCTTGAGCTTTTTTTTAAAGGAAAACCCGAAAGGGCAAAGTGTTGCTTTTTGGAAATTCACCTCACCTTTGAAATCCCAGTAATGTCCAGGAAAATCTGGATGTACAGTAGCCCTAGTTCTAGAGATCTTTTGGAAATTTAGATAAACATGAAACTCATATTCCAGTAAACCAAAAAAGCAAGCCTGTAGTCCTCATCTTTGTATGGAAAAGCCTTGTAGTTTTGTATCTGCTGGTGTCAGAGATCAAAGCTGGACTTCCATTTATCAGAAGATAAGGGTCCCTATATAGTTCCCCCACTCCCTTCAATTATTATTATTTGGTCATTTCTCCAGCCCACCTATCTCAGTTTTTGTGCTCTATTGCCTTTCAGCACTATGCTACATCCATTCTCTTCAGTCACACCTTTGGACCACTTCCTGCACTACAGCCTGAAACAACTTCAAGGGGACAGAGATACTGAGCTGGGATTTCAAGATTGACTTTATGCTTTTAGTGCATGGGGTGAGGAGAAAATGATCAATTCCCAAGACACTCTCCACCTTCAACTATTACTGCTACAGTGTCTGTAGAACTTTAATCGGGCTCTAATGATACCAAGACTCTACATCTCTGGGTCAGTTTTTATCAACATATTCAAGAATACACCTCTCTTGTGAGTCACCTCTTTCCAGGTGGGACAGCAGGTCAGAAGGAGGCAGCACCCAAACATCAGGCAAAGAACAAGAAAACAGATATATTTACGTTTCTCTGGACTGTTGTACAAGAAGGCAGTTTTCACTTTCAGTAGCCCAACCTCTATCTTCTGAGAGATCGGAAGGCACTTCAGTGACACAAGAACTTCTCCGACTGTGTCCTGTGAAAAGATGTAAGGGAAACGCTGGAGGGGAAGGCCAGCAAATCCACTTGCAATTCTCCTTCAGCCTTACCAACCTTGAGGCCCAGGAATTTCCTTAGGATTGGAATGGGGAAGAGAGAAATCAGCTATGGCTTATTGCCACCCACTTTTTATTTTCCGACTGTTTCTTACTCTGTTGCTTCTATGGACAAGGGGTGGCAGTTTCTTCCTGTAGATGCTTGTGGACAACAATTCATGGCGGTGAAAGGTATTAAGTTGTTCAAAAGCCACAGAGTGAAAGTCTACTTGGCACAGAGTGGGCTGCTCTAAGTGAAAAACAGGGTGGGAACTATTACTAAGGCCGTTGGTTGTTTAATCTGTTCAAATGTATTGTGTGCATGTTTGTGTTCTACCCAGGTATTTGGTTAAACGGGCTTAATTTTTGTCGTTGTACTTTTGCTTGTTTTCCTTACAACAGAATAGTTAATTTCTTGTTTATTTGATTTGGTAAGATTCAGCAAGGATATTGAAATCCCTCGGGCCTGTTGTCTTCTACATTTCATCTTGTTGGTTTCAGCCTGGTTTTCCAGCTTGCCAAAATTACATTAAATCTTAATTCTGTTTTTTATGGTGTTAGCTATTCCTTCCAGCTTTGTGTCATCTGTAAATTTATAAGCATCCCATCTATAAATAGGAACTCTGCAGCTCTGATAATGCACGAATCATGTCTTCATAATTTTGAGAATTTTCTGGGTGATCTCTCTTTGTGGCAGTCTGCTTGTGTGACAGAAATCCACTTGCACAAAGGGACTTGCTATTTCTCTTTTTCCACCCCCCTCTAACCCCTCCCCACCAGGCACCCTCAAAATCATTTCTGGAGTGTTCCCTCAACACTTGGGAGCAGATTTTGTGGGTGAATTGAAGGCTGCAGGGGTGAGAAAGGGAAGTAGATGCCCCGTTCCATGAGCAAGTGGCTGCTCGCACTACTCTTGATCTCACCTTCTGTGTCAATAACCTGGAATTTTTATTTTGTAATAAAAAAATTAATGTAGGATTTTGAGAATTCTCCCAAAGTAATGAAGAAAACCCACAGCTACCTTTGTCGCCTTCTGTAATTCTTCACAGAATTCGATCTTTCTGGAAGTATTAAGTGCATTCAGAGCTATTCTCACTTCCCCCAGAGGCATATGCCGGGAATATCTGTCAAAGTGTTTAACCTATGGAATAATTGACATCATAAAATAATAACAATAACAATAACAGTAATAATCTGTATTGATTTATGGTGTTTATTCCTGAAATGCTTCACACGCATTTATCCCTGCAATTCATATATATATATATGCATAGAAATGATGATGATGATGATGATATACTAATGGCCCTATAAATTAGGCCAACGGTATTATCCCTATGGATGGTGGACTGAAGAGAGATAGTGGTTTGCTTAAAGCCACACAAAGAGCTCAAAAGTGAGGCAATATTTAAACTGAAGGTTTCTACACATAGACCACCATAGTATATGAAGTTTGAAAAGACAAATCAGTAGGTCGTAGTCAATTAATCTTTACTCAGAGTAGACCCATTAAAATTAGTGGACATGACTAACCGAGTGTAGTTCAGGCTTCCTCAACCTCGGCCCTCCAGATGTTTTGAGACTACAATTCCCATCATCCCTGACCACTGGTCCTGCTAGCTAGGGATCATGGGAGTTGTAGGCCAAAAACATCTGGAGGGCCAAGGTTGAGGAGGCCTGAGTTACCGTAGTTGAATACAGCCCAGTATTTCCTGCAAAGGTCATAAGACCTCAGGGGAATTTCCACTCAGATATGAAACACGGTGTTGAAATTCCAGGCCTTACTCTGCTCACGCAAATTGCTTAAAGAACATTTTCCTGCGTCACGTAAGTTGACCCTAGATGCTGTGTCTCAGTTCAGGTGTTATTCATGTGATTTCCACATGAATATTTTGCTTTTCATTCTGTATTCCTTCTTGGTTAGTACTGGGAGGGAAGGACGAGTGCAAAAGTTTGCACTCCATTAATTAATTAATTAATATTACATTTATATCCCACTTTTTCTCCAAGGGGCTCAAGGTGGCATATATGGTTCTCCCCCACCCCGTTTTTTCCTCACAACAACTTTGTGAGGTAAAGTTAGTCAGAGAAAGTGACTGGCCCAAGGTCACCCATTGTACTTCAAGGCTCGGTGTGGATTTGAACCCTGGCCTTCCAGGCCATAGTACAGCAGTACAACCACTACCCAACACTGGTTTTCTGGGAAATAATCTTCATAACTATCTTACACTTATTTGAACAGACATCCCACCATCTTCCTTATTATAACACAAGTTCCATGCTGTCGCTTTTCCCATTATCTGATTTGTTCAGTTGCTGCCTCCCTTTCACACTGGGGTTGATACAAGCACTATTTCGTTCACCTCATCAACGAACACATCAAAATTTTATCCATTTGCTTTTTTGTGTAGCTCACAAAAACAGTTTCCTCTACATGCAAGATAAAATGTAGGTATAAACCTCCACCAAGCAGCCTGAGAAGCTTGGGGGAGGATATTTTTTTAAAAAAAGTTGGCTAAAGAGCCCAATATATTGAGAAAAAGGGAAACATACGCTGACAGGAAATGCACAAATAGCAGTAATGGGGCACCATGTGTCAAGCCAAGCAAAAGGAAATTGAACAAAGTGGAACAGAGGGCAACCACATGTACCTTTTGCTTGCAGGAAAGACATGCATTTATTGGAGATTTCCACAAGATGGAGGCATTGCTCCATAGGCAGCTGAAAGATCAGCAGTTCAGATCTATGATGCACCTAGTTTTTTATTTACAATTTGAAATTATATCGTTACATGCTTTGAAAGGGTTTTCTGCCCCACCCCACCCCTCAAACCACATGACTAGAGCCCTGTGTTTATTTGAGGCGATTTCTTGCCTCATTTTGAGAACAGCCACTTCATGTATGAAATGCCATAAAACTTCAGCTTGCAAGTCTCAGTCTTAGTTAGTTGGTGTTAGGGCAACGGTGATGCTTAGCATCTGTATGTATTGGAAAAGCCTACCAACCTGGCGCTTACTTTTCTGTGTATAACTTCATCCAGAGTTGTTTTCTAAGCCTATTATTTATACAACAGCAAAAGATCTGGACCTTTCTCTGCTTCTGTGTGGTGGCTAGTACTGCAAGCAAGATCCACACTTTCACTGTGTGTGTGTCTTGTATCAGATTCCCAATGAATTACAGTGGTATGTTGGTTTTCAAACGCATTGGTTTCCAAATGCCAAAAACCCGGAAGTAAGTGTTCCATTTTTCGAACATTTTTCGGAAACCGAACGTCCGATGCAGCTGTTGGCAATTGTTTCTGGGGCGCTTGCACCAATCAGAAGCTGTGCCTTGGTTTTCAAACATTTTGGAAGTCAAACGGACTTCTGGAACGGATTAGGTTTGGTGCTTTTGTTTTTGCTATTTGCTTTGCGTTTTTGTTTTTGAGGCTTTTTCGGTTAATTTGTTTTTGTGACTGTGTGGAACCCAGTTCAGCTACTGATTGATTGATTGAGTGACCGTGGAAATGGATAAAAGCCCCCCCACCCAAACAATAACTATCAGCAGTGCAGGTAAGAAAAAATATTAATTCTAATTTTTATCATCTACAATACTGTCTTATTTATTTTATAGTACAGTACATTGATTATTGCTTTCATTTCATGGATCAATGGCCTTGTTAGACAGTAAAAACCATGTTGAATTGCTGTTTTAGGGGTTGTTTTTAGAAGTCTGGAATGAATTAATCCATTTTGCATTACTTTCTATGGGAAAGTGCGCCTTGGTTTTGGAACACTTTGGTTTTGGAACGGACTTCCATTAACGGATTAAGTTTGAGAACCAAGGAACCACTGTATACCCCAGCCAATCCACACTTCACAAGATAACAAAGATTGCAGGGTGTAGGGGGAGGGAAGAGTGCTCAGCCCCACCTGCAGCCACTGCTTTCCCCTTGCAACTGCCCTCAGGCCTCCCCTTCCTCTTCAGATAGGCTCACTTCCATTTTTGGAGTCTTGCGTGCGGGGGGGGGGACGGACATTTGCAGTGAGGAATCAGGAGCCGGCAGAAGAGTTCAGTACCACCTCCTCCTCCTCACCATTACACCCCTGCAAGTCCCTTTGCAGTCCAGGCTGGGAACTGTGTCTTTCCCTCAGCTAGGAGTGATGGCACCTCTCAAATGTGTGGGGAGGACCTATACATGATTTTGGCAGCTCAACTGTCTATTGCAGCTCAAAGGAAAATGGCTCAGAATCTCACATTGGACCTTACTGCATGTAGATGTGACTTGAGATTTAAACAAGGGCTGTAACTTCCAGGTGCTTTCCACATGATATGGCGTTGCCATATCTGGCGTTGCCATATTCTGGTTTCTCTTCAGATCGTATAAATCTTTCGCCTTTCACTTGTAGTTCTATAAATCATCTAATGTGTCAGCACGAATGGAAGTTATTCATATTGCAGTTGTTGTATAAGGGATTCTTATTTTGACTGGAATGTAATTGAAATTAATAAGATTTTGGAATGCAGAAATAAAGAAAATAATCAAACCATCAAATCTAGCATGCAGGGGGCCACCTAAATTATATAATTTAGTACAGTGGTACCTTGGTTTACGAACTTAATCCGTTCCGGACATCCGTTCTTAAACCAAGGCACGCTTTCCCTAGTGAAGCCTCCTGCCGCCGGTGCCCTTCCACCGTTCAGATTCCGTTCTTAGACCAAGGTAAAGTTCGCAAACCGGGACATTACTTCTGGTTTTGCGGAGTTTGTAAACCGAATTGTTTGTAAACAGGGCTGTTCTTAAACCGAGGTACCACTGTATTTGAATGAATGGTATTAGAAATTGTATTATAATTTGGTATTGTTATAATGAGGCTATTATTGGATTGTAATTGAAAAATTAAGTCTATTTAAAAAAATATGTGGGGAAGAGGAATGGAAGAGAGGAACCTTGGGTGAAGCAGGTCTCTGGGCTACCGAGGAGAGGAATCAGCATAGCAGAAGCACAGAAGGGACCCTGAGGATCATCTAGTCCAACCCCCTGCAATGCAGGAATATGCAGCTGTCTCATACTGGGATTGAACCTGCAACCTTGCCTTGGCATTATTAGCACCATGCTCTATCCAACTGAGCTATCCATGCTGACATCCTTAATATTCTAAGGCATATCCACTCCCTTGAAGCCACGTGCCACTAATTCACCCGAGCCCCCACCTGCTTGCACTGCAGTAACAACCAGGCTCGCCAAGACTCCATTACCATCCACTGAGACACACTAGCATGGGACTCACCCATATCATCTGGCCTGCTTTTTTCTGGGAACAGAACTTTAGTGCTAAAACACTGAACCAGGAATGTGGGAAGCTCTCCTGTAAATGCGCCCTTCTGTAAAACTATAGAAGACTACCCACTATCGCTCTCACCTGTAACTTGATGCTGCTCCTTGTCAGTTCGGCCTCCTGCAGGGTACAAGTAAACTGATCTCCAAAGTCTGGGCTGCTGGAGTTCTTTGCCACGTGGGTCTGCCATTCGTGGACAATATACTGGAGATCAGGAGACTGGGAGGAAGCCCAGCTCAGCAGCCTAACCTTGACAAAGGTGTTGGTGCACTGTTGGGTGGGTAGGCCCAGGGCTCCTGTGACGGTCAAGAGGAGCTCCAGCTGCTCTTTGTTGTAGAGAAGTGAGAACTTCAGTTTGCCTGGATACTCATCAGAAACAACTGCATCACTGCTCAAGTTGCCCATTTCGTGGCTATTTTCTGAAGCTGGTGGTGAAAAGCAGATCCCAAGCTTCTTGAGCTCCTTTTGGATTCTTTGGATCTGGACAAAATGAGAAAGGTGTGCTCTTAAAAGTGACTGACTTCTGAGTAAACAAACATTGGGTTGAACTGTTTATAGGCATATTTATTCATAAAAAATACTTGTATACCATCATTTTAAAAGGATCAAATGGTGGTTTACAACAATTATATATACACAATTAAAAAACACAGATCACTAGCTATTACAAAAAATGTTTTTCTTAATTGTATAGGCCCGGCAGAAGAAAAGTCTTCGGCAAATGTTTAAAGGTTAATGCAGAAGATGCCTACTGAATCTATATTCTACAGGGCTGGGCCAATGAAAGGCTCAGTTTCATGTGGATGTTCAAGGAGTTTCACCAGCTTGTGGAACAATCAGCGACGCTCCTATGGATGATCTCAGTGATCAAGCAGGGGAAGAAGCCCCTAAGGTATTTTGAACCTAAGATAAATTAATACAAGGGCCCGGAACCTGGCTCAGTAGTGGATGGGCAGCCGCTGCAGATGTTATAATGGTGATGCCACATGTCGACAGCCATGTGTCCCCATCAGCAGTCTGGCCGCCACTTTCTGCAGCAGCTGGAGCTCCCAAAGAACAGACATCCATAGAGCACATTGCAGTAAACCAGCCCCAGTGCATGAACTACAGTGGTTAGGCTATTCCTGTCCAGGAAAGGTTGTAGCTGACCAACCACACTTTTTCTTCTAGTGACAGGAATGTACCCAAGAGTACCCAAGCTTACACATCTGCACTTCCAGAGGAAGTGCGACCCTGTCCAGAATGGGTAACTTGCCTACCTCCCAGGCATGGGAATCGCCCTCTCAAAGAGCTTCTATTTTTCCAGGATTTAAACAGTTTATTGGCCCTCATCTAATCCAGCACTGCATTCGGACACCAGTCCAGAGCTTGCATAACCACTCCTGATTCAAATGTTATGGAGTAGTAGAGCTGCATGTCATCAGCATACCAGTGACACCTTGCTCCAAGACTCCTAACGAGTGCTCCCAATAGCTTCATATAGATGTTAAATTAATTATATAGGTTCAGTTGATTAAAATAACAAACAAAAAAAACCATTTAAAAGAGTTGGAAAACTCTTCAGGCATTGGAAGGTGGGGTTCTGATGTTACCAACACCAGCCAATCACTGCTATGCACAGCTGCGCACTGGCACAACCAATTTACCCCAAACTCAATCCCAGGCAGGTAATTCCACGTATGGTTGCAACTATTATACTTGCCTTGACCTCTTGAACATACTCTCGAGCGATGCCAAGAAGAGGTGTCTGCGATCTTTCCCCCTCGAAGGCATTCTCTTCTGCTATCCTCCGGGCTTCATTGGCAAATTTTCTTTCTGCAAGAACAAACATAGCTAAGTGCATATCATCAGAGACAAGTAGGTCCATACAGGAATATAAGGAGGGAAGGAACAAATATTTTTCAAAAAGGATCCTTGATGGGTTGGAGCAGCAAAGGGTGGTATCCACTTGCCCTGGTTGGGCAGAAGACAGAAAGGGCAATAGGCAGAGCTAGGGTGAATGATAGGCAGAGCCAACTAATATCAGTTTCATCCCCACCCTCCTCCCTTCTGAGTTATGTAGCACTGAGACTAAGGAGGAGGCTGAAGTGGAGGGAAGAAAGCAGGTAGGTGGGGGCTGGCTGAGAGCAGACCAAGGTTGGTGGGCAGTGCCCCATTCTCCTGGATGGACCAGCCTCTGCTTGGTTGGAGGAACCCATAGAAACTTTTTATTACAAAGTAATGAGGTCATAAGGAAATGATACCTCCTACCAAGTTTTGCATTAGAGCATTGTACAATAAAATGAAAAGCTGCTCACATAGGTATCATGCAGCACCTGAGCCACACGTTTGTCATCATGCACCTAGATATAATGCCCTCTTTGTGTTTTCATGCACCTGTGCAGCTTCCATGCTTGCAACTCCCCCCATTCAGATTAATGGAAGGAGAGGGGATGTGGAAAGGGGATCCGCTCGCAGAGCTATGCCTCCATTGACATGAATGGGGAAGCTCTTCTAAAGAGCAGTTGCAGCTCTTGCATTGCCTTCAGTTCTTTCCTAGTTAGGCTGCAAGTGTTCCTGACAAGAGTAAGAAGCAAGCCCAGGAGAGCGAGGCTTATTCAAGTCACACTCCAACAACCCTTGTCTTTTTGTGATAGGTCATCGTGATTTTCCGCCTAATTTGGCTTGGTCCTTGATATAATTGTTCAACCCAAAGGAACACATGCTTCTTATCCACAATGTTCTCTGTAACGTACCTTCCCATAATCTGCTGGACTTCCGGCATCTGCTCAGTTGGCAAGTCAGAATGATTAATGCCACCACCAGCAGGAGAACAGACAGTGCCAACATGCCATATTTCCAGATATCGGGGAAGGGCAGCTGAAGTAGGCTGAGCTTTGGTTGGGTCATAGCTCCCTGCTGGAAACAGAATGGATGCCCTTCAAGACTACTAGCAGTCACATCATGTTCAATCTGTACCATGGAAATGGAACCACATGGAACAATGTCCTCCAGATGTTGGGCTCCCAATCCTCATCATTCCTAGCAAGTATGGCCAATGAACATCTGGAGGGTACCACATTGGTAATCCCTGGCCTAAAACAAGGTTGGCAAGCCTGCAGTCCAGATCTAGCTAGGCAATGGATTTGATGTGGCTGCTAACCCCCTTCTTTCCCCCCACTGAAGGCTGGTCTCTACCATGAATGGAGAACCACAGCTTTGTACTGGGGAGGAAAATCCCCTGTCCCTAGACCCATCACTCAGATAAGAGGTTTCAACTTTAAAATATGTAAAAAGCAAAAGCAAATGGGCAAGTGTTGCAAAATGCCTGAATATGTAACTGCAGGTGAAATAACACGATATCTACATGGCCAGAATTTAGTTTTCAATTAGGCTTATTGCCCTTTCCTTCAAGCTGCATTCCCAAGCTATCCAGCTTGCCAAGGCCAGGCCAGTGACCTGTATGAGCCTTACACTGTCCACTGGAACCTATATATTATGGGGCCATCTCTTTAACCCTGTTTTGAGTAGCTTGCTTATTAATAAAAATAAGCAGTGCAGATAAATACAGTTCTTCAAGTCAACATGCAGACATGTCACCGCTGTGAAAGCAGAGTTTAGACAAGATCCAAAGAAGCCAACGTGAAAACCTTAACTGTGACAACAAAGGTGAACACTAACGGGGGGAAAGCAGTTGCCTGAGTTACAGTCCTGAATTATGGGATCTGCAGCTTAGCAATCGTACTGTGCAAAATATTAACAAAATATTATCTCTTCAAAATATTTTACGCACATATATTTATCCATTCTTTTCCAGATATCTTGTGCCCCAACTTTAAAAACCAAAACAATGATGAGTCAGTCATGCCTTGTTATTCATGCTTACTTGACTCTCCCTGTTGTGGCTGCTGCTGCCACAACAGGGGAGAGGGATCTCGGGTATGCTGATTCAGTGCACCCAATTCCCAGAAGCTGTGCTGCTTAGTTCATGTGAATGGATGGGCAATCTGCAGATTTGCTGGATGCAGACAATCTCAGACGGTGCACAGGATGTTCAGTCACTGGAACTCAGGAGGAGATGCCAATGCTGGCAAAGTGCAGCCACATGCCACACCGTGCCTCCTCTTTGCAAGCACCTCTTTCCACAATTCTGATTGTCCTCCAGAGTAGAAAGGCATATTCCATGTTATCATGTCTCAGTGGGAATCCACAGGAGAGCCAGTTTGCTTATGATTATCCTACAACAGGTGTCTCAAGCTCCTGGCACACTGTGAACCTACCACCTCCACTTGCCACAACACACCCACCCACCCACTCACCCACAAGCCACAACTTCGAATCATACCTTTTCAGACGCCTGCTTGAGAAGGGAGATCCTGGTGCTTGCTGCAAAAAAGTGGTGTAGGACTTCCAGTGCAGAAAGGGCTGGCATGCTTCACCAGAAAAACAAGTTCTGCCTCATACAGCAAGAAAACTGGGATACAACTGATCTGGATTCATTCTGCAGAGCTGATAAATAAGATCTTTATCTCCTTTCCCTAGAACAAAGTGCATGTGCCCAGGTGCCCAGATCTCTTTTAAGGCTCAGGATCAGCATCTGGGACTACTTTCAGATGACACCAAATCTATTAGCTACCTTCTTGGTAAACATGGAGCATCTGCACTCCCCTGATTTATGTTGCCCCAAAGCATTTTGTACTTGGCCAACACGGAACCAACTTCCTAGAGCTATTGCACCGTACATTTTAATAGGTGTGTTCAGTCACCATGAAACCAGTACATGTTTAGGACAAGAGTAACTAACTTGGGGTGGCTTTGTGTTTTCCTAAAAGTAACAGATTGCTCCAGAATTCTGATTAGAAATATAGGATTCCATGGAAATTTGGATGCAAGTGTCCTAACAGGGGCCAACTGGGCAATGTGTGCTCAGAGAGACATGCACACATCATCATTCCTATAGGTAAGAGAGTTTTTCAGCATAGCTAGATTGAATTGCCATAGTCCCACTTTCCAGAATGCGACAGACTATTTTAAAATTCCATTCTCCCAGATCTAACTCAGCTCTCTACACACTGGACCGAAGTGTATCAGAAGGAATGTTTCACACATGCAAAATCTGCAGCTGCACTGATGGGCACGTGCCTGTTTCAGGCCTTCTGAATTCAGAAATACTTTGAAATTATCACAAATGCCAGAATTCGGAAGCTATTAATGATGCCATGGTGTGCCAATTGCACCTCTTTTTAGACTAGCAAGGAAAACAAAGAAAAATCCAGCAGACATTTTTAAAAAGCAGTTGCGCTAGTTTGCTTATTATATTCCAGTATTGTGTCTACCCACATAGAGCTCCCTGTTGCACAGCATCTTCTGCAGCATAGCTGATCCCATATAAAGTAGACTGCCAGTTCCAGTTACTCACCTGTTAAAAAGCCAACTGATATTTTGCAGAGGGTTTGGCACAAGAGCAAAGGAAACAAATTCAAATAGAATGGAACAATAGAAATAGCATGTAAAGAGGGCTGACAAAGTACAGTAGTATTTCGTAGCCCTAAGCAGGGGGAAAGGTATTCCCATATAAACCAAGAGGGCACCCCCAGATTTCTCATGCAACAGAGGGATCAGGGGTGCATGGGCTTCCTGGCAATACCAAGAACAGTGCAACAGCTGGGCTCATGTGGGAGGGCAGCCCTTGAATTCTGAAGCACGTCACATTGTCTAGCTTACTAACCTCAGGTGTAGTGGAGGATGCTACCCTGTTACCAATTTTGAGTAAGTTTCAATTGCTAGTCCAATCATCTTCAGAATTTGAAATGGGGGTGCCATTCTGACCTTTGCCTCAGAAGGCAAAATGCCTTTCGTCAGCCCTCTAGTTATCACAATTACACATCTTCTGAGATACTCACGGAAGCATATGTGGTTTATCCTCACAACCACCCTGTGAAGTAGGTTAGTTTGACTGGCCCAATGTCACCCAGTAAGCTTCATGGGAGAGGAGGGATTTGAACCTGGTTTCCCACATTGTAGTCCCACACTTTTAACCACTGTGCCACACTGACTCTTACCCATCTAAGGCATTTGCTAGAGGAAAAATACACATCATTAGAGGTGCTCCCCTCACTTACATGTGATCATCTCATGCGTGACCGCATATATGCGTGGCACTGAGAAATAACTAAATAATTCAATTCATACCTGGAAATGGCAGGAAAGAGCTTGAGAGTCCCTTGTGGCTCATGAGAAGACCTTCCCCAGAGCCCAAAGAGGACATCAGTGAGGGCAGAGAAGAGACTGGAGGCATGGCAGGGCTTTGTTTAGGCTGCTCAGCCTCCCCGCCTAACAGCTGGTGTGTCTGGCAGTGCAGCAGTAGCAGCCATTTTCCAAGCGTCCTCCAGCAAGAAGCAGAGCTTCAGTTCTTGTTGTGAATATTTTTGGATACAGTGTTTTTGGTATGGATCAAAGAGAAAGCAGTACAAAGGGCATTTAAAGGGTGCTCCCCACTTTACACAATTTCACTTATGCACACAGGGGCCCTGAACACAACCCCCACGTAAATAGGGGGCAAACACATCTGTATTTAATCTGCTATATGTTTGGGAAATTTGCTTGTCCATTTGCTATGAGTTTGGGGACACCTCTTAAGATATCATTACCAAATTTTGCGCAATGTTTCCTCACATCAAGGAACAGGTTTTCATCTATGTTTGAATATACAACTGGATGCCATTTTGAATCAAGATGGTGCATTGAACCTTTCAAAACTGCACTGATTTGAACCACCAATTGCAAAACTTAACTGATTTGGGAATTTTGAGCTACGCCAGGTACAAGACTCCTATTGGAGAATAAGCATGATGCAGAGTAATCCTTGTTGTGCTACATTGCATTGCACTGTATCTTTGGTGATCAATCATAGCCGAGTAAGATTGTCTTCCATAAACACAGTTTTAACAATGAGACCGTGACTGTGGAGGCCAATTCTGGACCCACACGTCCTTCCACAGTGGGGACATTGGTTCCCCGGTGGGAGTCGATCCCGGTGAGGGTTTGCCAAGCATGCCTTCCTCCTAGCACATTTCTCCCTTGCGTTCTGAGTTCGAGTGTCTTCAAATCCATGACACCTTTGGTAAAGGCTGTTCTCCAGCTGGAGCGCTTGCAGGCCAGTGTTTCCCAGTTGTCGGTGTTTATACTACTTTTTTTTTTAGATTTGCCTTGAGACAGTCACTATATAGGCAGCAGGTGGCGCTGTGGTCTAAACCACTGAGCCTCCTGGGCTTGCCGATTGGAAGGTCGGCAGTTTGAATCCCCATGATGGAGTGAGCTCCCTTTGCTCTGTCCCAGCTCCTGCTAAACTAGCAGTTCGAAAGCACACCAGTGCAAGTAAATAAATAGGTACTACTGTGGCAGGAAGGTAAATGCTCTGGCTTCCTTCACGGTGTCCCATTGCACAGAAATGGCTTAGTCATGCTGGCCACATGACCCAGAAAGCTGTGGACAAACACTGGCTTCCTTGGTCTGAAAGCAAGATGAGCGCCACAACCGCATAGTCTCCTTTGACTGGTCTTAACAATCCAGGGATCCTTTACCTTTACGTTTTTTACCTATATTGGCAGCCAAGTCAACTAGCACTACCTATTATTCTGGAGTGGACTTAGTGAAATTATTCCCTTATTATCAATTGTAAGCACAAAGGCAAATGAGTAAGGAGCAGCCTTCCCATCAGGTTATTCTGCACCACTGAACACAAAGCTCATATGCCTTCAGGCTGGCCATATCCCAGAGCAAATACTGAACACAAGAAGATTCCTGCCAGGAATGCCAAAAGACATTTCAAGGGTCAGAGAACAAGGTGTGTGGGGCCAGTACATTCCTTTGTCATGGAAGCCTAGCCTGTATTGAGAGAGGGAGTGCTGGCACTTGTCCCCTTGTTGAGACTACGGCAGCATGAGAGCATTGAAAGCTTTGATACCGCGTCATCTAACTTCCCAGCAAACCAATCAGAATGAATGCTCAACAAAGAGGTTGCAGGGAGGAACCCTAAGTCTTAAACATATTGTGGAGCCCATCTTAGACATAACATGGTTGCGTGTATCCAGGCCCCTGTTTGCTTTCACCAGGGGGAAAAATGACCCAGACAGTCTGCAGATTAGCAACTTAACTTCCTACCCATGTTAAAACCACCAAAGACTTGCTAGAACTCAAGATCCTGTTTGGAAGTGTTGCAAGAATATTTGAACTGTGTCTGCTTGTTTATTCTTTGTGGACATCCAAGAAAGTTTTTAGCAACCCGTTTTTGTTTGGATTTATGTGTTTTAGTATGGTAGCCTGTGTTATGTTCTGGGTGTAACACGGGCTTCAGGTAAAAGTTTACAGATGCCTGAGTTATACACCACCCTTCCATTAAAAATAAATTATCAGGGCAGTATACAGCTAGGGTGGCTGAGTTTCTACTTTACAGAGCAGGGTCCTCTCTTTGAAGAGCTGTATGGTCCAGATCAGCATGAACGATAACGGACCCTAAGAAAAGAGTGTTGCTGCTTGTCTAGGCCCAGTCTTCCCCACTATGGTGAGATTCATTGCCATACGTTCACACACACACACACACACACACACACACACACACACAAACATATGCAAGTCTGTGTACTCTTATGGATTGCCCTCCAAAAGTGGCCATCCCATTTACACTAGCAAAGCAAATCATCAGGCAGAATATGAAACAATTCAGCAGAAACAAACAAAACAGCTGGAAGCAAATATTAAACAGAATTTCAGAAGCCCAAGTTTATACAGAAGTTTTAAACAAAGCAGCTAATGGCATGAGGAAATGTAACCATTGGTTTCCATCTTGATTCTGGGCATGAAGTTTTAAGGTGTCATACCGACACCTAGTGATTGGTTCCAGTTATCCACAAAAGGTAGCTCAGTCAGACAGAAAACCAAACATTAGCACCTCTTCACATTCTATTATCCATTGGAAGATGAATTAAAACAATGAGTGCTTCCAGGCATGTGTACACATGCCAGCCCACCCCACTCCACCTCCCCATTTAATGTAGATTTACCCTTTTCCAAGGAAAATCTGGTAGTGTGTTGGGGGGGGGGGGAGAGTTGCTGGCAATGCCTCTTTTTGCAAATTAACACCTCATCCAGAAAAACGGGATCATTTTGCCTGACTCCAAACAGAGCACAATCTTCTCCTGAAAACTTACAATGCTTACTCATAATGCAAAAAGGAAATGATACACGTTTCTGAAGATTATGTAGGGGAGATGCACTTCCTGAGTAAATCTTTTAAGATTAGAACAGCACAATTCTACTCCAACATCCTACCAACAAACCAGGAATAAACTTTTTTTTGGGGGGGTGCATACCTCAGTGTTCGAGCATTTGTGTTGCGTGCAAGAAGGTCCCAGATTCAACTTCCGCCGCCTCTAGTAGGGCTGGGAATGTCCCACCTGAGACCCTGTAGAGCTGGGCTGCCAGTCAGAACAGGCAATGCTGAGCTAGATGGACTAATGGCCTGACACTATTTAAGGCAGCTTCCTATATTCCTTTGATCTAGGACCTTGGTGTTATGTTCCTTCTTGCCAGCAATGGAGCTGCTCCAGTCCCTCTGGGGTAGCAGAGCCATCCTTTTCCTTCCTCATCATTGTACCCTTGGGATGCTTCTCCTCCTTGTCCACCTTGCTAGATGGAGCTTTGCCTTCCCAGGCCCTTCCCCACTCATAGACTCTGCAAAGGAGAGCAAAATCTCACTGTGAGTGATCAATTTCCCCTCTTCTCCTCCATAGCCTCAGGCTTGACTCCTTTCCCCCCCTCTTGTCCAGCCCAAGGCTTTGAAGAGCACATGGTGAAGTGGTTAGAGCGCTGAGCTGAGACCAGGGTTCGAATCCCCCTATCAGTTATGAAGTCCAGTGGGTGACCTTGGACTTGTCACCATGCCTCAGCCTAAGCCACTCACAAGGTTATGGTAAGGATAAAATTGGGATGAGGAAGAATCCTGTAGGCTGCCTAGGAATTAAGGCACATTAACCGGGTGGCGCTGTGGATAAAACCTCAGTGCCTAGGACTTGCCGATCGCATGGTCGGCGGCTCGAATCCCCGCGGCGGGGTGAGCACCCGTCGTTCGGTCCCAGCTCCTGCCCACCTAGCAGTTCGAAAGCACCCTTAAGTGCAAGTAGATAAATAGGTACCGCTTTATAGCGGGAAGGTAAACGGCGTTCCGTGTGCTGCTCTGGTGCCGGTTCGCCAGAGCAGCTTCGTCACGCTGGCCACGTGACCCGGAAGTGTCTGCGGACAGCGCTGGCTCCCGGCCTCTAGAGTGAGATGAGCGCACAACCCTAGAGTCTGTCAAGACTGGCCCGTACGGGCAGGGGTACCTTTACCTTTACCTTTAACCATTTATTCAGGTGAACTGTCATCTTTAGTGTCTCAAGACAGTTACTGAACAATGAGAATGAACAACACCCAGAGCACCAACCTTCCCGTAAACCTAGTATTACCTTACTACAAGTCCAGCTACACTAATGATATATCATGATTAACTACAGTCAGTCAAGAAGAAAAATAGTATACCACTGGTGTTGCACAGAGCCATACTGTATAGGTAATATTTTCTTTTTAACTTGGTTGTATATATGGGCTTTAAGACACTCATGAAATGGTACTTCAGGTCTGAGCTTCTGAATATCCAAAGGGACCAAGATGTGAGCTTTTGGTGTTCTTCACCATCAAAACCATAAGGCCATAAACCAAAACCAAAACCATAAAATCAGAAAGATAGTCTCTTTGCAATCAAACTTTATTTTATATTCCTACAGGGCTAGATTTGTTGATCAAGATACAAAAAGTTCACTCCTTGCATTCTCAGCAGAAAATATTAATATCAGAGATCCTTAAGGGGAGGGGCAATGTTGCATCCTAATTTTTGGCAATTAAAAAATGGGCATTATTCCCCAATTTTTCTAAAAGTCTCCAATATAGTTCTTCCCAAGGGAAGAGTTTCAAGTCATCTGCAAGTAACCATTATTGCTTTATGGCAGCTGGCAGGAGACGTATTCTACTTTGTGCTGATCTTAGTATTTCCCAAGAGGCAGAAAACCCACCAGCATATGCATTCTGGACTCAGCAGATAATTCCAGAACTTTCCCCATGCTGCCTCACCACTGAGGTACCAACACATTCCTAGCTTTGAATGTGGTTTCTAGGCATATCACAGCTCCATGAAATCTGGAATCATAAAAGTCCATCATCATATGGTCTGGTGACTTGGTATACAAAAAGAATCCCAACAGAAGAAAAGGCAGTCGAAGTGGCCACAGCAATGTTGCACCACTCATGTAACAACTTTAAATCCAGGCTTTGATTCTTCCAGGGCCTTCAGCTCATTATCCACGTCAGCAGTCCAGTAAGTGTCGTACAAACTGCAAGAGAGTTCAGATGAGAGTTCAGACATTAATGGTACTGAGAAGTCATGCAAAGCAGGTAACCTCCCTTATCTGTAAGAAAGAAGCAGCGCACACAACACTCTATTTCCCCAAGGGGAAAGGGCTTCCGATTGTTAACTTCCATTTGTACAGAGACAAGCAGTCTGGCTACTACGCCTGCCACCAATGGAAGTAAAACTTCCTTCAATATTAAAACTAGACAGAGGCTGTTCCTGATGAACAGACCCATGTTTCCAAAGAAGGAAGTCTAGGATCCATATTTTCGTTCAGGGGTACAGAACCTGTGTGCTTCCAGGTGTTGCTGAACTGCTCCATCTCCCATTAGTCCCAGACAGCGCAGCCAGTGTAAGGGGTTGTAGTTATGGATGTCGGAGGAATCGACTGAAAATGGGTCATCATGCAGGTTTCATTCTATCTGCTCTTAGGGGTTCAGATGCCATTTTAATTGGGGTGCACTTATTGACTTCGTCATCAGACCCACATCTTTGAGACGCCTTCCCCAACCTCATTCCCTAAGCCTATTACAGCACGAAAGAGTCACTTACATCAGGTACTTCAGGTTACAGTTGGGACTTCTCACTGCTTCGCAGAGCTTACGCACACCCTCATCTCCTATATGGCTGTAGCTTACATCCAGTTCTTGTAGGCAGGGTTTTCCAACGATGACTTCGGCAAGCTTATCGCAGCAAACCTCTGTGAGTTCTGATTGTCCCAGCCTAAGAAGAAGGGCAGAATAAGCACCAGACATATCCACAAGGGAGGAATATCCCTGAAGATGTCTCCTCTGCTGAACCCACAAACAAATTTCACACTGCTGCCTTTCAAGCAAGCATTCAGCTAATGTGAAGAGGAACAAATATCGGCCTAGGAAAAACGTAGTTAGCCCTTTAGTTTACTCAAGTGTTCCAGCATTAAAACATGTTCCAAACTGGCAAATTTATTTTTATTAATTGTAAAACTTGTAATTGGGTATTTCACATCACATGCCCTTCTTTTCAAGTATGGTAAGCTGTCACCATAGATGAAACATAGCCATGGAAGAGATCTGCTGCCAAGCCTTAAGGCAGGCTTCCTCAACCTCGGTCCTCCAGATGTTTTGAGACTACAACTCCCATCATCCCTGACCACTGGTCTTCCTAGCTAGGGATCATGGGAGTTGTAGGCCAAAAACATCTGGAGGGCTGAGGTTGAAGAAGCTTGCCTTAAGGCAAAACAAAGAGGCACCAGAATGCCAAACAGGGCAGGCCCCTCCCCTCCATATTTACAGCACTAACACAAGAGTTCTAAGCTCAATAACGTTTTAGAAAAACCTTAACACACTGTTTTCAAGAGAGCAACAAATGTCTAAGGTGACTTACCAGAGGGATTGCAGGTTACAGCTGGGGCTCAGAACTCCTTCACAGAGATCAGTCACCCCTGCATCACACAGATTATTTCCACCGATATGCAGCTCTTTCAAAGTCCCGTTCATGCTGAGAGCAGAGCCAAGGCTCTTGCAACAGGCTGAAGTCAAACCACATTCTCTTAGCCTATGGTAGACAAATAAGAATATCTCTGACAAGCCTGACAACTCTGCAGTGCAATAGGCCATCTAAGGTTACTTTTCCTTTCTGTGGAGTCAATCATATCTGACCAAAACAATATGAGAAACAGACTCAATACACATCCATTATAACTTCTTTAAATGGTGTCTGTTAGACAACTTGTAACCATAAACAGATAGTAGGTCAATATCAGGCAAATTGCTCCAGCAGAGAAATTAATAGACTGACTGAAGAAGGCAGGAGGATGGGCTGACAAGTTTAGAATGGAATTATTTAGTTCCTTCTCCTCTGGCAATGGAGCAGATTCTTCAACAGGGCCACCCTTGACTTATGGCTCCCTCTGAAGGGACACTAAGCTAAATCAGCTGGGAATTATATCAGGCAGGCTTGGATCTAAAAGACAAGGCACAAGGGCAGCCCCATATAGACAGCATTGCAATAATCAAGTCTTGAGGTTATCAACTTTTAATAAAAATATTTGTTTATATATATTTAAAAACTCATGCATCAGTTCTCCATGGTGGTTTTTCAGCAGGGGCTATATTTTGAACTGGCCAAAGGCTGAAGGGTCAGCAACCTTTGCCCCACTCAATTGCTCCCACATGGACCTAGATGACAAATCACTTTCTTCTCCTCTTTGGAATAGCCCAACTTTTCATATGTATCATTCACTTTTTATACCCGTACGGCCCAAGTTAAGCCTTCTCACACCTGACATCCCGCTGTTTCAGGCTACAACTCCCATCATCCTGACCTTTGGGTCCTGCTGGCTGGGGCTGGTGGGAGTTGCAAATCCAAGAAAGGGAGGGCCAGAAATGAGAGTAGGCTGGCCGAGGTCATAGACTTTGTGGTGTAGGAGATGCTGTCCTGCCAGACTGCTGACCAGTGGTGAGGAGTCTAGGAGCAGGCAAAAGGCTATCCAATCCATCTGCTCAGCCATTTCCTAGCAGCCCTGATGACCTGGGCACTTGCCTTGCCTTGGCTGACCTTGCAGGAGAACTCAAACAAGCTTTGGTCAACTTGAAACACCTGACTCATAGACTTATTTGAAGAGTGTTGTTGCTGCACTCACCCCCTTAGTAGGAGTAGTTTAATATTTTACGGGTTCCCCCTCCCCCTTCTCTATCTGGTTTTGGTCTGCTGGTTTTCTCATGAAAGACAGCTGCTATTGCTCACTGCAACTTGACTTGGTGGACAAAAGCTGTATAAAGGGATCCTTATGATCAGAAGCTGGAATACTGCGTCATGCTGAAAGTCCTTGGAGCCGGACTGAGCCTCTTGATAAATATCCTTAATAGTCACAGACCCATCCTGTTTACTCATGACATCCTTGTTACACCTGCAAAAAAAAGCCACAACAGAAAAATAAGCCTCCAGCTCCTTACCACAATGACTCAAGTTTAGATTTTGGGTCCTTCAGTCCTTGGCATAAGAACTCCATCCCTGCATCTTTTAGATTATTTCCAATCAGGCTCATCTCCTTGAGAGTCTCTTTGGTACCAATGACATTGGAGAGGTCCTTGCAGCCAGGCGCTGAGATATTGCATTCCCATAACCTGAAATAATAATCAAGTCACTGTCTTTAGTCACTGGCAAGATCTGAAGAGTGTGTTATAGAAACTTCAAGCTGTGTGTGCCGTTTGGAACCCCTGGAGTCCACATGAGCGAGACAGTTTGCTGTATTAAGACAAATCCTCATACACAAAGTTTCCCTCCTGCATTAAGCAGGAGCAACAGACATCTCCAACCAAATGCGTGTGCGGCCTACAATGTAAACCCCATGTCAGCCAAACAGACACCTACTAGAAGCGAAGTGCATTTACCAATGTGTCTAAGCCTGAAAGGTCCAATAACTCCTTAGGGCAGGGATGGCTAACCTGTAGTCCAGCTACTGTTGGAATTCAATGGCCATCAGTCCCAGCCAGGATGGTCACTGGTCAGGGATGTGGTCCAACAATATTGGAAAGCCACAGGCTCCCTGCCCTTGATTATGTCAATAAGTGTGCATGCAATTTGGATATATGACCCTTATTCACATAAACCTCCACATTTTCTCCCCTGGAAAATTCACCAGTGAAAGAAGCAGCCAGTGCTGCACATGCAGAGTTCTACTGATGCAACAGGTCATCCCTGTCCTCCAACCCTCTAGAACAGATTTTGAGCATTTGCAGAAGGCTGCAGAGGAGGTAACTTCTGTTGCACAAGCAGAAGTCTATCGCACTAGCAAGAAGAGCAACACTGGATATGAAACATTTAGAGTTCCATCTGCAAAACTTGTTTGGCAAACATTTACTTGGAGTCCTAGGAATGCACATTGGTGAAAAAAATGATTTACGGAGGACAGTGCTTTTACCATTGATTCCCATTGGCACTGCAAGAGTTTTAAAAAGCATGTTTTCCAGGGCTGGGAAATGTAGAGGCTCGCAGGAATGAAGTTTATGAGACTGAATTCTGCACGTTTTGTAACATGAGCAGCTTTCAGGATCAGGCATGTAGTTAATCAGATCTGGCTCCTACAACACACAATTCAGTATCCACCAACACAACCCACTATATATTGCATTACAAAAAGGTACACATTTAGAAAAAAGTAGAAAAGGAGGTAAAAAAATTACAAGGGGCTTATAAAGATATTATCAAAAAGGTACATGGAAAATATTTGAATTACACAGAAATTATTTAAGTGGCACAGGAATTCTTTAAAAGGTGCATAGTAAAAAGACACATTAACACTCACATAGGGACACCAAAATACTGCAACCACAGTGACACTATTTGAAAACCAAGAAAGATTATATATATATTTTTAGAAAATAGTCTGCTCTTGTGACAGCCTAGATGACAAGCTACACCTGCTCTAGATAAAGCCACTTACCACAGCTTGCGTATTTTGCAGTTGGGATTCAAGGCCCCCTGGCACAAGAGGGATACACCTGCGTTACCAATCTTGTTCTCGCCTATGCAGAGCTCAGTCAAGGACGGCTTTGAACTTAGCACAGCGCTGAGGTCCCGACAGCTGGCAGGTGTGATGTCACAGCTCTCCAGTCTGCAGGAAAGCAAGAAGCCAAAGCACAAATTACGTTCCGTTCAGCAACCCTGCCCACAGCTGCTGCCGCACACTAGCAGACACACATTATTTCAATTTTGCCAAAACTGCAGTTTTATTGGCCAGTAGTGAAATGCCTTAGAGGCTTATTGAGCACTGCAAACTCCCCCCCCCCCAAAAAAAAACCTTATCGAAATGATTGTGCATCAAGAAATGCAGTGGAATATGCAGTGTGTGTGTTTCTATGCCATAAGATGGTTTTAGGAGAAAAGAAAACCTTCAATTGGTTTTATTTAGAAGTGTCATCACATTAATCTTAAAGGAAGATTCCAATGCACTGTAAAATTGCATATACAGTCATATCTTGGCTTTCGAACAGAATGCGTTCCAGAAGTCCGTTTGACTTCTGAAACATTCAGAAACCAAGAGACGGCTTCCAACTAGTTGCAGGAGTGTCCTGCAGCCAATCAGAAGCTGTGGAAGCTGCGCTGGACGTTCGGCTTCCAGGGCAAAGTTCGCAAACTGGAACACCTACTTCCGGGTTTGCGGCGTTCGAGTTCCAAGTTGTTCGTGAACTAAGCTGTTCGAAAACCAAGGTACAACTGTAACATGTCACACACACTGCCAAGACTTCTGCTTTAAGGGCCACAATTACAGAGGTTGCAGCAAGTAGCCATTGTTACACCCCACCCAAACCAATTTCTCCCCCCAAGTTACCCAGGAACCAGCTGAGCAGTTACAGAGAGCTGCTCCTTCTGCAATTTGTTGCATCAAAGCCCTCCACATGCATTGAGGGGGGAGCTCCCATTGAAGCTTCCTTCACTCGGCAGATAACCAGACTTTTCTTCTTAACAGTGCCCCTCACTCTGAAGGCTTGTGAGAGCCACGAGGAGTTTGCGTAACTGCCCAAGCAGTTCTGATCACCGGCAAAAATGCAGGAAGCACTGACAGAACCAAAGAGGTGAGCGCTTCCAGAGCAGCCATGAAAGTTGCAGAAGAGACCATGGCTAATGGTGAAGGTTGTGTGGCAGGTGCAGTGAAGCGGGTGCAGCCTAAGCAAGAGGGGCTGAGCCTGGGGAGAGAGCCAGGGGTTGGAAATAGAGGCCTTACTGCAGTGATTGCAGGTTACAGTTGTCGTCCAGCACACCCTGGCAAAGCTGCTTCACTGCGGCATCCCCTAGTTTGTTGTTGCTCAGGTTGAGTTCCTTCAGGGATGGCTTGGTGCGCAGGGCAGAGCTGAGAGCCTCCACGTTCTCTGCTGAGAGCTCACAGTACTCCAGCCTATAGGAGAAGAACAGAAAGAACCCCCCCCCAATAGATAAGAAGGAGGCTCAAACAGTCTGGCATTTTCAAGCACAAAGCTTCCTCCTTCTGAACACACATCTGGACCAGCCCTCCACAACCTGGTGCCTCCAGAGGTTTGGGGGAGCTCCGTTGTCCATCATTCCCACCCAGTATGGTCAATAACCAGGCATGATGGGACCTGTAGTCCAAAAAACAACTGGAGACTCCCAGGTTGGGGAAAGCTGATCTAGACACAATGATTGTTCATGGAATTGTTTTAATGCATAGTTTATACTTTAATGTTTGTGTTGTTAGTTTGTACACCTGTTTCTTAAGAAGCTTATTTTGGCATTAAGCGGTATATTAATTATTATTAATAGTAAATATTTCCACCCGTACCAGCTCTGATCTCTCAATCTCTCTTGGATATTGTTATCGGAAAGTGTGTGTAAATCTGAGAAAAGACACTGTACAAAACACACTTTGTATGACTTTTTACAAGCAATTGGGGGGTGGGGAGGAATTGTTCACCATCAGCCTCAGCTATTTTCATCCAACTCCTTGAGAGTAACTCATGACTATGGCAAGATGCATCTGAGTTCGAAAAGAGATGCTTTCTAACTTGAGAAATCTTCTCAGCCAAGAGATCTTTGCTAACAAATCTAGTAGTCACTTACTGAAGCTTCTCCAGCTGGCAGTTGGGATCCAGAAGTCCCTGGCACAAGATCTTAACTCCTGCTGTGCCCAAACTGTTGTCTCCCAGGTGAAGCTCAGTCAGGGATGGCTTGCTGCTGAGCACAGAACGGAGACTCTCGCAGCAGCCTTTGGTGAGGTTGCAGTTCTGCAGCCTGGAAGAACAAGGCAGAGTTAAGTCAGCCTCCCTAAAACTCCTCATTTATTGTTTTACCTTGACGCCTAGATAATTGAAATATTATTTGAAATATACTGTACAATTCTGTGTTTGCATAAGACTATATCCTAAGCTTACATCTATAAATTCTCTGCAGATGATACTGATGCCCATGGGGAACCAAATATTAACGCTGCTGTCTTTTGAGTAGGCAAAGGCCATGTATGTCCCTTAAGAGTTATCTCAAGGGCACAAAGCTTCTCCCACCACAGCTCCTTTGTGCTATAGGCCCCCTGCCCCCCTTGATTCTTGCCTGCCTTACAGGTTTACGGACTGGCTTAGAAATGTTTGTTGGCTTTTGTTAGCTGCAACACAAGGAATCCCACAGCAGAAAAAGAATCCCTATACAGTGTGTTTCAAGCAGTACCAGCCCAGCAGGTATGTAGAAAAAATGCTGCCTAACAAGTCATAACACTTAACAGAGTTTTCAAGAGGAAAAACAGAGGAGCCAACCCTCTGCACTCCTCTTCTCAGTCATGTAACTAGAGACATCATCCCCTCCATAGTGATATTTTCTATATATTCAAGCCATGTGTTATAACTGCAAACTGTGGTAGGAGAAAACAGCCTACAATATCAGAGACTGCACTGCACTAGTGCAGCCCAGACTGACAGGGGCCATTTAAGTCATGAAGCCATAAAGCCATATGATCAGGAAGGCCGTAATTGCCATTTGAAAAACAGTCACATTTCACTAGAAGCCACTTTCCAGACTGCTCTCTGGGGTGCTGGCGCTAAAACCGAAACACACTGTTTCAGTTGTCAGGATGAGCTAATGAACACAAAGCCCCCTTGACACTTGAGATGTTCTTTGATCTGCTACTAGTTTCATATTTCCAGGTGCCCAGTTCCACTTCACCCAATTCAGGAGTAGTCACAGAGATCCTTTCCTTGTCCTATATGAAGCCAATAATAACATGTGAGCTTTGAAAGGTGTGAGAGCTAGAAAAACTCAGCATCTAACCCCAAATAGGTAGGTAGACAGACAGACAGACAGATAGGAGCCCAAGTTCTGCAATCTAACCTATTGGTTCACTGTGAAGGTGAATCAAGGTGTGGCAGTCTTTTCAGAGCATGCAAAACAGCACCACTACTTCTGGGCAATGTTGGGGGGAAATACATTTTAATGTATTTTTAATCTCCTGTTGGAAGCCGCCCAGAGTGGCTGGGAAGGCCCAGCCAGATGGGCAGGGTATAAGTAATAAATTAATAAATTATTATTATTATTCAACCCTGGCGATCAATGGGGTGACAGGTGTCACAGACAGTTCGCCCTCACATCCCTATTATTATTATTATTGATTTCCCCGCCCACTTGTATGCCAGCCTAAGCAAATGGTTTGATTATAGGTTAGCAGAGGTCCCACAGTCCAGCTGCTCCAGGAAAAACTCATACAGTGGTAACTTGATAGGAAGAATATAAGAAGCAGAGATCACAGTTCAACAATAGCAAAAATAGTTTACTCTAACCCCAAAAGGAATTCTGAGCCACTTTCTTAGCCAGAAGGGAATTTATCACTGACAACCTTCCTACCGTGGACATTTCCATCTGTGGAGACCTTCGGCTAACAAAACTTAAGCCATGACAGATTGTAGGGGATTTACCATAGTTTCTGAAGGTTACAGCTTGGACTCAGCAATCCTTTGCACAGCAACTCTACAGCAGCATCTCCCAGTTCATTGTTGTTCAATTTGAGTTCAGTCAATGTTTGCTTTGTGCTCAGAAAGGCGCAGAGATCTTTACAATGACTAGCTGATAGACTACAGTCATCCAACCTGAGAATGAAGGGGAAGAGGAGCCGGGTGTTAGCTCTAACAAACCAGCTGAGAGAAACATTTCTCCTCTACAGAATTCTTTCCCCCCCTTCCAACCTGATTTGGAAGACTTCCAGAATATTTGAACAGCAAAAGGTGAAATCCAACATTGTCTATCAGCAAATTGGAACCCTTGTTACAGCAGATTCCCCATATATCCATAAGCAGTGCGTTTTTTTTCTAAAAAAATGTTTTGAGGTACTCATTTTGACTCAAGAAAGTCACCATTTTATAGTTCAAATCGGGGAAAATAAATATAGTAAATGAACAAAAGTACAAAGATTCACAAAATGTTTAGAGGTATGCATACCTCTGAGTCCTGCCCCCCGAAAAAAAGCACTGCCCTTAAGCCTCCCATGCACTCACAAAATAAATCTGCAACAATAAAATAATTCAACAAGCAATATGATTTTCAAATGAAACAAGAGCAGACAAAAATGACTGCTGATTAGAAACAATTAAGTTAGACATTGCTTTCATTCGCATGCAGCACTATGCCAAACCATGGCTTACAGCAGTGATGGCCACTTGGCCCTCCAGCTGTTTGTGGACTACAATTCCCATCATCCCTGGTCCTGTTAGCTAGGGGTGATGGGAGTTGTAGTCCCATAAAAGCTGGAGGGCCAAGTTTGGCCATCACTGGCTTACAGGAACAAGCCAAAATCATATCTGACTTGCTCCTTCCCCTCTGTGTGCTGCTACTGCCACGGTGAACTTGGGCTTGTCTCTCCCAGACAAACCATGAGCAGTTAACCAAGAACAAAACTTGGTAACTGATAAATGAGAATGTGAAATCTGGTTATGAGAAGCATCTCTAGGTATTTTGGGGTAAGCAAGCATTACACCTGCTCAAGTTCCATCGGAATGGAGCCCCTGCAGTTGTGAGACTTTATGCACACCTTAACACACATGGGTTTCGCTGACATTGTACATACCTGATGGTTTTGTACTGGCTCAGGGTTGGAAGAAGTTCCTTCCAGCTGGACCCACTGAGCTCTTTGGACTGGATGTCGAGGTCCATTTTTGATGCAACAGCTGGAGAGAAGGGGGAGAGAGAGAGGTGTTATTTTCCTACAACAAGGGTCAAGGGGAAGGCTATTGTTCCCATTCAAACTACAGCATTTTTGTTTGCTTTTCTATAGCAGAAGCCACTATGATGCCCTCCACATGTTGATGAACTCCAACTCCCACCAGCCTCTGCTACCAGAAATGATGAGTGCTGGCAGCCCAACAGCAGCTGGCAGCCTCACTGCTGGCTATCCCTGGTCTACAGCATTTGCAGCTATCTCAGCTGCAAGCAAGAATTTCTCAACAGACTCCACTTGCTCAAGAACTAGCCTCCTGCTGAAAGGTACTGTTTGCGGCCGCTTGCAACTTAACCCAAAGAGGCCCCCTTCTTAACAAGAGCTGATGCAACAGCCCAAAAGCACACACATGAATCATGCAACGCTTCTGTATCTCTGCCGACAACCGGTCTTAACCACATTTACTAGAAGTGAACCTCTGAAGGGCAATGTTTCAACATTTGTAAACTTTAGCCCCATTCTGAAGGCGACTACGGTACATTCCTGATCTGCACAGCCTACATTTGTAGTGAGTATGCGAGTTTAGAGAGGGCCCTTTATTAAATGGAGCTGGCACTATGTGTACTCTGCAACTCCGGTATTTGGCACAGTGGCACCTTGGTTTACAAACTTAATCCGTTCCAGAAGTCCGTTCTTAAATCAAAGCGTTCTTAAACCAAGGCATGCTTTCCCACAGCAGTGGGGGACTCAATTTACAAATGGAACACACTCAACAGGAAGCAGAACATGTTCTACTTCCAAGGCAAAGTTCACAAACCAAAACACCTACTTCTGGGTTTGCAGCGTTCTTAATCCAAGTTGTTCATAAAATAAGCTGTTCTTAAACCAAGGTACCATTGCACTGTTAATCTGGACCCAGCAACTGCACTGGGTTTAACACACACAGCACAGCAGCCACGATGGATCAAATAGGATACGCCATTTATTTGGTAATTCATGATCTACATCTTATGTAGCTCTGCCTGTATGAGCAATAAAATTAATACAAAAGATGGAAAATTCCACCTTCTGTTCCAGTTCTCAATAGATATAAAAGGTGTATTGAGAACCATACTGTGATGTCAGTTGATTCATTCTGAAAGTGTTTTTTTCAGGGTGAGTGTGTTTTTTCTTCTTTTCTTTCCTGATAGTTGCTCTGCTTCATGTTCTTTCTCTCACCTGGTGGCCACAAGATCTTGGCCTGCTGTATGTATGACTCCCTATATTCCTTGGGAGGGATGGCTTTAAAAAAGAAAAAACTTCATGAGATCTTCTCATAAACCTCCCACATCACACTTGGTTTGGTCCCAAGGTTAGGCCAGGATTTGTGATATCACTTTGCAAAGTGATATACGTAACTATTCTATCAATCTCTCCAAGGGGTACACTTTATAATCAGCTTAATACCGTCACAAACCACTCCCCTGAACTCCAGGCATTTGGTACCCTTGGGTTTTTTCCCCCCTTTTGAAATTTCCAAGTGAAATTTGATAAAAGGTTAATCAGTGCTTTTTTTCTATAGAAAAAGGGTGCTGGTACTCAGAATGAAGTTGTTACAATAAGTGCCACACTTTTAGCCTTTGGGGGGGGGGGAGAATGGTGCTGGTACTATGTACCTTTCAGTACCTCCAGGAAAAAAATCACTGAGCTTAATTATTCTGGGTTGAAGTGCTGTTACGAGACATTTCTGAAAGCTGATTCACCAGTGAGCTGGCAGAGAAAGCACGTTTCATCAGCTCCAGAAAACCCAACCCAAATGCCCAACCTAACGACTGGATCTTCCCAATATCTGTTCCTGGAAACAACACAGAAACAGACTCTGTGAATACTTGTCAAGCAGGTCACCTGGTATTAATATTGCTGTGCCTCAGAAGCTAGCAACATTAAACAGTGTTAACAAAGCACTCACCTACGTGCAACTCTCTCTCACCTCCCTTTTCATAGTACAAAGCAGACACTGGATACTGCAGCCAGGAAGGGAAGTAGGACAGGTGAGCTAATGGTGCTTAACCCTTTCCATACCCTGTCATTTGTCCACTCAAATTACCTACTTTCCACCAGCTTTGGATAGAAAAAGAGCTAGGAAAGATATGTGGTGGGGAGCCTATATCTTTCTCCCAAATGGGCGTGGGATGATTTTGAGTGGAAATAGCAGAAGGAGACAGGGTTACCTACTTATGACACTTTTTCTGTGCCTGATCACAGATTCTGAAACTGTCGGGGGGGGGGGGACCTCCTAAGTAATAGTTCACAAATTATCTGCCTGGTTTGGCCATCAAAGGACATCCACGCATTCATATATATATATATATTCAATCTGTGCTGCATATTCTTTTTGTAGGCTGATAAACTGCACGGAGAGACTCTCAAGTCTTGGGGAGGTATTTGGCCATATGATATTCACTTCCAAGTAGTTCCACTAGAAAAGTTTGAGTAACCAGTTTACTCCTGATCACCTTTAAAGTAACAGACCACATTGTCAGCATGTTGCTGGGCATATAAAAGAAGGAAGTGTTCCCTAGAGATCACCGACTGTGCCCACACAATGCTTCCGGCTTAAACCATCTGCCTGCAAGAACCTTGCAAATTCAAATGTCACTAGAAATTGACAGTTCCTTCCATTCATAGAGTTGCAAGGGACCAAGTGGGTCATCTAGTCCAACCCCCTGCAATGCAGGAATCTTCCACCTAACATGGGGCTCGAACCCACAGCTCTGAGATTAAGAGCCTCGGGCTCTATCGACTGAGCTTTCGAGCCACATCATATCCTCCCACTTTGCACAGCTGAACTTTTGCCTCTCTCCAGGTAACTTTATACCTCAGTTTGTGCACTTTGTTGTTCCATCTGTCAAAACATGGAAATGAGTATAAGGCTCTGGTGGCTTCCAACTAGAAAAAGGAAAAGGACCAGATCTGCAGATTCCCAGAACTTGGGGCACAGATTCAATGCTTCTCCAATGTTACCATTTTATTGCCTTCTGGAGGGACATTATTGCACTATAGCACGGTGAAAGCATGCGCTCACACATGGAGCATTTTAAGTGTGGAAAGTAGCAGGATTTCAGGAAGAAGCACCAACTGGAAATGAAGCAGTATGCCTATCCCGAAATCCCAGCAGGCACAAACCATATTGAAAGTGGGGTCATGTATCATCAGCCCTATACCATCATGAGCCCAAATCGTAATGAATACACAATAGAAAGGACACCTGAAGCCTGTTCTCTTTTCTACCCCCTACTGCGATGGCTGGAAGAAACCACTAGTTTCTAGACATCAGTTATTTATAGCTGAACACACCCTTTTGGATAATTGGGCATCTAGGGATTTTCCATCCTTGCAACTCTATTCCCTTTCCCGTTTACATCATGTATGCAAATACAACATATGCAAAGCCTGCCAACTCCCAGTCGTTAAGAGGAAAAACGTACCAGGTTGATAGGCTTCACTCAAAGGAAGCTGCTGGTTTTTGACAGCCATTATTTTACAATGGCACAAACGATGGTCCTTCACTTGTTCCAGGGATGGGAAATGTGTGGGTGTCCTTCTCTTTGGCTGTTGGCTACCTCCCACCACCCTTAACCACTGGCAATGCTGACTGGGACTGATGGGAATTGGCATCCAGGGAGCCACGGGTTCCTCATCTCTAACTTATACCAACAAAGAGCTGGCCTATATGGTCCTATCTAATATGATACGATCATAGAGGTTTATCATAGAATTGTAGAGTTGGAAGGGACCATGAGGGTCATCTAGTCCAATCTCCTGCAATGCAGGGATCTTTTTGCCCAGTGTGGGGTTCGAACCCATGACCCTGAGATTAAGAGTTGCCACAGACCTACTTGTGAAAGCAATCGGCTCATACTTTATGCCTCTCAACTGAACAGTCAAGAGCTCCAGCTTGCGGGGTGGGGAGAGAAACCAAAGCAAGCATTGGGAGGCTGGTTGTAAATTGCCTAGTAGTTGTGAGTTGTTTTTTATCTAGATGCCATGAACAATTAAAAGGAAATTCAGCGAGTTTGATTCCTGTGTTAGAGCATGAACAACAGCTGACAATAGGCAATGCGGGGGAATGCCAACCACATGCTTTTCAAAACTGAAGCGCACTGCAAAACGCACAAAACCTCAGGTCACAAAACAGCCTGATGCCAGCAGTTGAGCAAAGCTAGCTAATGAAACATAAAATGCTGTTCACAGAGAAAACCGACATTCTTTTGGAACTGTATAAGTACCAGATTCATAGAGCTTAGGCAAGGGCCTTGCAAAGCCACCGAGCCCAGCCCTCTGCTCTATGCAGAAAACCCAGAGCGGGAGCATCCCTAAACAGACCTGGGAGTCTGGCCTCTGTGTGAAAGAGACAGACTCTGCCTTCCCTCAGACCAGCCTTTGCTAACCTGGTGGCCTCTGGGTCTTGCTGGAATACAGCTCCCTTCAGCCCCAGCCAGCTCAGCTAACCAAGATCTGACACCCTCCAACTTCAGCTCCACACGTTGGCAGCAGAAGGTTTCCATGACAACTTCCAAACACACAAAACACACAGATCACTGGTGCCATTTATCCTCTCAAGGGATGAGAGCGGGGAAGCAACAAAACCCACCCATTTCTTACTGTGTTGCTACTTTGAAATGCCACCACTGTCCTTTCCAAATGGGAGGGGGGACTCCTCCATATACCTACCCAGTGCGAGTTCTTCCACCACAAAGCTTTCAATATATATATTATTGTTATTATTAAGAAACTGAGCCAAAGCAGCACACTTTTTGCCATAGTAAAGGGGCAGAACTTCCGGGGAAATTAAAGTCATTCTATTTTAAATCGGGGAGGGCGGCTATTACAGCATACAAATGACAATGAATTGAGTTTATTTCACTGAAGCCCGAGAGCAAGTACTCATTCCTAGCTAGGAACCATTTTCCCAGCCCCGATCGGCCACTTTCTGCAGTGTCAGGCTCAGCAAGGAAGAGGCTGGAGTGCCTCCCTCTTTCCTTGCGACACAAACGCGTCAGAAGCGGGTTAATTAAAAACAGGAACTCAAAACCAGCCTTGCTTTCCAACCCCGCTGCCTAAACTAGAAATCTATTATTTGCGCGCATCGCAGGCACCTATGACACCTGGTTTAAAACGAAAAACCACCACCCGACCACGCAGTACTTGTTGGCCAACCCCAATACCTTGAAAAGAGAACGAGCTCTGCGCTTACTTACCCGATCTTCGGCCCGCGCGGAGAACCAACCCAAATACAGCTTTGCCGAAGCCAAGCGCCAGCGCCGCCGCCGCCGCCCGAAACGCAATAAATAGCTTCTCGGACAACCCACCCCTAACGGGAAGCGCTGGAACTAATCTGCCTAGCCGCGCCTCCTTCTGGGCGGGATCGCTCGCCTACAGTGCCGGCTGTAGTAATTAGATGGGCTCTGCTTTCCCCGCAACCAAGATGGAGCCGATTCTGTTTGGGCAAGCTCGGCTCCCAGGTCGCCACGTGAGGCTTTCCCAGGTGTGCGGTGACGCATCAGTCTCCCCTTTGGAAGAGTCATCACGGAAGGGAGTCCTGCTGGTTTTCTACGAGTCTCCTTGTTTTTACAATACCAGAGGTGCGAACGCCTTTGCTAAGAAGATCTGGGATAGCACTTTTGCTCTGACTTGCCCAGAGTCTGTAAATCTACCTCTCGATTAGGTTGTCACATCCTTGCTTTCGACCAGTAGTGTGACATTCAAGAGGTGCAGATTCTCCCACGTCTGCATTGCCACACTGGGAGAAGATGCTGTGCCTGTTGGCTGCCTGGAGAACTCCCAGAGCAAAAAGCAGGAATCCTATCCCAGGTTGCCAAACTGCCAAAATTCAAAACTTATAAATTTGTCACACACACCCTGAGATTTTATTTATTTTTTAAGAAGTCCAAGCAAACAAGGCTTTAAGAACCTGATGCTGGAAGGCTGACCTTTTCACAATTTTCTCCCAGCGCGTCTTTATGCTTTTCTGCAAACAGATGAACGTGTGCAATAAGCAAACTTTGACCCACTGTCTTATACTTCCAAGCATGAATTTTCACCCACAACACTGCAATATATCCCATCTGTACAAAATAGGTCCAGTGATGACCTTCTGCATTGAGGAGGAAGGGGCCATGCTGTTCATCTCCTCTAACTGGCTAGGGGTGATTGATAGCTTATCCTGGTATACACACTGGAAGGATGCCTCTTTGAACTAAGCAGGCCTTACTCCTAAGTAAACATGTATAGGATCAGGCTGCAAGTGTGCCCTGGAGATGCTCCCACAAAGGAATAGCAAGTAGAGGAGCATGGCAGCCAAAACATTTTAATGAACACATATAACTAAATAAGGTTTTCAAAATGGGAAGGCGCTGCTATGCTGAGAGAGCATTGCTGCTGTTCACCATTTCTGAAAAATAGCTAGAAGTGTACTCTTGCCCAGAAGAGGTATAGCAGGGTGTGTATAGGTGATTTTTAAAAAGAAAAGAAAGATTCCCACCCAATATATGGCATAATGCCAAAGACAATTTCCAGGAGTACCTCAGATAAGCACAATTCATGTTATGAGGTAAATAATGTTATGTTCATACCTGAAGCATTAAGTCCTAGAAGCATCTCTCCTCTTCCATAGCAACAAAAATATAACAACAACAACAACCACCTAAGTAACTAACAATTTGCTACCCATTTATGACATTCAAAATCTAGAACCTGAGGTGGCTGCCTCACACTGATAAATGGGAGAGACGGCCCTGGCAACTGCCACCCCTTGTCCCCATGGGCATCCATACATGTAGTTAAAAATCAGCTGTTCTTGTTTGTCCACAAACCTATAAAAAGATGGAGACAGAGCTGATGTGGGCCATGGAACACTGATAATTATCTGTCTTCTCCATTCTCTTCTCCTTCTGCCTATGTAATCAATTTCAGACCTAGCCCAAGGCTGCCAGGTCTTTTCATACAAGCCTCTTTGAGGAATCCTCAGTTAATTAAGTGCCCTACACTTTGTCCCCCTTTGGAAGCACCTAGTTTTTTACCAGAGGGTTCCTCCAGTTGAATTTGTTTCTGGCCATTCACGAATCCCATATACTGTGCTGGTGTATCCTCCCACAGCCTTGGACTGCTCCCCTGTCCATACCTGTTCAACAGTGTGGTGACCTTCATTCCTGACATCCTTTTAAAAGACAACTGCCTATGAAGGAAATTCCAGTTTCCTCTTTTCGTAAATGCCTCCAGCAAAGATTACTTTATTCTCTGATTTCACAAGTTCTAGTTCCTCCTACAACCGCCTGACCTAAGGAGAAGCAAAGGGCTGTTCTTCAGCTTTGCAGTTTGAAACAGGTACCGGGTGGAATTCAGTGTTGCATTATGTTGAACAATCTGTCTGCGCAACCTCCTTGCGGAGTGTGAAACGGGAGTCTGCTAGAACATAGGGATGGAGGAATGGGGGTTGTTAGACTTGGGACTCTTCCACACTTCCACTTGACCTGCCACTTTCCTCCGGGAAACCCCACTGTTTACTGCTGAATTGGAACAAACATCAATCGGTTTTTCTATAGATTGACAGCAGCGGATTTTCCTGGAGGAAGCAATGGGGCAAATGGAAAACCTCTCAGGCCTGTGTTTTCTAGGCACAGAATAAGCAGAGTAAGTGTGGATGAGCTCTTAGTGCAAAAGGAAGAAATTTCAGGGGCTACAGGGAGAGTCTGTTAGGGAGGAATATACAGAGAGAAAGGTTCTGTGAGTATGCATGTCCATGGGATTTTTTAGGGGTGGGGTGGGGAAACCAAAATAAAGCACTGAAAGGGGGAACAACCTAGTCCATGGGTAAGCAAACTAAGGCCCATGGGCCGGATTCGGCACAATCGCCTTCTAAATCCGGCCCGCGGACGGTCCAGGAATCAGCGTGTTTTTACATGAGTAGAAAGTGTTTTTATTTAAAATGTATCTCTGGGTTATTTGTGGGGCGTAGGAATTCGTTCTTTCCCCCAAAAAAATATAGTCCGCCCCCCCAAAAAGGTCTGAGGGACAGTGGACCGGCCCCCTGCTGAAAAAGTTTGCTGGCCCCTGTGGCCTAGTCTCTCAACAAACAAACACCTGAGCAGAATTGTGCCTGTACATTTTGCCTCCTAGCTCAGGTTCTACAAATTCTAGAAACCTGCTCATTTTAAATGATAACTGGGGATTTGAAGATTATGTTTCACCAGCGGAGGAGAAACTGCCACGTTTGTGGGATACCTGTTAGGCTCCAGTAATGCAGGCTGTGCACCTCAGCTCTTAAACACCAACATATTTATGTACATAACACCGAGACATATGAACTTTGGCCAGTTTCTTGACAAAAGACATTGCATCATAGCACTGATGGTAAACTTCTTGCTGCAGTGTATGTAGACTCACAAGGCTCTGACTGATAAGGTCATCCCAACCCATTCAAAAGTCTTATGATTTTAACAGCATGATTATTCAAACCATCTAAACTGGAGGACTTGATTTTACATACTAAACTTCTTGCTTCGGAGTGTCAGTGCTATATTGATTTTAGCGTGGCTGTGCCTATGCACACTGAGAATAAGTCCCATGGAATTAACTTGCATCAAGAAGTCTGTTATTCAGCAACCTGAAGCTCTTTGTGGCAGTGAGTGGCTGGTGCGAGGGAGTGGGTGGGTGTTATTCTGCTTGCATCTTGCTCCTCCTTTGTCTTGGGCTGTAGGAGCCACCCTCATCATTCTGCCCGGATACTGAGGTCCAGCTCCGAGGGCCTTCTGGCAGTTCCCTCATTGTGAGACGTGAAGTTACAGGGAATCAGACAGAAGACCTTCTCAGTAGCTGCACCCATTCTATGGAATGCCCTTCTGTCAGATGTCAAAGAGTGGCAGCGGCCTGGGAACAATTCCAAGGGCCATCTGAAGAAGCCTAGGGGCCACATTCAGGCCCCAAGTTTCCATCCTTGCCATAGGCACCTGGTTGGCCACTGTGGGGAACAGGATGTTGGCTCAGCAGGGCTCTACTCAAATAAATCCAGTCCCTTTGGAATAAATGGGGCTTTGGCTCTTACTTTTTTTTCTAGACTGGGGCAATTGCTTTTGAAAACTGTCCTGGCAAATCTGTTGAGTAGTGGGGTACAACTCTTTTAAATAAACGAAGCAGGCAAATGTTCCCTGTGTCCTGCATCATGACAGACACTATTTGGGTATGAGGTGATGCCCTTAAGAAACATTAGGAAGCTGCCTTTAACGGACTCAGACCATTGGTCAATCTTGTTCAATACTGCCCACACTGACTGGAAGCCACTCTCCCGGGCTTCGAACACGGTTCTCTCCCAGCCCTACTTAGAGATGCTGGGAATTGACCTTTTACAACCATGGTTCCCAACATGGGGCACACGCCCCACGGGGGGGGCAATTTGATTTTTAAGAGGGGCAATTCAAGAATGTGTTAGACCAAGTTAATGGCCTTTTAGGCTTCCTCCACGTGAATCGGAGTTCACTTTTTGAATAATAAAAAGTATATGTCCCCGGGGGGGGGGGAAATCAGGATTTTAAGTGGGGCATGGCCAAAAAAAAGGTTCAGAACCACTGTTCTACAAGCAGAGCAGATGCTCCCCACCCCACAGAATTTGCGGGGGGCGGGGCTTCTCCTTCTCTGACTTATTCCGAGCGCTAATCCACGAAGCAGGAAACGGCGTCCTCGCTTTCTAATGACTCATGCATCCCAATCCACTTCTCCAGACTCATCATGAGCTGGCACTGGAAAATAGTGCGCCATCCCCGGCTGCTGCAAGCGGATTGCTAACCGCGCCCCACTTGCATTCGCTACCGAAACTCCTAAGCGCTTGCATCCCTCGTTGGAGAAATCCCAAAGACGCAGCGCCCTAAACCACGGCGTAGCAGCAAACTGCGCGAAAGCATCCGCGTTCCTCTAGCGGCGGCCTGTGCTTGAGGTCAACAACCGAACTTTCTTTTTTGCACAAAGAAGCGCCATCGCGCCCTTTTATGACCGCCTTGGCCCTCAGATCGACTCTCTGCGCGCATCCCTCTCCAAGCCAGCCGCCCAAAGCTCCTTTAAGCAACCCCAGCTTCCCCGGCCTGCCATACTTACTGCGCGGGTCTGCCTTGGCAAGGAAGCTACTGGGAAACGTCAGCCGGATGCTTCCTACTCTCCGCCTGCTGGTATCCGCGCAACCGCCAGAGTTTGGGCTCCGCGCGCTTCCGCATTGCCAAATCGCCTTGGATTGTGCGTGTAAACTTGCTTGGTTTTCTAACGGATGTATGCCCCCGATCCTTCCTTCCTACACGTGTTGCGGGGGGGGCAGGATCAGCAAGAGACACGCAGCAAGGGTGGCTAGTGTGTATGAACAAGTATATTTCTTTAAAAGAAGCGGGGGTTAAGACATGTATGCGGGAAAGTAAAGGGATTGGAAGCCCCTGCTGTTAGGTATTTATTGCATTTATACCCGACCACTTTGTCGAGGGGGCGCACATGGTTCTCCCCTTGCTCATTTAATCCCCGCAACAACCCTGCGAGGTAGCTTAGGCTGCGGGGCTGTGATTGGCCCAAGGTCACCCAGTGTGAGCTTCATGGCCGAGGGGGGCTTTGAACCCTGATCTCCCCCAGTGGTTTTCCCGGTCCGACACTCTAACCACTACACCACACTGGTTCCGCGCGATCACTGATGCGCTCTGATTCCGAGTACTGGAAGCAACATCACCCCTTTACAGACGCTTTTGCTATCTACCGACAGCCCTGGAAAGGCACGGCGCATGCGCACAATTTGGTCCAGGCCTGCTGCGGGAATGTTGTAAAACTGCCGCAAGGTGGCACCGTGCAGCTTTCTCCGGCCCGCCGCTTGCGTGGCCCGCACTGACACAGCCGAGGGTTTTCTCTACCCTTCCAGTCACGCGCCAGGCTTAGTTACAGCTCTACGGCAACTCCTGATTGGTTGGAACGGCAGCGATTCAAAATGTGATTGGCTGCTTGTAGGAAAGGGAGAGTGTTTGACTGTTTATTTGGAATTCTCCGCTGAAGGCTGCAATTTCCTCATGCGGGCGTCTGGAATGCGCAGCTACCAGCAGCCTTTCCTCCTCGGCATCCAGTTTCCTATTCAAAAGAGCAACACCACCTTCCTGTCATCCAGCCGCTCTGCAGCAGGTGCTGTCCTGACAGTGAAAGCGGATTTTTGCATAATATGTCTATAAGCAGCAGCAGGGTGCCAACACTTACATAAAATATTTGGCGGGGCAGCAAAGCCCCGCGCCACATAATCGATCACATGATGCGGTGCACACATACCACTTGAAGGGCAATGCCCATCAATTTAGGCCCCCACCCCCATATATGTTATTGGGGCAGGGACAAAGCCCCCTCAGTCCCTAGGAGTTGGCTCTTGTGAGCAGCAATCACAGGGGGGTTGTGTTTTATTCAATCATTTCTTGACCCAAGGAACTCCAAGGACGTGGCTCTCACCTGCCCAATTTATCCTCCCCATAAGGCTGAGAGACAATTGCCAGTTCAAGTCTTCTCAGTGAACTTCTGGGCTGAAAACACTCAACCCTGGGCCCCTGGAGTCCTATAGTCACTTACCAAGCAGACAGTGTACACATGGAATCTTTAGACCATAAGCCTGTGGGAAGGGCATGTATGATTTTTAATTTTTGTTACAGTGCCTAACAATTTTAGGCGTAACAAAGACAACTATTGAAGTGGGTGAGTGAGCCTTCAAGTAAACTGGTCACAAGCTGTTAAGGGCTTCATATATGAATACTAACACATTGAATATGGCTCACTAATAAATCAGCAGCCAGTCCAATGGAAATCCTGCTAAGGTTATGCTTCACCTTGAAACAGCAACTGATGGTCTGTATTGTTTTTCTGGAAGAGTTATCATTATCTCTGTTAAGTGAATTCATTTGTTCCAGCATTTATTTTGATTTATCCAGAGAGCTGTCTGATTTGTGTTGTAAAATGTTACTGAAGAAGCAGTGTGTTTTGAGTTGTTAGAAGGGTTGGTGTCAAAGTAGAAACAGATAGGAAGATCTTGCCATCAAATTCAGCTTTGACTTCTTTAGCAAATGAGCAAGGAAAACAAACAGGAACCCAATGCCGGGGGGGGGGGGGACCAAAGCTCTATACATATACCATCAGCTCCTGAAGGAACCATAAAAAATCCTGAGAGAGACAGTGAAGCATCTCTTTTCCTATCTTCCCTGGAGCTCTGTCTTTCCTGAGGGAAGGGAAGAGCGAGGGAGCCCAGGCAAGGGAGTTCTTCCCGTCAGCTCCCAGTTGGCCTTTACATTTTATCTAATGTATCTGTTTTAGCATTTTAAAATGTTAAATCGCCTTATGTGCCTTGGGAGAAAGGTACAAATCCAGTAAAAAAAATAGATGACCAATGGAAAACGAAACTCTGCAACCAGTCTGGGAACCTGCCTATGATTTCTGAGAACTTATCAAGGAAGTTAGAACTTCACCTCGTTAGGCCAATGAAGGATGAGTTCTCCTCTGCATTGCTGAATACGAATTTGTATGTTCACACACATATCCACACCAGGGATGACTCCAAGGAGTAGTAGGAGGTAGCAGGCACACACACACCCTACCCCACCCAAATATTTATACAACTCTATTTGCTGCCACAGTTATTAGCCACAGTAAAATAAAAAAATAAAATAAAATGTCCAGTACAGTAGCACATTAGAGACCAAATAAGTTTGTTCTGGGTATAAGCTTTCATGTGCATACACACTTCTTCAGATACACTTCTATCTGAAGATACTCAGATACTATCTGAAGAAGTATGCATGCACACGAAAGCTTATACCCAGAACAAACTTAGTTGGTCTCTAAGGTGCTACTAGTTTTCCCAGTAGTGATTTATGGAAGTGAGAGCTGGACCATAAAGAAGTCTGATCACCGAAGAATTGATGCTTTTGAATTATGGTGCTGGAGGAGACTCTTGAGAGTCCCATGGACTGCAAGAAGATCAAACCTCTCCATTCTGAAGGAAATCAGCCCTGAGTGCTCACTGGAAGGACAGATCCTGAAGCTGAGACTCCAATACTTTGGCCACCTCATGAGAAGAGAAGGCTCCCTGGAAAAGACCCTGATGTTGGGAAAGATGGAGGGCACAAGGAGAAGGGGATGACAGAGGACCAGATGGTTGGACAGTGTTGTTGAAGCTACCAGCATGAGTTTGACCAAACTGCAGGAGGCAGTGGAAGACAGGAGTGCCTGGCATGCTCTGGTCCATGGGGTCACGAAGAGTCGGACATGACTAAACGACTAAACAACAACAACAACAAGGTCTGCTGGACAATTTTTATTTTTATTTTTAATTTCGACTGCGTCAGACCAACACTGCTACCTACCTGAATCTAGCCACAGGAAATTAAAGTTCTACATAGGATGGATAAAATCTTTCATCTGTAGGTCCTGCCCCCACCAGCACACAAGCGCTGCCCGGTGGCGGCAAACTTCGGGGGATGGCAGCCCCCTCAACATTGGGGAGGGCTCAGCCCCCTACCCTACGCACACTATGACAAGAGAAACGTTGCCGAATTGTCCAGCAGAGGGCGCACAAGATACCCCGGACCAGCGTGATGTTTGAGGTTTCTTCTGGATAGCACATGAGCAAAGCTTCGTGATTGGCTAATTCGAAATAATCATATGAGGAAGAAATAATTTGCTGCAACTGAGCGTAACGTGCAATGCTTGCTAACTGGATTTATTAAACAGCATACATTTGAAGCACAGTGGCGCCAGTTCTGTATTTGTAAACTATGAGGCTGAAGTCTGATGAAATAATATTATATGCACTGGGATTAATAGAACTAGTCACGAGGTCTAGATTTATTTTATTTTATTTTATTTCCAAGGAAGCAGACTGCCTTCTTTTCGCTTGCAGAGCATGTTTTTGTTTGTTTTTGCTTTGAATTTTCCACAACAAGGGAAAATCATAACCAGCTGTAACATACAACAAGAACAAGACTAGCATGAACAATAGCAGTCCCCATAATTTCTCAATAGCCCCTCAATAGAAGGCTCTTTCCTACAACTGTAGGCTTGACCATTGATATAGGATTGTTAGAGGGGCTGCAACTGAGTACTATAGACTAGAGGAAGAGGCAGGCAAAAATGTAATGGAGAATGCGGGCATCGATCCCGCTACCTCTCGCATGCTAAGCGAGCGCTCTACCATTTGAGCTAATTCCCCCTCGCGCTGCAAGCTTTCCTTTCAGCTATTATAGATTATTACTCAACAGTGAGCGTCTGAGCTAAGATATAACGTTTTATCCGACTTGTTCTTGCGGGAAACGAACTTCCTCGCCAAACTTAAGCCTAGTTAAAACAAAAGAAAAGCAGAGACAGGTAAGTTCTGACACCCAGCGAGGAGAAGCCACGCGGGGCTGGCGGGGGGAGAGAAGGAAAGGTCTGTGGGGGAAAAGGACTACATTTCCCATGAAACCTCACAGCGCGCATGTGTAACGTTTTCCTTTAGCTCGCCCGCGCAGGTTCTAGGCCCCGGCGGCGAGTTACTTTAGTCAGAAGGAGAGAGAGAGAGACTGGGGCGCGTGCGCGTGTGTGGAGCAGCTGCTTCGCATTGTGCGAGGCGGAGACTGTTTGTGCTGCCGCTCCTCTTGGCGCGCGCGCGCGCGCACACACATACAGAGCGGCGGCGGCCGCAGCAGCAGCAGCATCCTCTGCCAGAGGAGGATGAAGAGCGTGGCGAAGGAGGAGGAACGGATTCCAGCAGCCGGTTCGGCGCGCGCCCACCGCCCCACCGCTCTGAGGTAAGAAGAGGGGAGCCGGCGCCTCTCGCTCTCTCGTTCGGGGGCGAGCGAGGGAGATGTTTCTGGGTCCTCCTGCCGCCGCTGTCCCTCGCAGAGAGGGGCGCGGGAGCCGCCGTCCCGCGGGCTCCGAGAAGGCGACGGGTGTGTGTTGTGTGTTCGCCGCTACGAAGGGCGGGCTGTGCGGGGATGAGGGCAGGAGGCGTGCGCGCGGGGTCTGTCGAGGGGAGAAAGGACTTAGCGGGATAAATGCATTATCGTGTGTATGGAAGCGGGAGGGGGGTGGTCTTGGTTGACAGGCGAGGGGAGGACTGTGCGGGGCCGGCTGCTCCCTTCCCTGCGCCTGTGTGTGCTATAGGGTGGATGGGGGGGGGAGTGTCATATAATAGTGAACGGTTCTCGTGTTTTAGTTGTGCCCGGCGACCAGAGCGCGTGTTTACGTGTGTGTGTGTTGTTGTTGGGTGGGGGTGGGGAGTCGGGTGCACGCGAGGCTAGGAGGGTGTGAGCTTCCATAGTGGGAGGATGGAATTTGTGTTATCTGGATGTTGGCGGACTTGGGGAATTGGGTGTGTTGTGCTATTGTGCATGTGGAGCGCAGTCCTGGGGCTTGGAGAGCTTTTGTGGGATTGTGGGTAGGTCTCATCTGGCTTGGGCTGTGGAGAGTGGAAAGAAGCCCGGCATTGGGGGTAAAGGGGAAGGAATATAAGTTCATTGCATTATTGTCCCGGGAGGCTATGAATGGACGAAAGGCAGATGATGTTCAGGGACGAACTGCTCTTTTCTTAAGTAGATGCTTGTGACTACACGCAGCATGAGCGAGGAGGAGACAGCTAGAAGGACCTATAGTTTTTCCCGTCGAGTTGTGACCTTTTCTGTGCTGTAGTTGGCACATCTAGAAGGGGTTGTACTGAGTTTATTAAATTCTTATTACAGGAATGATTTGTCAGGGGTAGATAAGAAAGCAGAAGTATAATCTGCTAATTTTCCCTTGGAGGGAAGGCATGAATGGGGTTTTCAGAGCATAAAAAGACTGCATTCTCTTCTCTGAACACCCAGAAAATAATATGTAGTGACAGTTCCCCTCAAATGTGCAGGGTTCCATGTAAAGCACATTTCTACAGCCATAGGTGAATTGTTATTTGTTACCTTTTTGCAAAGACCAGCAAACAGCAGTGGGTAATCAAACCCTCCTAGGTGAGAGTGCTTGGTCCAGGTGTTTGTCTCTGTGCCAGAAAAGTCCAAGCCAGTATGAATACATACATTCAAGCAGTGGAAACTTTAAAATGGCTCATTGTCTATTTCGATGCTTAGTGGGGCTTTCATTTCTTCCTTTGACTAATAGTAGGCTCTGGCTTTAGTTGAGACATTGCTAAGTAATGGAACCTACATTATACAGTTCTTTTTTCTGTGGTTGGAATAGTTGCATAGAAAAAATATTCACAAATAATGGTACTCATCCACTGCAAACCATTTTAATACAGGGCACTGTTGCAGTATGGTGTCAAATAGTTAAGAATTGTATAAACCAGGGTGGGCAAAGCTTGTAAACTGGAGGGAAAACACACTGAGGACATTTAAGAGAAGATTTGAGTTGAGGACATCTCACATACTTTATTGTGACTGAGGTCTTTTTGATACATTATTACTTTAATAATGGAATAAGCACTGGAGGTAATGATATGGAATATTTGAGCTCATGAACCAAGGGTTATTTATTAATGAAATCCTTAAAAACATGGAGTACAATACACAGTAATAGGATAGGTACCAAATACTCTGGCATAATCCAGTGAATTTTGGTTGTGTGGATCTGTGGGACAAGTTAAGTGTGAATATCATGCATTGATTTCACACATTTTGAGACTTACTTTGTATGGGGGCCTTAAAAGTTTTGAGTGTGTGAAGCAGTCCACACGCATACATCTAGCTGTGTGCATTCACACACATCTCTTTGATTACGAGGTCATCAAACATATTTCCTTTCATAACAACATTGCTTTGGGGCTGTGCACTTATTTACCCCAAGCAACTGGATTTTGGTTGGCATTTGTAGTGGCAATTCTCATTAGCCAAAAGTCTACTACATGTTGCTGAGTGTTCTGCTTTGTGTTTTCTTACCTTGCGTTTTGATAATGGATTCTGCATTTAATCATTTCCCCAACTTCTTAAGTAGTCATCCCTGCTGTGCAAAAGTATTCTTGGCAATTGGTTTTGAAAAATTGTGCAGGCGCCATTCCATTAACATCCTAGCAATCTTCTTGTTCCCTTTTATCTTCCCTCCCTTGTTCATGTGGAAGACCTTATCGATTTATGTGCATATGTTTTTCTTCTGATGCATCAGAGCATTTCCTACATCTTCTTACTTTTATTGTGCATGGTGATAACTATACCTGGGTAATGTTTCTCTGATGTTTTCAAATCACCTAAAATAGCTTTATGTTTAATGAAGGAACTCTTTGAACTCTAAGTAGCCATGAGCACTTTGGATCCATTTTGCTTGGACAATATTGGATTAAGAGGCATTAGGTAATTACTGCATAATATGTGTGTTTTCTGTCACTAGGAGTTCTGAAGTCAAAACCAGTTACATGAGTTACTGTAAATGATGAACTGTAAATGTGGCAGGGGACTTTGAAGGGATTAGCTTACTCTTATCATGCTGTTGCCTCTGTACATATATGCCGACTCCTCTGCCTTTGGACTTCCAGCGTCCTTTTGCATTATGTGATTCAGCTTTATAACCTCTGTTATATGCTTGATTTATATAGAAATGCTGCTTTCTGCAGAAGGAAATGTAATTGGAGGAAAGCAATAATCATTTTGATGTCATAACATTCCTGGTAGACCACTGTCTCGATTGGTTTTACTGTTGGAGACAAGCTGCTTGTTTGTAGAAATTGCCTTTTACATCACAGCATGTGCACATACATGAGTTAGAACATGGATTATTCTGCACAGAGTCCTCTCTCTGGACTTCTTTCACAGGTAGGAGTAGTAATAAAAGACTGCTACCCTATTGCCAGTCTCTATTGTTCAAAAATGAATGAATGA